AAATTAAACAGCGGCATTTTCAGATCGAAAACTTGTGCAGCTTGTCTCTGACGCCACAGAAAAACGAATTAAAGCAATAACACAAAACATGATGGACTCAATATAAACTAATTGAAAATTTTGCTCTTCTTGTGGCGTCACTGATATCGCAATACCGTGTAAATGGATGGTACTTTTGACTATAATTACTGCAAGTAATATCACTTATAAAATCAAAATCAAATGGGTGAAAATACAAGAAATATAAAAAAACAATAATAAAAGCGCGATATTAATCTATAAACACAAAATGATCATTACATAGGTTCCATGAAGAAGAAAGTTAAGTTAAGTGCGTCGATACTGCAAAAGGCCTTTGAACTCTTGTCAGTTCTAAAGAAACCTTATATTATATATTTTATATACATTATAATTTTATATATATTATAATTTAATAACATTAATCCACAATTGGTTATTTTCAGTGAAGCTAACATTTTATAAAAATATTTTCTAGGGTATAAATTAACTTTTAGTTGACTTTAAACGGCCCAAAACGCAGACCAAATAAATTACGATAATTTTTCACTATCACACGTAATAAAAGTGTTCGTATTGTATAGAAACGTAAAAAAACAATATAAAAATAAAAACAAAACAAAAAGCAAGAAAGGAAGATTATTTTGGAATGCTTGAGCTTGTATACCCTTCAAGATTTGTTATTAAATCATTTTAAATCTATCTATTTCAGTAAAAACAAAAACCGAAAAGGAAAATATATACAATTTTTGCTGATTCTTTGTATATAAATTAATTTTATATAAATAAACCATCGCTTCTAAAGCAGCAATAAATAAATGTTGATGAAATTAAAAGAAATTATTGATGAAATCTTTAATTGCAACGATACATATTTCAGGTTATATGTATAAAATTATATTTAATAAGAAGTTTTGTTTTTTATAAAATATATATTCCTTGCTATAGTTAATCATAAATTAGCTGATTAGATTGAAAAAAACGACCAATTTATAACTGTATACCTGGCGGATATTATTGTTTCAATCAGCTTCAGCAGCCGATTTGATCTGGCTAGATAAGTCCGCCTGTTCGTTCTGCTAAACCAAGTCCCTGCGTATTAAAGCTATCTAAACAAAACTTATTATTCTTATTTATTTTATTTCTATTATTATTAATATATAAGTGGGAACGGGACATATAAAACTACTATATAATATAACTGCCATTGCAAAGATCGTGAAATTAAACGAAAAAACTTTAACTTAGAGACATGATAATTTTTATTGTATGAAAACCCGAGGACCATATCGTATAAACATCATATGAACGATCGATAAATGTACAGAAAAAAATTGAAAACACTAACTGTAAAACTATTAATATTTTATATATAGGTAAAGATAGTAAAAGTTAATAGTAAAATGTTTAACTCACCTTTTTGAAATGGATTTTTGTCTGAAACTTCACATGGTCGGATGTAACTCCTTCACTGCACTGATTACTGACTAATATTATGGCATTTTATGTATCAAATGATTGTATTCCTTGGAATTAAGTGCTATTTCAGGCGATAAGTATTTTGGGAATTTATTTTACATACTTTTATTTCAAACACACAAAGAAAAACACACCGGGGAAAACAATAGAAATATAAGAGTTTGTTTTGGCTTTGCACTTGTTGTTTTTATATTAAATTTAAATGCTGTTTTCTGTTGGCTATTTAGGTAATAATTAATTAAGCTTAAACGTGTGTTATTTGTTTTAAAATTTAAATTTTAAATTTGTAGAATCAAACAACAAAGAAGCGCAGATTTATTTCGCGAAATTCTCTAATGTTTCTGGACCTTTTTTTGTTTTTTTGAACCGAACGCGGCAGCGGACAAAAACAAAATGCAGGGCAGCGCGAGAGAAATCAAGAAGAAGCAGGCCAAGAAGAAGAAGCAGCAGCAGCAGATCCAAAAAAGCAGCAAAAGATAAACAAAAGTTATGAGTCGGAAATAAACCAAAAATTTTGATGCTTCTCAATGAGCGCGCGTGCCTGGATTTGTTCAGTATTTTACATATCTTTCATTACGTTTTCTTATGGTGCGCCTTTTTCAAACAAATCTGTTCGATTATTTTTAGCTGAATTCGAAATTCTTCTTCATTATTAAAAAATGACCAGTGACTCCACTTTCTCGTGGGTGGTCACCCCCAACCCCCCGAAAATATTTTCGTTTTGTACACTCACAAATAATAATTACAGTGGGAATACCAAAATGTATTTTATTTTTATTTATTTTTAACATATTTCTTTGTTAATGTAAAGGCATTAATTCGTTTGTATTGCATATGTAGGTATATTTCATTAATTCTTTAAAATTATATCTTTATTAATTCTTAAACAAGTTACACTAATTAAAATCTTAAAGTCCATATAACTATAGATGAGTTTCGGGCTTTAAAAAAAAAGTGTTTCCAGTCAAATGTTGCTATGAAAGAATTTTGCAACACTTACGGGGAACAGATTCAGAATACACAGAAACTTTAAAACTCTTGTTTTAAATTCTTTATGATTAACATTTTATATTATACGTTTATTTAATTCTTAAACATGTTCAGGAAACGTAAGATATTTAAATCCAAAGTAACTTAAAAGATTAACCAAACTTATCTTTAATTGCAGGGTATATATTGAAGATATAGAATAAACTAAAGTTGAAAAAGTGTGTGCTTTAGTTCAGTATTGATAAAACAATTAATAGCGATTGATTCTATTGGTTTCATTCCTGCTGAATTTATTTATTAATTTGAAAAGCCAAATAATTCACTTTTTGTATTGACCTTTTAAAAATATCCCCCAAAAAGACAGCACTGTTCGCAAAAAGTAACCAACAGAACACAACACATTGGTTGGAATTTTTCAGACAATAAAAATAGATGGTTTCTGTTTTTTATTATTATTTTTATTATTTTCTGCCATTCATACTTTGTTTTTCTGTTGAAAAAATTTTATGGAAAAGCATTAAACATCTGGACACACACAAAACCAAATGCCAACAAGGGCCATTAACTAACCATAAATTACCGCTAGGGGAAACTAGCGAAAGAGGGAAAGCTACACGCCTTTTGAATTTCCATTAAATAGATCATCGAATTCGAATTCAGTTTTTTTTTTATTTACAAGCAGAGTATCTACTCATTTACATTAGTCCCTGTCGCCAGTACTCTACTTTCATGGTCGTAATGTGTTCCCGAAATGTCCTGTAGAGTCCTGCCCTACCTCACATTCACCCTTCATATATTTTTGAGCATTTCAGCCCCTTTAACAGAAAAGATTAAGGAAAATTAAAAAGACAGGACTTTAAATTTAAATTTCAACCAACTAATTGTTCAAGTTCAACGAAGGATTCTTCTACAATTACTATAAATCATTGTATGTATTTATTACATTTTTGTTTGATTTAGTTTATTTTATTTATTATTTTTTTTTTTGCAGAATTTCACAGTATTGATTCTATTTATATTTTCTGAAATGTATATTGAAATATTTCGAACACACCGAGGGTCGTTTTAACAATTTTCTCATTTCTGGTTCTTTCTAGTAGGAATCATTTCCGACCTTATAAAGTATATATATTCTTGAGTCGATCTCGGCATGTCTATCTATTCATTTCTACACATTCTAAATGAAACTTTGCAGATAGTCTTCTTTATATTGTCACTATAACACATACATATGTACGTATCAACATCCGGTGGCATTATCAGCTTCCGGTGACCTCGAATTGTTATCAAGTTCCCTGTGACCTTGAGCCAAAAAAGTGTTTTAGAATCCTTTTTGCCAGGAGAGTGGCATAGAACAGTACAGATTGCAAGATTCTCTGTGGATTACGTATTATGTGCATTAAAAATGTATTACAACTGAAATTAAATAAAAAATAATAAACAATCAAAATATTTAATTATGATTGAAACACAGTAAAACAATATTTTAATTTTCCTCAGTTCATTTGTATTCGCTTTGCAATTCCCTTTCAGAATGACCGCTAAATGGAATGGATTTACTGATCGTTCCTATGGCACCTACATACATATATGATAAAGTTATACATATATGACCAAATTAAAACGGAAACTCTGAAATATTATATAATGACCATATCTCTAAGTAGATGAAAATATGCTGAAGATCACCAAAGTTATTTTTTTGATGTATAATATAGTCGTCTGATTTTCATAAAATTAAAACTGATATTCCTAAACAATTATATTATATAATATGAATATTTTTTAATATTAAAAAAAAATGTCCTATCGTTCCTATGGCAGCTATGTATATTCATATATGATCACGGAGAGAATCGTAAACGGAATTGGCAAAATTGCAAAATGAAAAATAAATCAAGCCTTATACTTTTGAGCTAACTTTAAAAAAAGCATACAAAATCCCGAAAATGTGAAGGCATAGTTAAGTTCATTACTTTTTCCAATGACATATAATTGTGTTCTACGATTTTAAAAGAATATTTTAAAATTCATATTAATCAGATTAAAACTGTCAAATATCAATGGTTTAAATAATATGAGAACCTATGAACATTTGTAAAAATTTTCATTTTTAGAATAAAGAACCGGAATATAAATTTCTGAAGTTTTTTTATGCGCCGAACTCGGAATCCCTGAACTCCAAGTACTCAAAAAATGTTTTATACGTCAGGTTTTCTTAATAGTTCTTCTTAAAAGTGGAAACCAAAAATGGGTTCCACCCAAAATTTGAAAGCTATACTTGTGAATTTCGGTTTATAGTATTTTGATATAATGACACTTGTTCGAGGGTAACTCTTAAAATGTGATGATAAATAACTCCAATTATCACACAATAATATTCTCTAACTTGATTATATATTCATCCCTCACGCACTCGCACTTCTGATGTTCAGTCGAGTCTCGAACCGCGGTTTCTAACGGGAATATTAAGGAAATGTTTTAATTGAGATTTGCAAAATATTAAATAAACCTTATTTCGTGAATAATTTTCTGCAGATGCGCTCGATAATAAAGCTTAAAAAGGCTAAAAGATTTCCCCCAAGAACTACGTAGAAAGCCAGCTGAAGATCTCCAATGGTTAAGACCCGAAGGAGATCCGATTCAGACTCAGCTTCTAGGATACTGAGACGCATTGTAATGTCCACCCTTGACTTCTCATCTTGTATCCATTTGACAATTAGTCCCGTGCTTAGGAGCCTCAGAAGCAGGGCATTCACAGCATCCTCCCATGGAGAGTCCCTGGGCATCACATACGAGATCGTATAATATTTGGGACACTCTGGGACCACCCAAATCCGGCGGAGCAATATGAAGCGAGAGGACTCGAGCACCAGAGATGTATATCTGGAGACTCCGGCCTGAGAGCGATAGTTTGCCACCTCTTCGATGACATCGGCATGAAGGTTGCGGTTCCAGGTTAATTTATTGTTAAGACTGGCGAACAGCGGTGAGGTCTCACTGAAGAACAAATCATCCGCCATGGATGTGTATTTGTAGACCACCTTCAGGCCACTCTCGTCCAGCTCCTGCATGGTATTTATATCCTTGTAGTACAGCGGGTGTATGTAAACCGTGGCCAGACTGGACTCGAAAATCGCTCCGAATATCACACTGACCAGGCACAGGGAACCGATAAACATCCTTTCTGCATAGCTCGCTGGCAAATGAGACAGATTAACCCGTACCCAGACTACCCAAGTGTCCACCATTATGGCCAGAGCCTGTTTGACCAAATGCTGATTCCGAAGATTCACAATCCTAAGCTTTAGATTGATCAGCCTCAGAGTTAGCCATATGAAGGCGCAACCAAAGGCGGTTAAAATGAATCCCAACCAAATGTCATAGCCCACTGCGAAGATCGGGAGAATCGATTGTGGAATTCGACTCGCTTTTGGTACATAAATACACAGCTCATCGTCGTAGACGGCCACAGTGAAGTCCATGTACTGTTGCACCAGGTAATCCTTGACAAAAAATCCCGTTAGACAGATGTCCAGGCCATCGTTGATGATCGATCCAATGGCGCCATTATATGTTCCATTGGAATTGCGTTCTCTGAAAATAAGATAAAATGGAATTTAATTAAAAGCAAATCTAAATCCAAAGTTTCGAAAAATATGATCTACTGGGGTAGATAAGGTATAGAAATACAGTATCAAAATATAAGATAAAATGGAATTTAATTAAAATCAAATCTATGTATAACATATATAAACAAAGTTTCGAAAAATATGGTCTACTAGGGTAGGTAAGGTAGAGAAATACAGTATCAACAAAATGAAATGTTAAACAAAAATGAAAGTTAAGTTTGGCATGCCGAAATCGTAATCGTCGATTCATTTCGACCAAGTTTAAATAAGTTTAACTTTTTATTATTTATATTATTATACAGACATTCCATATACAGAAAGAAGGACCATATCTTAAAGTAGCAATGGAAATATTTAAAAAAAGAGCAAAGTTATTATTAGGGTTTTCCTTTTAATATTTCGATTTATCTTTGGCACGTATATGATATAGTCGGCCCGTTGCGACTGATATACCTACAATACATAGAAAGGAAACTTTAGAAAATGGCTTAAATATTAAACACCTAGCTGCATTTTTAAATATTTTATTTAAATCATTAATCGATTTACCGATATATTATCGAGACGAGAGTATTTATAAATCAATTAAAATGGTCTTCATTATTTTGTGCCTATTTATGTCCTTGGAAAGATATATCATATAGTAATATATAGTAATATCATATAGTAATACCGTATAGTAATACTCTATAGTAATACCATATAGTAATACCGTATAGTAATACTATATAGTAATACCATATAGTGACAATCATTGAAAGGAAACTAATTATAGCTTTACCAGTTTGCAATTTATATTCATCTTCTCTGAGATGTGAACATTTTTGTTATTTCCAAATTTCGGTTTTATTATCAATCAATCATTTCGGATGATTATATCATATAGGTACCATTGTAACAATCGGTATATTTACTGATTTTTGATACTATTAAATTAATGTAATGCATATGTTTAACATATATACTTATAATTTATAAGATTTTAAAATACTGTTTTGAATTTGATAAAAATCTAGATTCTAAATGATCCAAATTCCAACTGGAAAGATTGCAGGGTATTATAATTTCAGTCAGAAGTTTGCAACGCAGTGAAGTAAGCACCACCGACCATATAAAGTATATATATTCTTGATCAGGATCAACAGCCGAGTCGATCTAGTCATGTCCGTCTGTCCGTTTCTACGCAAACTAGTCTCTCAGTTTTGAAGCTATCTGAATGAAGCTTTGTAGTTAGCCTTCTATATGCTCTCACTCGTATATATGTCGGAACGGGCCAGATCGGACGACTATATCATATAGCTGCCATAGGAATGATCGGAAAATTTCTACAAAAAAATTATAACATTTTCAGTTTTTAACAGAATTGGATCAAATTTGAGAAATAGACATTTTATTATACTCTACAATTTTGTGTAAATTTTTATGAAAATCGGACTACTATATCATATAGCTCCCATAGGAACGATCGACAAATTAATACAATTAAAAATTATAACTTTTTCAGTTTTCAACAGATTCTCATCAAATTTGAGGTATAGCTATTTTATATGAGTCTTAAATTTTGTGTCAAATTTCATGAAAATCGGACGACTATATTATATAGGTGCCATACAAACGATCGTTGGAAAAACGATGTAGAGGAAAAATGCAAATCTCTGAATCTAAAACTGCAAATATAATATGTATAGGTGAATGAAATGAAAGCAGGTATTACTTCATTGTCTTTTAACACAAATATATATCATTTACATTGTATGGATTCCTATTCATAGAAGTTCTATCTGCAAGGGTATATAAACTTCGGCGCGCCTTTCTTGTTTTTTTGTTTGTTTATATACTTACCCAAAGTAATTTTTATCGGGCTGCTGTAATAACATGGTGAAATTCAGTCGCTCTCTCAGCATTTGGGCCACAAGGAAGTCCGCTCCGGTGACGCCCAAAAGCAAACCTGTCTCCTTGTCGACTTCCGGTCGCGTATAAACGGACTTAAACATCTGAATCCGCAACGGATATCCATCCATGTCGTGGAAAAGCAATTTGTTCAAGGGTTCCCCTCCAAAATATCTCACTAATCGTCCAAAGGCCAAGCCCCTTCGCTGGAAGGGATTATATATCCAAACACTATCGCCGGTTAAGAAAAAGCGATTGTAAATTTTGTGCATCATCCACAAGCGACGGCAGCAATTCTCCAAGAGAAGTTGTTCCTCGGGAGACAAGTCCCGCGTGTGGTCTTCCAGTATATAAAAGAATACCCCAGCTCTCTGATTGGGCGCAGCTGGTCCACGATTGGAAATCAAGTGGCTTAAACTCATCACCAATGCGAGGTTATTCCTGCCAAATGGATCCCCTATCCAATCCTGATTTTCCTCGTACGCCACAATACTGAGGGGTATTTGTGCTCCTTGTAAGAACCACTGGACATACGGATTATCCGCATCTTGCTGTTGTTTGCCCTCCCGGAGCCAAAGTTCCAGTTGGGGCAAATCCCTGATGGGTTCCTCCAGCAATCCATCCGGAATGGGTTGACCCATTGAACTTTCTAGGAGGAATTTCAGGAAAAGCGAAGCAAGCACCGCCATTCACCACCGTTTTGTAAGCACAAATGACTCGTAAAGTATCTCTTCTGAAATCCCCCTCATTTCTATTCATATTCGAACCTGATTCGATTCCGATTTATATTTTGACACCTGCAATTTTGTTTGTTTGCTCACGCGCAATTAGACCCTCGTTATGTCAGCTCTTTGGCTCGGGCAACTCCTAAGCAAACATTATTCTTATACCCTGTAATTTGGGGTGTCTATGGTTAAGAAGCAGCCCAACGAAAATACCCTAAGAGCCCTTGACATTAACAAACAAATAGAAGAGATAGATTGCTTCAATTGGTCAGAAGGTATCGATGTCAGAGTAAAATCAAGAATTCCTTAACCATCGGAAAGTATGCTTACATATATCCCTTTGTGATTTCTGATCCGATTGTTTTGTGTATTTGCAAACGCATTTGATTATCTATTCATGCATTGCTAAATCAAGTTGACCGCAATGGTTGTGGAAATTCCAGAAAAGGCCAAGGGAAAATAATTGTCGATTTTCCATTCCTGACTTTTTCTGCGGGTCAAGCTGAGGCACATTGGCAATGTTTGACACAAATTTGAATTGCTAAAAAATAAGGAAATGATTTATATACATCGAAACATACATTTTGATATTGATTTTAAATTAATTTAAATGGCTTTTTTTATTATTTATTTTTTTTACACTATATGTTAATTTTAAACTAGCTACGGCTGCGTATTGTTTCATATTTTTCGGAAATATATAAATGTTAACATTTTGTGATTATAATATTAATTATGGTATAACACATAATGTGATAAAATGTTGCCTTATTGTATATGGCTTAAATCTGGTGGATTCAATATCTTTTTCTTTAGGGAAATTAAAACTGCTTTTAAGGTGTTGAGGGGCTTAGAAGTGGAAGAAAGTTAGTAGTTGAAATTCGAAGTCTTTGTAGGGCTTGACATTCGTTTACAAGGTGTTTAATTGTAAAAAATATGTCTTTCTTTTCTATATATCTTTGCTTTCTTTTTTGTTCGATAAAAAGGTATTGTATTTAGCTCGCAATTTCCTTTTGCCTGTTTTGTAGTTGTTGATGAGTTAGTCCAGGGCACCTTGTAATATCATTAATGACTCTGTAAACTCCCAAACTAGTAAGTCAGAAATTAAAAGAAACATCATAAGAACTTAAGAATTGTATTTAAAAAATAACAATGGCTTTGATGAAGTTTTGGGAACTTAGTGAATAAGAATTAGTGACTTATTTCATGATGAACTTTATACATTGATTCATTGATTCATTCTTTTTCTTGGGAAAGTATCATAATTCGGCTTGGTTTATAGCGGAAAATATACAAATGTGAAAATTATTATTTATATTAATTAATTATATTTAAATTTAAATTAATTGTTATTAATTAATTATTGAAATTATTATTGTTGTTAAATAAGAAAGCAAACTATCTTACCGATTGTTTCTATGGCAGCCTTACGATATTTACCATGTAATATTGATTTTTATACTATTGAGAATAGTCAAATAATTATGTGCAAAATTTCATTTAGATAACTGCAAGACTGAGAGACTACATGGACTGACATGTCTAGATCGACTCGGCTGTTGATGCTGATCGGGAATTCATGTATTTTATGGGGTTAAGTGCGTTGTTAACTTCTGATGTCAATCATAGTACACAGAAAGGGTATAAAAAGAACAAGTTCTCCTTAAGTAATGTATGTAAATATATTCAACAAAATTTTATTTCGCATTAGATTTTAGATGCATGTGGGATTCGAAATAGGCGGGCTTCCTTCGCGGCGTACTCGAAGCGGGCTAAACTATCTGGCAACCCTTAATCAGCTTCGATATTTAAATAATAGCCGATAGTTTTAAGACGGAATAAAAAAGCTAGAAGTAAGGAAGTCGTCGTTTGAGAGAGCTAGTGAGAAGTTGAGAAAAAGAAGACGCTGTGTGTGAAAAGCGAAATAAAAATGAACTTGTGAAACCAATCTAAGCACTTATGTTTAAACCAATCCTGTAAATAAATTATTGTATGTGAATCCTAAAGAAATTCCCTACATGTATGTATGTTACGACAACTGATTTATAATTTTGGATCTACAGAATATATCTGAGTAGCAAAATTTGAAACGGCAGTATATATTTTTTCATCAAATGTAGTGTATAGCAACAGCAGCGGTCAACAAATTGAGTATGAATATGCGGATATATAATTTCGTGTTTTGTGTTTCATTTCACGTTTATTACTCCCCCTGCTCTGATTTCGGTGCGATTGGGGTGCAAAATCCCTCCTGAAAGGAAAGCCACAGATAAGATAAGGATAAAACATCAAGGTTAAGGAAAAGAAATAACCTACACTAGTAGCATACAAGATTGATTGAATGCTCTCTACAATCGGCATCACATCGGGGTCCTCAGATTTATGGCAGCTGGAAAGAAAAGACTCGGTACATTTAATCACGTGTCCGATCAGAGCAGGAAAACATTAAGTCAACTTACAGAACCTCAATGTCGCGAAGCTTAGAATAGTTAAAGTCGCGCTCCTTCTGCAATTCTAATGTGACACTCGACTCGAGCGTATTTACATCAGTCTGGATCTCCCTTTCAATGGGCTGATGAAAAACCAACGAAGTAGAGGTGCTCCCTAAAGACATCCCTGAGGGACGCCGAGATGTCAATGAACCACGTCGGATGGTGCTGGCTCCCGGTACTCTTTCGGAAGCAAATGCCATTGAGGCACCTTCCCGGGCTGCGACGGCATCGTATTCCCCACCTTTGTAGTTCGCGTCAAAGAATTTTTTAAACCATTGCACAAATTCAAAGTTATCTTGGAAACGACCTTTAATCAGTTTCTCAACGGGTATAACCTAAAAGTAAAGGCCACAAGAGAAAGCAAATGTAAAGTAACGAAACAAGAGAACAATACCAGAAGCTAACTCCGTGCAGGCAACATTCAAATATCGAGAAGAATTGACTCGAGACAAGCACAACATTTGTTAATTAATCTATATATTATTTAAGAGGTTACACGGTTTCGGTGGTGAAGGTATCCATCTTTGTGATCAGCAAATTGGACTGTGGCGTGAGAAAAAGTGGCGTAATATCCTTTGGAGTGACGAAACCGAGATAAATTTGTTTGGTAGTGATACCAATAAGCATGATCAGCGTTATACTTGTAAAACTGTGTAACATGAAGGGGTTTTCCTAATGGGGCTCCTTCCCTTGGGAGGACGTTGGGAGGACCCGAAACACATCCCTTGAGCATTAAGGGATTGAATATGAGTTTCCTTGAGTGGCCAAGTCATTCCCCGGAACTCAGCCCATTAGGAATTTCTGGGTGGAGCTTTAAAATTAGGTTTTCAAAATAACAATCAACTTTGGGATACTGCCAAAAAAAACATGGTACATGGTATTCCTCGATGCCAAGACGAATGGAGAAAGTCATATAGTCAATGTATTAAAAGCATATTCAAAACTAGTGAAATATCGATTTAATTTAGGTATTTATTGAGACTTCTACAGTTATTCTGCTTATGAAAGGTTTCGTGAAACTGTATGTATATTTTTAAAAGCAATGAAAAAGCTTTGATAAGTTAAGAACAATAAGGATATGATTGAGGTGTTGGCTGGAATGCAGTAGCCCCCGGAGTGTTTCCACTCCACGGTCTCGAAGAGATATTGGTTTTTTGGAACATTTTAAATCGAACATCTCAAATTTTACAAAAACGTATATGGGAAAAAGTATTAATTATTACCTTGTTTATAGACACCTTAAAGAAAGCTGCCTGCAACAACTTAAAGTTCTGTAAGTATTCGTTCTCAAGAGTTGCAGCAAACTTGACCTTCTTTAATGACACTGAGTTGGGAAACATCATGTCCATGAATTGACAGTATGCTGCTCCTAACAAAGAATTAGACAATTAGACAACCTTTGGGAGGTCCTGAGCACACACTCACCCGTGCATAGCTGCTCGATTCTTGTGACCTCCAAACGCAGGCGACTATTGACCCAGGCCACCATTTCGTAGCGCGAGAGATTCTCAGTCACTTTTGTGGAAACATTGAGTGCCATGGTTGCGGTTTTGTCTTCTGTTTTTCTATCAACTCTAAAGGGATGAAATAGAGACAAGAATTTGAGCGAGCTTCTTGAGAAAGCCATGTCCCCTAATCGAGAACTAAAGTATCTTCCGAAGCGTGATGTACTCTTCTTACCAACTTTATCAATCACGTTTCTCCCTCAAACCGATCTCTGTAGCTGTTTATTCGCTTTAACTCACGATTTTCTTTTATGAAATGTGAAATATATATGTTTTGCCGTCTACTTCGTTCTAGGGTTCGAATGAAACTCATGTAAGTTTCGATTAAATTCCCATTTGAAAGGCGACTTTCTCAAGGCCTGCTTTTCGACTTTTTGAGTCTATTTTCTCTTGCAGGGAGTTCAGTCTTCTTCAGATAGAAGAGAAGGAGTCACCTCCGACCACATAAGGTACATATGTATATACATATATTCTTGATCAGCATCAACAGCCGAGTCGATCTAGCCATGTCCGTCTGTCCTTCTGGCCGTCTGTCCGTTTCTACGCAAACTAGTTTCTCAGTTTTTAAGCTATCTGAATGAAACTCTACCGTAAGTCTTCTATATACTCTCTTTCGTATATATGTTTAAGGTTTTCATCCATTTTTATAAAACTTTAGAATTAGATATTTCAAATTATTCTAGAATTTTGATTTTAATTTTATTGAAACTTGATTGCTATATCATATAGCTGCCATACAAACGATCGTAAGATATATACAGAAAATGCAACACTATGAATATAAAATTGTAACTGTTAAACTGTAAATAAAATAATTATAAGGTGAATGTTATGACTGTAATAAATGTTGTCATCGCATTGCAACCTGCAAGGGTATACAAACTTCGTCGTGCGGAACTTAGGTTCCATTCTTTTTTAGTATTGTTTTTTTTTCAGAATTACCCCCGTTCATGGCGTATATATTCCGATATATGTTTTTCCTCCGGATTTTCTTAAGGTGATCATGGTATTTTTTTTTTTGGGTGGGGGGTTCTTTGGGGAACAACGGTTTTTACTTAGGGAATTCTTGTGGATTTTTTGAGGGATCCCCAAGAAATCTAAGAAATTCATGTTTTGCTAATAGATTCCTTGTAGAATTTGTTAAGGTTTTCCTTAAAGATTTCTCAAGAAGTTCATATGGTTCATATTCCCTCCAAGGGTATAAAAAATAGTCTCCAAAATTCGAAAAGCAGGCCTTGAGAACGTCGCCTTTCAAATGGAAATTTTCTCGAAACTTACATGAGTTTTAGTCGAACCCTAGAACGAAGTAGACGGCAAAACATATATATTTCACATTTCATAAAAGAAAATCGTGAGTTAAAGCGAATAAACAGCTACAGAGATCGGTTTGAGGGAGAAACGTGATTGATAAAGTTGGTAAGAAGAGTACATCACGCTTCGGAAGATACTTTAGTTCTCGATTAGGGGACATGGCTTTCTCAAGAAGCTCGCTCAAATTCTTGTCTCTATTTCATCCCTTTAGAGTTGATAGAAAAACAGAAGACAAAACCGCAACCATGGCACTCAATGTTTCCACAAAAGTGACTGAGAATCTCTCGCGCTACGAAATGGTGGCCTGGGTCAATAGTCGCCTGCGTTTGGAGGTCACAAGAATCGAGCAGCTATGCACGGGTGAGTGTGTGCTCAGGACCTCCCAAAGGTTGTCTAATTGTCTAATTCTTTGTTAGGAGCAGCATACTGTCAATTCATGGACATGATGTTTCCCAACTCAGTGTCATTAAAGAAGGTCAAGTTTGCTGCAACTCTTGAGAACGAATACTTACAGAACTTTAAGTTGTTGCAGGCAGCTTTCTTTAAGGCGTCCATAAACAAGGTAATAATTAATACTTTTTCTACGTACGTGGTTTTGTGAAATCTGAGATGTTCGATTTCAAAATTTTCCAAAAAACCAATATCTCTTCGAGACCGTGGAGTGGAAACACTCCGGGGGCTACTGCATTCCAGCCAACACCTCAATCATATCCTTATTGTTCTTAACTTATCAAAGCTTTTTCATTACTTTTACAAATATACGTACAGTTTCACGAAACCTTTCATAAGCAAAAACAAAAAGGTTCAATATTGGCTATATAAAATCGATATTTCACTAGTTATTAAAAAAGTTATATTTTGAATACCATGTACCATGTTTTCTTTGGCAATATCCCAAAGTTGATTGTTATTTTGAAAACCTAATTTTAAAGCTCCACCCAGAAATTCTTAATGGGCTGAGTTCCGGGGAATGACTTGGCCACTCAAGGAAACTCATATTCAATCCCTTAATGCTCAAGGGATGTGTTTCGGGTCCTCCCAACGTCCTCCCAAGGGAAGGAGCCCCATTAGGAAAACCCCTTCATTACAAGTATAACGCTGATCATGCTTATTGGTATCACTACCAAACAAATTTATCTCGGTTTCGTCACTCCAAAGGATATTACGCCACTTTTTCTCACGCCACAGTCCAATTTGCTGATCACAAAGAAGGATACCTTCACCACCGAAACCGGTGGTAAATAATATATAGATTAATTAACAAATGTTGTGCTTGTCTCGAGTCAATTCTTCTCGATATTTGAATGTTGCCTGACGGAGTTAGCTTCTGTTCTTGATCTATGGTTTTGTTCTCTTGTTTCATTACTTTACATTTGCTTTTTCTTGTGGCCTTTACTTTTAGGTTATACCCGTTGAGAAACTGATTAAAGGTCGTTTCCAAGATAACTTTGAATTTGTGCAATGGTTTAAAAAATTCTTTGACGCGAACTACAAAGGTGGGGAATACGATGCCGTCGCAGCCCGGGAAGGTGCCTCAATGGCATTTGCTTCCGAAAGAGTACCGGGAGCCAGCACCATCCGACGTGGTTCATTGACATCTCGGCGTCCGTCAGGGATATCCTTAAGGACCCACTGTAAGTCGATTTGTTTTCAGTTTACAAGCTTTTCATTCCCATGTGCAATGCGCCTTAAGTGTATTCACCTACTGTAAAACAATCTGAATAGAATATTTTGTGCTTACTGACACCCTCTCATTTCTTGAACTCAATAGTCGTTAGGTCGGTGACAGAACATTCCATTAGAAAGGAAGTCCAGGCAGGCGGTGATTCGCATCAGGCGAGTATCCAAGGAGAATTGCGGAAAGAGCGCGACTTTTACTTTTCTAAGATGCGCGATATTGAGTTTCTGTAAGTTGACTTGCTATAGTCCTGGACTAGTCGGAAATCTGATCTAATGGGCGAATCCTTTCCCTTCCAGCTGCAATAAATCTGAGGAAATCAAAAGGATGCCGCTTGTACAGCACATTTTAGCCATATTGAATGCGACTCAGGTAGGTGATTTCCTTACGTTTAACTTTTCTGCCTTATCCTTACCGTATTTCTTACCTTCTTTTCAGGACGTTTATTCTACTCCACAAACTACAACACCAGAGCAGGGGGAGTAATAAATGTGAAATGAAACACAAAACACGAAATTAATTATCCGCATATTCATATTCAAAGCCAATTTGTTGACTGCTGCTGTTGCTATACACTACATTTGACCAAAATATACTGCCGCTTAAAACAATATTATTTTACTATTGCCATGCCATTATTTTAATCTTCATATAGATGCATGAATCGAGATAAGACTTATGTATATTGATGCTAATGGGATTCATGGTATTTTCTTTTGGGGTTCTTTGGTAAATTCATGGATTCTACTAGACTTCTCCATGAATGTATTCATTTCTAGGTTCATAGATCTTTACAGTGTTCTAAAAGTACTGCACCCAAAGATAAACACCCATCAACCATAGACAGCACTATAAATCTGTGTTAATCTCTAACTCTTCCCTATGAACCGAAAAAACCAATCAAATTCAAGCCATCTTGGGATCTCCCAAATCTCATAGATACAACAAGAAAGAAATGACACCATCAGATACATATATGAAGAAAACAATGCGAACATATCAAAGACAACTACAAAACACACAAGTTTAAATTTACGGACGGATCAAAAATTAGCTCCACTATATCATATGCAGTCACAGCTGATACCAATATTATAAAGTATGGTATCATGGTGTCAGTGCTTTCTGCTGAAATAATAGCCATCCTAGAAACTCAAGTGGAATCTTCATGAGGTGCTCTTTCTCTCTCAGGAATTGAAGCCAAACACTAACATTAACAATTTTTATTCAAACTTAAACTAGCCGACCAAACCGCAAAATCGACTATTAATATGCCCCTTAATATCACTCCAAACAAAAATTGAACAGAGATCACCTTAGATTAGAATTCCTAACAAAAAATGGGCAAAATACTATATAAAACACTGCAATCAATGGTATAAAACCATAATCAAACAAGAATTTAAAGAACTACCTATTAAGTCAGTTGGTTTTGTAAACTTCTCTATGTTTAATAATAAATAAATTATATATTTGGATGCTTTTGAATTCATTTTTTAACCTATCACTTCTAAATGTAACACACAATATTAATTGAATTTTATTTTGAAGCCAAAGATCATCCTCACTTAAAGCATATTAAATTTTTTTCTTAATTTTTATAGACACTAGCAAAAAAAATGCATTTCGTTTTAAAATGTTTGTTAAATATTCTGTCCGTTTTCATCTACTCAAGGATATGGCAATTTGCAATGATTTCTGTAATTTTCGAGTACGGTCCTAATAAGGATCATAAAAAAGGGTGCTGAAAAATGGAAGCATTGTTACATTGATTCCTTATTTAACTCTTGTGCCATGTGCTGTGTGTTATTTTTGCAACTGCAAGGCTTTGCACATATTCCATTTAATAATTTGTTTTGTTCTTAATGTCAAACTGCTTATAAAAACGTAAATTTGCATAGTGAAATATTATCAGAAAACTGAGGTTCGATCCATGGCCTCGAAGGAATAAATACTCGCAGCTGCACCTTTGCTCCTTTGTGCTACATCCTTGCCTCTCGTTGGCTCATTTTTCTCATTTGTAGCTCTTGGACCGCAAACTGCATTCAACACAAACGAGCTAAGCTTTTATGGTCTAACGATAAAATGAAATTGAAGTTCTTTCCCAACACTTCACAAAAGGCATGGAACAGTGGGTGCAATGTTGCACTCATTTATTATAATGGCATTGAGTGATGGTCATTTTCCTGTTACACCTTTAGGTACAATAATGATTTCAAGATTTACAATATTAAATTCAAGTTCGTAGTTTAATCAATTTTGGTTATAGTTTATTTGATTTACACTCAAGATAATATAGGAAAATAAGGCAAGGCAATGATCTACTGAGATCATATATATGGGATAGGGATAGGGATCCAAAACTTAAATGTTTTTCGTCGTATTTTTATAATAAAAGGAGGAAGGATGTGTAGTTGATTTACGTGTAAAACTGACGAAATTAAAAGAAAACTGTTTTGAATCTCTCCCAAGCTGGACCCTGTAACTAGTTCAATAGTCTGGGTATTCCATGTACAACTAAATTACTAAAAATATTATATATTTAGACGTAAAGGGAACGATCCAAAAAGTTCCACTAAATTCGCAATCAAAACCAAGTCGCAAGTCCATGTCTCCAACCCTTTTGTATAATATGGAGTGAATCTTTATTAAAAAAAGCTATGAATTAAAATGCAAAATTCACCAGAAATGTATGACTTTCTTAAGTAAAAATTATAAAGTTATTTTTAATAAAATGTACAGAACATATGTACATGGTATAATATAGTTACCTCATGAATTTGTTTAAAAATAACTATATTTACATTTTTAAATCTATTTTGAAAGTGGCGCAATAATGATTTGGAAATTGTACTTTATTTTTAGCAAATTTAAGGCTCTATTGAGCTCTACCATATTTATTAATATACTCACCGTTTTTTAATGTTAACAATTAGGCTAACTTTGGCACGCCGAAGTTTGTATACTCTTGCAGCTCGAAATTCGATCATTAAAAATCAGGTTCCTCAAATGAAAAGAAGAATAACGGGAGATTATATATAAAACATTTATACATAGCAATTTTCATCGAATTTCAATAACATTAGTGTTAAATCATAAAAAAATTATATCCCAGTGTTATAAGTTGAAAAATAAAAACTATCAAATAATATCACTACATTACCTACACATATTATACTTACAGTTTTACTTTACAATTACCATGCTGAGATTTTTAGATTCTAAATTAATAAAAACATGACATATCACAGAGTATATAAAAATATGTACATAACCTGCATACCTATAGGTTTTTTTTAAAGCAGCTATGTATATCCGATATATTCTAATTCTATAATCTAATCTATATGTATATTCTAATGAGAATATATAGAATACTACCTAAGTTTCATTCAAATAGTTTTAAAACTAAGGTACTAGTTTGGGTAGAAACAAAAGGACGGCCAATGGTACTTAATGTGAGTAGGGAAACATTTTATTTAATGCTTAAATTTGTGGGTGCTATTAAATCTCAATTAAAATACAGATGCATGTTCATATAATGTACCTAAAATAAAATCTGAGCAATAATGCCTTTTCACCACTGACGTCGTAGAAAGTTGTCTGCAATTGAGTAGATGAGGAAGCGAATAGGAGTGATACGTGCGTAGGTAAAAATAAGCTGCATTTCTTCAGTGCGAAAGTGGAAAGTGCGGGGAAAATCAGGGGAAAACGGAGCGAAAAGGCGATGAAATCATTTGTAACCTGGCACGTGAAAATGCAATTTTTGACCGAGCATCAGCTTAAAATTCGATTGGCTATTCTGAGGGAATGCATTTAAAAAATTTATATAGTTAAAATAAGCACAATACATTCTTATAAAAATTTAGGAGCACTTTTTTGAAGCGTGAGTCAGCTCGAGGTAGGTTCAGGAAAAATACCATTTTAACAACAAATAATTAAAAATAAATATAAACACATACATTTTATTTTGCACGTGCATCCTTCAGTATTATTCATTGGTTATTCACCAATGAAAACACCGGTGTTGTTTAGTAATCATCGATGAATTTCAAATACAAATACAAATTTCTGATTAAATTAAATGTCAATGCCCATGGGAAACAACATTGTCCAGTTAATCAATAATAATTCATAAACCTTTAAGGTTAAAGATTGTTTTATATTCATAGTTTTACTCTTTCTTCTACATTTTACGATTGTTTCCATGACACCTTTATGGTAAAGTCATCCGATTTGCATAAAATTTAATACGAAATTCGAGAATAAGAACATATATTTAATATGATAAATTAATTAATTATTTTCCGATTGTTCCTATGTAAGGTATATGATAGAGTTGTCCGATCCGACCCGATTCGACTTATATACCTCTGGCTAAAATTATAATACCCAGCAAGTTTTATACCCTTACAGGGCACTATAAACCAGTCAGAAGTTTGCAACGCAGTGAAGGAGTCATCTCCGACCATATAAAGTATATATATTCTTGATCAGGATCAACAGCCAACTCGAATTAGCCATGTCCGTCTCAAAATTTTTAGGAAACTTATAATTATTTAGTTTTATCAGTTTTTAACATATTTTTATCTAATTTGATTTTTAGCTGTATGAAAATCGGAATACTATATAATTGACAGATAAACGGTTGTTAAGGGGTTACATACAGTTAGAATTTAAAAAAATCGATTTTTTTTTTATTTTCTTAATGTAAACATATTTAAGAATATACACAGAAAGTTCCGGTGAATATTTCCTGAGTTATAAGTAAATTTGAAGAGGGACTCTTCAGAGTGCTCTATGTAAAGTGCATTCCAAACTTTAAACGTGTTTTTCTCAAAATGATTTTTTCACGATTGGCAATGATTGGAAAATTTTAAGACAAAAAAATAAAGCTTTTTATAGATTTTCATCAAATTTGATATATAGCCATTATATATTAACGTAGAATTTTGTGTGAAATTTTCTGAAAATCGGACAACTATATCATATAACTGTCATAAAAATGATCGTCAAAATTTTGTAAAATGAAAAGCTGTGAATGTACAACTTTAAAAATAAATTGTATACATAGGTAGTGAAATAAAAGCAGGAGTAACTTTATTGTTTTGTAAAATAAATATATATAATTTATATTGTATTTATTCCTAGTGTTTAAAATTTTAATCTGCAAGGGTATACAACTTCGGCGTGCCGAAGTTAGCTTCCTTTCTTGTTTAACATATTTTCATCTTCTCTGGGAACAAGCAATGATTATATCACATATCATCCATTAGAAAAATCGGTAAATGTAGAGTTCATGTAAAGGTTTTTAATATAAATATGTATAAAATATATTGTACTTATATAAATCCATTTCAATCCAATTGCAATCTGCAATTCGAAGTGCATTACTTAACACCCTTTCTTGTTTTCCTCTTCGTTTTCGTTTGCGAAAAATGTTTGTAGAATACTCTAAATGCAGTTAAAGTCTCTACGGCTGGTTATGAAATATAAGAACACCGGAATGTTCAGATATTTTGTTACAAGTAATGCGTTAACGATACCTGCAGCTTTATTATAAAATTTCAACGCAATTCATTAATTTCTCTTCCGTTAATTTCATCTCCGACCCAATAATAACTCCTCAATATTAACATGTATTTTCCTTCTTTTATTTAAATACTAATAATACGCTTAGAGTACACTAAATATAGTCAACAAGAAAAAAATATATAAAATGTAGGCTTATGGCTATTGCTAGACTAGTTTCCATATAATATCACTGATCCATGGGCTGAATGAGACCGAGGCCGAAGGTGCTGCGCATGCGCTCGATGGCAGCGGCGGGGATTCCCCGGTCAAGGAGCTGGCGCTCCGCCTGCGCGATTACTTCCCGCATCGTGTTCAGCATCCCTTCGCTCTTCTTCAGCTGCTCGCTGACGAACTTGTGCCGGAAGCGCAGCTTGGCCTTCTTGATCTTGTTGTTGTAGCGTGACTTGCGGCAGGACTCTGCCCGCTGACGCTGGACATCCCTGCCCTCCATCCCCGCTCCAGATCCGAAACCAGCTCCGGGCGATGGCGTTGGTGTCGGCGTTGGCAGTACGGTGTTGAGCGGCGGCGATGTCCGACGCTCCACAACTATAGGATTTGCCAGTAGCATCTGGTTCACATAGTTCTGCTCCTGTTCGTTGTAGTGTACCTTGAGTTGAAGGAGCTGCTGGTCCACCAGCTTCTCAATTTCCTCTGGCTTGGAGACTGCCGGCGCGTAGGGGGCATAGTTGTTGCCCACATTGCCGTAGCCCAGCTGTGTTTGCAAGTGACTCTGTTCCATTATGAGTTCTCTAGTGCGAGTTCGTCTGTGACTGCTTGCGGCAAACTTTCGATTACGAATGATGCCCTGGCCCCGAAAGCATCCTGATTTTATACCCTGGAGCAGGTAGACTATGGTCTATGGGCTACCTTCATGAATGGTCAACAACTATGGATTTTATGATCTTGTTTGTGTCACTTTCGGGTTCAAGAGTACCGCCTACCTGTCTTGGGATTGGCCAGCGAATCCGGAGTCGTGTAAACAAAGGGATTATGAGGGGGAACTAACTACCTACTGATCATGGGAGAGTCAGTGATAATCGGCCACAGCCTGCATTTATAATTCCGCGGGCCTGCTGCCGGGTATTCCCAATTTCCAGTTGTCAAAAAACTAGAACGATGTGGTCAGGTGTCAAGACCTTAAATGGGCAAATCTTATGCCTTATAGTAGGTATCCTTATAATAGGTATCAAATATTAATAAAAATGTAGATTTTTTTTTGGGTCTGGAATATAAATTTGTATGAAATTCAAAGTATATATAAGAATAATGATTACTTATAATGTAAATTTATAATTCAATGTCTAAGATAGATTTTTTTAGAAGGCAAGCTGAAGTAAATTAAATTATTCGGAGTATCATAATTTAATTTGTGAAAGTACAATGCATAAATTCTTTGAATTTCATTTTTATTTATATCCCAATGCTACAAGTAAAGACTTGTATTTTAGCGATACTCACATCGTGTTAAAAATAAATTATATAAGATATTATATAAGACAAGATTAATTTAAACTTTAATAATAATAATAATAATTATTACTATGACAAAACAAAAAGGAATAAGTTTGCACTAGTTTAATAATATAGTCATTCAATTTGTATAGAATTAATACACAACTCGGATATCATATATAATTACCAAAAAACAAGAAAGAAAACTGACTTCGTCTAATCAAATTTGACATTTGTAGTTCATCCGTAGTTCAATATTTAAAGTGTTACAGAGTTTACATGCATATGTATATTCTTACTTTATAGGGTAGCATACTCATATTTGCTTTTCTGCATTGCAGACTTCGAAGTTCGAACTAAACATACGACATATGATATACGTATCTATTCGATTTATATATGGACATACAACACCCCGACTGTTTACAAAACGAACAGACTTCTTTCAAATTCAGCAAGATAAACATTTCCTTATCAAAAATCAATGTTGAGAACTGCAAATACCTTTCAAATATACAAATGCATTTGTGTTACTGACAACGAAATCTCAACACCAATTATCAGTCTAATGTCACTGATTTTTCTTAATCTGACAAATAACATATTTTTGGAAAGGAAAAAGAGAAAGGCTCTGAGAGTTCTGAAAGAACCAATCATCACGTCTTAGATCATGGCTTCCTACCTGACACTTTTGTTATTTTCCTATTATGGCTAACCCTTAAGTGTTGACAGGTAGCCATGTTTAGGACTAAGGATTCCGGGATGTGGAGACAAACAAGTTACGGCGTGTTCCAGACGGTTCATGGGGTCATATTCCATAAACGTAGTCACATCCTAGATAGTGAGGTAATTAATTTAACAACCCTCAAAAACGTGAATTGAAAACAATCTACTTACCATTTAAAAGACCAAATTTTTGTTAAGGTAAGGTTAAGGTAAAGTAAACGTTTATTCCGAAAACATGATTATATATATCTACAATCTGAAGAACAAACATACATATGTACATATGTCTATTGGACAAAAAGAAAAATTTATAATATAAAATACAAAAACATAGGGTGGACATCATTTTTTATTATAACCCAATACTTGTTGATTTTTACGTTAATAAATTAATGATTATAAAAGGTAAGTACTACCTGGATTAAAAAAGTCAGAGCTACTACTTTTAAATATTAATAAGTTTTATTGTGGATGGACTAAAATGTAATTTTATTTACTTCCTTATTGTATGGATATAAAGATCTTTAGAAATGTTATATTTGGATGCAATAGGACATAATGGAAACCACTATTGAATTCTAGAGTAATAGATTATGCCAGGGATCCAGTTTCCTTGTTGCACTAAGTATCAAATTAAGATTTCTTAGCTTCGCCAGACAAGTAAGCAATATGGTATGCTATACATAAAAAGTTCAAATTCTCAACTGTTTTTATTATATAAATATAAAGATGACCGACACCACAAAATACAGAATAGGACAGGCCGACAAAAAAACCAAGGGCCGGAATATTATTTTCCGAAGGTTTTTGATGCGCTGCACTCGTTCCTCCCTCAGGGAACCTCCTATATGCCAGGCTTATGAAATATTTTAACCAAATAGTGCAAAAAAGAAAATTGTTTGGCATATTTGAGATACTGTATTTTCAATACCTCTTTTTAAACATGCGGTATGTCAAAATATTGTACTGTTTTTGAATAATGCATTTTCTTCTACATCAAACGATCGTTTTATAACAGCTATATGATATATTTTTCGATTTTCATAAAATGAACACCGAAATTCTAGCATAATACAAAATGGCTATGTCTCAAAATATACGATAATATATTGAGAACTGGAAAAGGTATAATTTTTTTCAAAAAATTTCCCGATTCTTCCTATGACAGCTGTATGATAAAGTCGTTCGATCCGGCCAGTTCCGAAATAAATATATACAAGTGATAGTATATAGAAGACTTAATACAACGTTTCATTCCGATAGCTTCAAAACAGAGGAACTAGTTTGCGTAGAAACGGACAGACGGACAGACCGACGGACAGACGGACATGGGTAGATCGACTCGGTTGTTGTTGCTGATCAAGAATATATGTATGTATGTAGAGGTGACCCCCTCACTGCGTTGCAAACTTCTGACTAAAATTATAATACCCTGCAAGGGTATAAAACAAAGGAAGCTAACTTCAAAACTAAGTTTTTATACCCATGCAGATTGTAATGGGATCATTAAGAATCGAATCAAAGTAATAGAAAACTAACAGGTGATAATATTTAAAACGTTTGTTCATACATATAAACATTCTATTTAAATATTAACATTTTTAAATTGTATAAAACAACTCAATCCCAAGTTTAAAATATGTCATAAAATATAATTACAAATAAATGTACATGTTGAAAAACAATGACGTAAAAACAATTCATATTGTATTCACAGTTTTACAGTTACAGCTTTTATTTCTTTTGGCAGAATATCAAAGCAATTCATCCGATTTGCATAAAACTAAAACGCAAATTCTGATGACTTACGACAATATGAACTTTCCCATATACGCGTATGTTCCGAAAATATTTGGATCGTTTAGTCAGATCATCTGGATTTAAGTAATCAATTTTATATTCTTTTAGTGCAATGGAGTGAACAATATTTTTGTCAGTCCGTGTTTAACTTATCAAAACAATCTGTTTTCGAGGGATCATGTAACAAATTGTTGGCCATATGAAAAGCAACGTCTAGAAAAATTCACAAACAGATAAGAAAATTATTAAAGACAATTATTGTAAATGAGACTTTATTTGGGAATATTAAATTCTTTGTAGTAATACATTTTCTCCTCTCAACTTTGAACTTTTTATTCAAATGTATTTTTTAATTACTTAGCACGTGTTTTTGTAGATGAGTTGTAATATATTTACCAAGACTCAAATTTCCATGGTAAATGGTGCAATCGAATGCTCAGCATATTTAGGAAGTTCCAAAACTCGATTAGACAATTCACAGCTTCATTAGCACCGCGCACTGTTGTTGAGCATCTCCTAAGGAGGATCCGTTGGCAACGAAACATTAAACTTTAGCAAATAAAATATATAGGTACATAGTTCGCTGGCTTTGCATGGACCTTTTTATTCGTTGGTTTTCTTGTCTTTATGTTCGGCTGCGTTTGTTGTATAAAATGTATTTACAAACTAAGTTGAAATTGAAAATGGAAACTACCGACTGAGGATGCAGGACCTTCTCGGGACGTCCCATGCGTGTCCGATCTATCCAGAGCATCCGCGGCATCCACAGTGGACGCACTCGACAATGCGACCCTCCTCCAGCTTCGATTTTGGCACCCGGCAGATGCAATTGGTGCCGAAATTCGTGTCCCTCGTCTGGATGCAACGCAGACAGCAAAGATTCTCGTATCCGGACTTCTTCCACTTGGCAATCAGGTTGCCATCAGCTATCTTTTCCTTTAGGCAATAATCGTATAGTTCCCGGCTAATGGCCTTACGCCGGTAGAACAAATCGTATATGTAGCGCGTCTTCTGGTGGTGAATCTTAAAAATTGGCCACAATGATTCCGTGATGCGCTTGCCCTCGTGCGGTTCAGTCTCGGCTGTTAAATTGAAAAGGAATTATAAGTTTTTAAACATTGTTTACATACAAAAAAAAAAGGCGGCACTTACCCTCGCGCATTTTTTGCTCGAGTTCCTCCAAAGTGGGTTCTATGAGCTCCCAGCCATCTGGCGGGGGTTTGCGACTGCGGCGCACCTTTGGCATCTCAAAAATACAATAAAATATTTTCAACTGGGAGCTTTATTTATTTGATTTTGTTGATGATTTGAAGTTTTGTGAAAATATGAACAGCTGTGGCTGACACCCTAGAGATGGACAAATGACTGTGCCGATATATCGATAGTTTCAGTATCGATAGAAACTGGTTGCTTGTTTTATTTTTAAGCAAATGTTTTAACAGCGTCAAAAAATATGCTATGGTAATGCCCTTAAAACAGTTAAAATTAATTCAAAATTGAATCAAAAAATATTCATATATTATATCTAAGAAAGAATATTTTTTAAATGACAAAATTTATGTATAATTGAGCGAGAGAAAAAATTTAAAAGGTTTAAAAAATTGTAAGAGAGAGGGAGAACTAAAAGTCAAGAAGTCTGTTTTCATTAATATTTGTATTGCCCTCGCGGCATCTGACAACATTGTTATTTTTTCCCCTTCTTTGTAGGACTCTTCAAAAACAGTCGTTCTACACTATTTGTCTCCCGCTCTTTCCCACTGCCTTAAAGCGGTGTTCGGTGTTAAACAGGAAACTAAAAAAATGAGCTTCAATGAAATCCATCTGACTTGAAAGCTTTACTCCAAGAGATATAGGATCGTATTTGGCATTGTATTAAAATCTATGCCAAAGCATTGTAAATGTGTTGTACAGGCCAAATATTATTTTAATATTAATATTAGAAAAAACATATTTCTTATCAAAAACTAAATGTTAAACGCACTGTCCTAATTAATAGTGATCAAATTCTTCATATCGTATTTGCCGTGTCGGGTCTCTAGTATTGAATAAAAGGTAATTAAATTTTATAAAAAAAGTAAAATGATTATTAAATATGTACAACTTGAAATATTTATACGGTATGTAATTCAGAACATATAGATTATTTTACAATTAATTAATTTAAAAACCTAGCTAATTTTAGGAATTTTTTATAAACAGTAGACAGAAAGACTTTTTAAAAAATGAAATACTTTTATTTGTTCATAAATTTTTTGTTGGCTTAATATGGCTACTTGCACATTGCGCACGTCTTAATCGTACAAAAATTATTCTTATTTTGAGTTTATTTATTTACTTTTTTTAATTAGATACATTTGAGCATGTACAGTAAACAAAACCTCTGATTACAATAAAATGTCGAAAATAATCGTTAAAGTAAACGCTTGATAAATTGTTAATATAAGGGTTGTTAAATACTCTTGGGGATTTTAAAACATATATTAAGGTGTCTATCAATGAAATATGTCAACTGATGTTTTGAGTAAACTCTTTAGGCAAGCCTTAAAATATTTAAAAATAAATAAGCAAACTAATTTTTTTTTCTGGTAGGAAAACACTCTTGGAGAAACGTTTACATAAGTAGGTCTTTTCATTTTACCTATATGTTGTTCGGAATTCAATACATCAGCTTAATATTATAATAATAACACGAAAATAGTGTGGATCGAAAATGAGTCTTGCTCTGCCTAAAAACGATATCCTTTATTCCATAAAAATATAGATTGATGGCTTTATATGAAAAAAAAGACATGGCTAATTCGACTTGCTCCGTGATGTTAATTACAAAAAAAATAAGATTGTGCTTAAAGATTATGCTGCAGATCCATGTTGAACTAAAATACAAACATGTACTGTTATTAAAAAAAATTACAGCTTCGGATCGGTCGACTATAACATATAGCCGGCATAAGAACATCGGAAAATGTAAAAAAAAAAAAAAACAGTTATAACTATTCCAGTTCTCATTATATTTTTATGTAATTTGAGATACCCATATTGTATTACTCTAGAATTTTTATTTTAATTTTATAAAAATCGGACGACTATATCAGCTGCCATAGAAAAAATATAAATGTAGTGGAAAATGCAAGGCTGTGAATTTAAAATAAGTGTAAATGTAACGAAAGTCGGCTATACTTCGATGTTTTTCAACATAAATATATATAATTTATATTGTATTAGTTATTTATGATGTAATTGCAATCTTCTATACCCTATACATACTTCGGCGTGCCGAAGTTGGCTTCCTATCTTGTTAATACTGACTTCAATGCAATTTTGTTAAAAATATTCCAGACATTAGACACCTTAATGCATTTTGTTTAATACTCTAGAGATTCCATAATCACACCGCTTAGTTTTGTTTTAGAACTTTGCTTTTGGATTGATAAATAGACGAGACTAAAAAAAAGCTATACTTTTAAAGAGTTATAGTTCCGGGACCCGCTCCGGACTAAAAATGAGTGTAGTTTCTGGTTTCGCTGGCTTAGTTGTTCTTCTTCTTCGGTTTCTTTGGATTCCGGGAGCGCGACTTGGCCTTGCAGAGCGGGCAGATGGGCGCGTTGCGGTGGATCTGCTGGTGGCAAGACAGACAGGACTTCATGGGCGGCGGCTGCTGACGGAGATTTACGTTGAAGTCAGAGCGGAACGACGGATGGTGGCCGATACCGATCGACGGCGATTGCTGGAGCCTGTTTGTCGGCGGCGGCGGCGGTGGTGGTGCTGAAAAGTCGCCCTTACCCAGACGCACTGCGGCAGCTCCAGCACTGCCCGTTCCCGGTGGCGCTGGTGGCATGAAAGCATGCCCAGGCTGCCCAGCTCCTCCTCCACCGCTCCCGCCCACTGAGCCAGCTCCGCTGCCAGCACTACCGCCGCCACCCGCTCCCCCCGAGCCAACGGAAGAGGGCAGGGCCGTGACAGTGGCCTCTGGCATCAGAGGGTGCCTGGCATGGGGCCTGGCCAGCGATGTGGGTTGGTTCACGGACGCTGCCGCTGCCGCAGCCGCTGCTGCAGCCGCCGCAGATTGGGCGGCCACTTTAAGGAAGTTGGTCTGAAAGCGATCCTTCGATATGGGGCTGCCCTCCTCCTCGTGCAGGTCGCGCAAGGGACTCAGCCCCAGGTAGTCCCTACGCATGTGGTCAATCTGGTACTTCAAAGCCAGGTACTCCTCGTAGACCCTGTTGGCCATGTCGAAGGACCGCGTCTGGTTCTCCTTCGTCTGCTTAATGATGTTTTCCATATCATTGATGTCCGCGTGAATCTGGCGCAGCTCTTCCACGTGCGACATCTTCTCCTCCAGCAGGTGCTCCATCTCCTTGCGGTACTCCTCCAAACATTTCTCCTCGTCGTCGCTCAGCTTCACCTCCTTAATGATCCGCACCTTCAGCTTCTCCAGGGCCAACGTCTTATCGCGTATGTCCTTGATAGCCTCTAGCTTGGCGTAGTAGTGGCGCTCGTTGGAGCTCGTGATTTCGCTGGTGGCCATTTTTCCTTTTCCAATATTCGCTGCGTGTGGGATGTTCAGTTTTGTTTTTCCTTAACCCCGTGGGAGGGGGGTCGGCTTTGTGTCTTTGTGCACTTTCTCACTGTCCCAATGCCAAAATCCCACGTGATGCGGCTGCTCTTCGAATATTCACTAAGACAAAATAAATTTCATCTCCTTATTCCGGAAAAATGATTTTTTAATTGAATTATCCGCTATTTATTTGGTTTTTTCGATACTTTGTGTATAGTATAGAGCCGAAACTGACTTTGATGGACCGATGTATCGATATATCTATGCTTGTACAATTTCCTTAGACATCGATATTTTTTGAAAATGTTTGGTATTTTTACTGTCTCCACGTTTGCGTTCGATTATAATCGAAATTAGTAAATCCTAAGCTATCATTTTAAAAACCACATATTATAAAACAAAATTTTATTTGCTTACTACAGTATTAACTCTTTTTTAATTTATTTATTTAATTAAATTTGCCTCGCTTGAAACGCCACAATAAAGATTGACTTCGCGACTGACGTTGAAGGGAACCAATGAAATTAATCCTGCTTTGTACATATTCGGCGGAGCGAATACCATCGTCGTCCAAAGACATTATTTTCGTCCCCTGTGACGAACATCGCATAAAGATACCCTCGTCACTACTCCCTCTATTAACATCACCAATTTCATCCACCTGAAAAAGTAATCCATTCGACTAAAGTTATTTTCTTTCAATTTCTCACCGTCGTTCTAAATTAGGTCTGTCTAAAGTTTTAACCTGGCAAAGCCTCACACATCTCGCTTATTTTAATATCCGTATATTTTAAGCCTGACATACAGGGTATTCCGTATACGATAGATACCTTTGAACTTCTCTAGTGTAACAGTATTTAAGTATATTTCTGTGACCTTAGCTCAGTGGTATATTATAACGGTCAAGCCACGGTCATACTTATTAGCTTCGCCCGATTTTTTTTTAAGTGAACTGGAGACAAAGACCGCGGATCGAGCTACTGGTCTGGCTCTCTGGTCGTTATTGTCCGAAAGTGTATTGTAAATCATATCTTATCCCGGGTGTTGTTCCCATCCCGCAATATCCTACATTCGCCATCTCTTCGTCCCCACCCAACTACACAACGATCTTACAAAAGAAAGACAAATAAAAACAATGCGTACGCGAGAGTGTTAGTGTGTGTGTGCAAGGTACCCTACAAGTGATTCACTCTGCGAAAATCTTTAATCAAATAAATTTAAAAAGCCGGAGTTTGAAGAAATGTGTCAATTAAAGATCGATCCGTAAGAGATCAGTGCAATTTACGTGGGAAACTGTGCTAGACTCAAGGCTCTCTTCTACTCACTTGCTCGCTACTCTCTTTGTCCGCGCATCGCTTTATTTTCGTTTTTTTTATGTTGTGAATAACAAAAAATTTAAACCCGCAGAAATTGCATACGAAACAAGAAAAAGCGAAAGGTAAATGGGTTTTAAAGGTTTTATGGCCTTTCTTTCTTTCCCCTTTTATTCCTCTCTTTCATTATTATGTGGATCTCGTTTTATCTATAAGCTACATTTGTATCTCAAAAAACACGTTATGATCAATCTATCAGGCTTGTGCCATATACATATCTATGTTTATAATGTATTTATGTAAATATATGATATATTTCTATGTTGGTGAGCCGAAGTACTATTAATTAGTACTTCATCTAAAGCGGATGAATCATGAAATTTATTTACATTACTGATGAAACGAACATGGGCATGTCCTAGGCTGTCAATAATGAACTAACCTTTCATTAACAAATACTGGGTATTGTCATCAACATTTTAGGATAATAAAGCTACATATTTATCAATTTGTTATCAACTATGTATTCATCGAACTACTATCACTTTATTTTCTATGAGAGAACATAAGAGAGAGAGTCGATTTTGACCCGATTGAGAGCGTCGGCTAGGCAGAAGTCGAAGTCAGCACGTTGATGACATTCTATTGATGACATGGAACTGCAGATTTAACACACATGTGTTTGTGTGTATATACAGATCGCTTCTAACTGCTTATCGGTCCCATTTTGCCAGACAGAGAAAGAGAGAGAGAGAGAGTCAAAGGGATCGGCGCTGTCCAATAGTTGCGACTCTTTCACCTGTCATTGTTGACACCAAAATGGCACGAATATATGGCATCTCGCTCTCTTATTTGGCCCATTTCGTTGCTGTTGTTTTAATTGTTTGGCAATTAACGAAATTATAAACATATTAAGCCAACACCAATCGACACACATTCCGCCGCGACTTGGTTTCCCTTAACTTTCGCATCAGAACACTCTACCTATATTAAAGCAGTTCAGAATTTTGTATCTAACTTTGAAAATATAGAAAGTATTTAATGGATTATTTTGAAGCAATGGGTATAATCCTAATCAACTTGGGTTTTCCAAGAACGAACTTTTTATTAAATACAAAATTATTGCCTTAAAAAAGTATAATAATTCAGTTAAAAACTTGTAACGCCGTGATGGAGGCATTTCCGACTCTATAAAGTAAATATATATGTATATATATTCTTGACCAGCATCAACAGCCGAGTCAATCTGGCCATGTTTGCCTGCCCGTTCGTTTTTTTTCGCAAACTAGTCTCTAAGTTTGATGATGCCGATCGGACATTTATTTACATATGTATATACAGCTGTCATAGGAACTATCGGAAAGTTAATAATAATAAAAAAAAATACTATTTTAAACATATTTTATCATTTTTACTTAGCATTAAATCATATAGGATACATTGAATAAATTAAATAAAATGTTAACCATATAGGTCTGTTCTTTCGGTTTAAGAAGACAATTTGCTTTAACAAATAATTATTTAAAAATTCGCTGAGTTCAGCATTTGCTTACATACATACGCACATTGAGGGCCACTTCCGTTTTCTGTGTTTTTGAAATCCATTATTATTTTTTTGCATAAAAAACTTCTGATAACTACCAAGGAGAAATTTTTACCAAGCGTAGATCCAAAATAAAAATAACGAACTGGTTAAGGAAATATGTTGCAATGTTTACTATATAGATGGGAACCGTAGGGATGCACATATATGTACAAACAGCGATAAAATAATTTAAATTTCAAATTCTGGGTTCTTTTGTTGATCTTTCTAGAGAATCTGTAATATAAACGCAGTTATAACCAGTGTTGTACTAGAACTTCCGACGGCGCATAGAGGCAGCATCGAATACTAATGAAGAAGGAGTGAATCCTCTCTGAAACTGATGCTTATCTAAGACACCTTTTTGTCTTGGACAATATGTTGTAAAGTTATTGTTTGATAAATGTACTGATGATGATGAAACCTCAATGAATACTTAAACGAGACACTAAGAAATCCTTGCATGCATCAACAAGACTAAAAAATAAAGTAAAGTATAGAGTAAAGTATAGGTCGTTGACTATTCTCCTAGTGTGCGTTTATTTTTCTGTGTGTAAATCAAATCACAAATCGATAGCAACATGCATACGACAAAAAATGTTGTCAAACAACTTTGAAATCGAGTCGCGAGCTCTCTGAGCCCCACCATAAACCCCACATTTCTTATATTCTTCTCCGTACATCTGTCTTATATAATTGGGACCATGGAAGCGGTAAGCGCGAGTGTTCCCATAACCTCCAGTTTTCTTTCTTTTTAGGCACTATATGAATACGATCCGAGAATATGCGGCGAACAGCTAAGTCAGCTTTTTTACTGTCGCAGCTCTCTTATCGCATTAATAAACATAAACAAAAACAGAACTTAAACTCTGGTGAATCACAAAGTCATGCAAATAATGAGCAAAGTGAAAAATGTAATAAGAAACAATGTTAATTTTTCCTAGAAACTTTGTTCTTCTAAACAATTATATTTGTTTTTTTTTTTGTAATTTCGTTTTAAAATGGCACAGATAAAGTTGAATGCATAGTATCAATTGTATTATATCAATTATTATTATGCTCAAATTTGCACTTGGTCAATGAAAAATGATGTATTTACAAATAATGCCAACAGAGGCAACAAAAGAAGGAAAGCATGAAATATGAAAAATGAGAACGGAATACCAGTGATTCATGCAAATAAATGGCGATCCAATTGCAAGTACTCATGAATGCCTCACCATGCCCTCATTTCCATAAAGAAGTATACAGTAATTTAAATATTGTATGTCATTTATTCACAAATTTAGATCCATAGGCAAAAGAAAACACCAAAATATGAAAAGTTAATAACAAAAATAAGAAAGGAAGCTAACTTCGGCACGCCGAAGTTTATATACCCTTGCAGATAGAAATTCTATGACTAGGAATCCATACAATATAAATTATATATATTTGTGTTAAAAAACAATGAAGTAATACCTGCTTTCATTTCATTCACCTATACATATTATATTTGCAGCTTTTCATTCACAGATTTCCATTTTTCTGCTACATCAAACAATAGTTTGTATGGCACCTATATGATATAGTCGTCCGATTTTCATGAAATTTGACACAAAATTTAAGACTAATATAAAATGGCTACACCTCAAATTTGATGAAAATCTGTTGAAAACTGAAAAAGTTATAATTTTTAATTGTATTAATTTCTCGATCGTTCGTATGGGAGCTATATGATATAGTAGTCCGATTTTCATAAAATTTTATACAAAATTGTAGAGTATAGTAAAATGGCTATATCTCAAATTTGATCCAATTCTATTGAAAACTGAAAATGTTAAATTTTTTTTTTGTAAAATTTTCCTATCATTCCTATGGCAGCTATATGATATAGTCGTCCGATCCGGCCCGTTCCGACATATATACGAGTGAGAGTATATAGAAGGCTAACTACAAAGTTTCATTTAGATAGCTTCAAAACTGAGAGACTAGTTTGCGTAGAAACGGACAGACGGACAGACGGACAGAAGGACAGACGGACAGACGGACAGACGGACATGGCTAGATCGACTCGGCTGTTGATCCTGGTCAAGAATATATATACTTTATATGGTCGGAGGTGCCTCCTTCACTGCGTTGCAAACTTCTGACTGAAATTATAATACCCTGCAAGGGTATAACAATCACATTTATACTGAAAAGAAAATCTAAATGTTTGCTATCGAGGCGTAACTTAAAACCTAAAATATCTGCATTGATCAATTATTTGAAATAATTATAATTCATGATGTCCTTTTGAAATTACATTAATATCTTTATTGATTTTGTTATATTGGTTACAATTTATCTTATAACATAAGACCCGAGTTTTTTTTTATTAATTACCCAGAATAATAATCTATGTAATCAGCTTTCTTTCCTAAATGAATTATATATTTAAGAATGGGCAATCCGTCAACATTTTTGTGTCGATATTTGTTTACATTAGCTGTGTTTGTGCGAGAACGAATTCATGCATTTAATAAATGAATTCAGAATGTATTCATGTATAAAGTAAATTTTAAATTTGGAATAAACACAACCAATCTGTGTTGAAGACTAAAAAGACAAAAATAATTTCCCTATTTTTATTTGTAAATAGTGAACTACAAAAATGTTACATGTTACATGACATTTCTGTTAAATTGAATCCGTGAATTCATGTGTGTCGCATAAACTGAGGCTTTTTTGATTTCTCGCGTTCAAGTATTTCATAGCATAGGAATGATAAGAAAGTGGTGCTTTGATTTTTGAAAACCATTCGACAACAATACCCATTTCAATTAATTCCAAATTGTAGAGCCATTTTCCAAGAGTGTACGAAAGCTAAAATATCGTCGGCCCATTCATGGATCTATATGACCACTCATCGCTTGGCATATTTATTGTACAATTATCATCGTCCCTGGTCACTATAAATACGAACGATATCTGCAAACGTGTGTATATAGCACGGGTTTAATACTATATATGTACATATGTATTTGTGGTGCGAATACAGTGCCTGTTCATATCACAAAGAGTGACACATTTCGTATATATATTTAATGAAAAGCTAATTTAAAAACTACATTTAAGATTGCCAGAATTCTATAAGAGTTAACGAATACAAATATGAAAAGAATCCATTTGTTTAAAGTTCTGTCCCAACAAAATGTTACAACCTAAAGCCAAGCCTAAAGAATTGAACTTTGAAACGATAGTGAATACATATATGTACATATACATATATCGTTTGCTGAATTGAGTAACTGTATGATTGTTTGGTGCAAAACAATTGATAAACTTGGTCAGCATTTAAAAATTGATTGCTCGGAGTGAAAACCGGAACCAATAATCGATTAAGCTCCCGAAAAGCTGATACGACGGGTGACAATGTTGTAGTTATTGGAGTTAGTTTCCCGGAGACCAATAAAAAAAAAATAGTATTATCGGGACGGTCCGTTTCCATGTGAATCATCCATAACTCGCATTGATCAAGAGTTTATTCATCCAACTTATCCGGCGCAATATGCGAAGAGAAATGCCAGCGACAATAACATTATAATGATATGTTCATGTAAACAAAATAATCGAGGCTAAGGGTAGTGGAGAAGAACTCCCATTTTGAAAAGGGGAATACCACTTAAATGCCAACGTCCACTCTTTGGGCTCCACCACACACATCACATCCGATCTGGCATTGTCTGGACCTCTCCACATTCATTTCGAAGAGTTGAAGGGTTCAGACAACTGCCATAAAGCTAAACAATTCGAGTACGAGGAATTAACTTGAAGCCTTCACATAGCTATATTTTGCAATACTTAAACTTGTCGTTTATTGAAAACAAGAAACTGTAAGATACGTCTAAAGAATTAATTGATTATATAACTTCATTGTAATTCCCTGGTCTCAGTAGTTCCGCAAGCCATTATTACTTATTATTTGACATTTTACCGCAGTTTTTAGTCTTTATATTTATTTATTAAAATTAATAAAGGAGAGTATTGTCTAAAAATTGCAATTCAATTCGTAACAAAGACGTTCGAGCTCATGAAATCTCCTTCAATGTTGTTTACTCATATGAGCGATGCCCTTATTGCTCATATTTGTATACAAATGTACATATTTTACTGTGTATACCCCTTTTCAACTCGGCTGCTTATACTGATCAAGAATATATACTTTATGGTCGGCAATCTGTAGTAAACTGTAATTTAATAAGCTATGGGATAAAGCTGTCTTATCCGACTGGTAAACTAGTAAGTTGACATAGTAAGGGACGTATAGATGGACATGGCTAGATTCACTCGACTGATGATGCTTAGATGCTTATAGGCTATAAGTTATAGCATTTGTTTTCTGAACTGCGTTGCAAACTTGTAACTAAAGTCATAATACTCTTCAAAAGGGCATAATAAAAGCAAATAATCGACTTGAAAGAGAAAAGGGAAAGCTTAGGTTTAGTAATGATCGGATAGAAGAAGCTAATGTCAATCGATCGCTGGACAATAAATGCAAACACGTGTCTTTAATTTTCGAGCTCTCCCCTCATTTTATTTTATTTGACTTGACTCGGAGTAGTAATTTGCCACTTAAAAATGCAAAATACCTAAGCGTAATACAAATCTTAATAAGTTATGCTATAATAGAGCTAATTGGCTAGCTAATTAGAGTAGTCAAGACGCCTTCGAGCCACCGCCAATCTCAGAAGTCTTCTTCGCTGTAAATCCTGCAATTGTTGCTGGACCAGCAGGCGATGAAGTAGCTCCACTTTGGCGTATTCCTGGGCCTTCCGCTGGACCCTCTTCTGCTCCTCCTCGACGAAAGTTTCCATGGTCCTGGAAACCATATTGCAGTATTCCAAATTGTCCATCTTTTCGGTTTGTGGCTTTTTGTGACTCTGTGATGTGTGTCTCCAATACGTTGTCTTTATAAACTGCAGTAATATGGCGATAAGGTTACTCCAGAAAATTAACGAAGTCTGATAGAATTCCGAAATGGTTATCGACATGTCGACAGCTCGGTTAACCGGAGAGATGTGTGATATTCAGGGAAAGTTCCATGCCTATATATACCAATCGGTGCATCGATGAAACCCTCTCAGGTAAAACCCCAATGGTGTATAGTGGCGACAGGTATGCCCTCAAAGGATTATATTTGGGGTAAACCCATATACATTATTTTTACCTTGAGCAATGAGTTTTCTTTTAGAAAACCCCTTAAATCCTCGTTTACCTAGATAAAACAGTTATATTCTACTATTCTTTCCATGTTTCTAATTCTAAGTCAATAGTATATAGTTCTAAGGTATTGTTATGAATAAATATCGGAATACGCTTTAAAATTAATAAATATTTATTGATTTATTTTAAGGCTTAGTCATGGAACAGGCGCGACCCGTGCCCGCTCCCCGCCGCCTCTATCCGGAACTGAGACCCGCCAACTACGAGAACATCGAGATCAGGACCCGAATGTAAACCAAAGCAATGCCGCATCTAATAGTGGCAATAACAATAATAATAACAACACGAAGGAATTAAATATAAATGCCGAGAATCTGCACACAAATTGTTCAGACAAAAAGCTGCCATCGAGTGGTCAGGACAAGTTGATGCTGCAACCGATTTATGGGCCGGATGCCAATGAGAATGTCCAGGAGCCAGTATATGCCGCTCCAAAGCCCGCTCCCCGCCAACGAATGCCAACGGAAGCGCCGAGTGAAAAAGAGGGGAATCAAGATGGGGAGTTGACCCCACTGCGAATCCTGCGTGCTGCTCCACAGGTACCCCCAAAGCCCGATCAGCGTTCATCGGTCTGCAGCGAACTATCTACCACCAGTGTCATAACCGGAGGCAGGGCAGACGAGGATCGGGACGGATCCCGGTATGCGTCCAACATATCGCTGGACTACAGCGAGAGTTCCCACAGCGGCAAGTTCAAGTCGCAGTCACCCGGGTACGTAGACGCCGTCGATTCATCACCCATCCATAAGTCGCAGGAGCACGGGGAGGATCCAGAAGATGAGCAGTCGTCCTGCTCCGGGGAACAGTCCGAAAGCCGAGATGGCGACGATGACAAGTAAACTTTGACCGCAATTCAATCATTTGATATTTCTGTTTTCCGCACTCTCTAGCACTCCTTGGGTCTGCCCTTAGTTTTGTAAGCTTTGTAAGGTGGTTTGCGGTAAGAAATAACATATAAATTAAGTCCCTTTTTACAAGGCATTTAACCTGTGATTGAATTAAATCTAAAGGAATTAAATATGCAAGTTAATCTGATATTGAAGAATTAGCACTAAATGAACTGATCTTAGTTTAAATAAAAATGTCCTTCAATTGCCTTCCACTATGTGCTAAATCGGGCTATTAGCAAAATTGCATTTTTCTGTTTTACATCTAGTTTAAATTTATTTAAGTATTCAAGTAATGCATTCTTAATCCGATGGGTATGTTTTAAAGTACACGGATAATTGTCTTAGGATTTCTAAAACATTTCAATCTGTAATCAGCGTTTTTTTCCACAAAAAGTCTGTGTCAATGAGATCTAGAAAACGACTTAAAGACCAACATAATGGCCACAAATCCATTTTTATCTGTTTGAAGTTGGCGTTTTGTAAAAACAAATTCACTCCTTTGATTCATTTCTAGATTATTTACCATTTTTACAAATTCCATTTGTTTTTTTTATTTTATTTCTATTGATTAACTTCATGTATGAGCATAGGAAGCATGATGACTTTGGGAAGGTGTTTTGGGGGTTTTCTGTAACAGATTTAACAGCTGTTAATTTAAAAAATAACTATTTTTAATATAATATGCACCGATACTTAAAACAATAGATGTAACAGAACTAGGTGCTTTTATAGTTATAATGTTTTTTTTATAATTTAATTTCCTTGGTATAATGTTGTATTTTGTGACATAACTTTATTTGTTCTTTAGATTTCAATTCCTATTTAGGTTTAATTATTTTAGCACTCATTTATCAATAATACTTCTGGATTTCAAATGTTTTCTTTGGGCTGAAACCATTTTATGGTTTAACAACTTCTTTGAATACTTCTTGGTTCACACTCACTTACTAACTTTTAAGGAAACGGGATTCAGTTTAATTGAAAAACTGGCGCAAAAACACTAAATAATATATTCAATTTTAGCGACCTTCTGCGATCTCTGGGCACCACTTCCAAGATGCTGGGCGAAGCCATCGGTGAGCGGATCACGTTCAAGGCTAAAGGAGCCAAGAAACGCCTGGACAAGAACTTTAAGAACTCCACTGAAGCGATCAGCAACCTTGGTGCGGATGCGGGCCGGAGCTTAAAGCACGCCAGCAAGCGATTTGGATCGAACTTCAGCAGTCTCGGACGAACAAAGGACAAGCCTGATGGCGGGGACGGTTCTAGAGCAGATGGATCATGTGAATCTGATCTTAACCGACGCCAGACGATGCCCAATACGGAGGTCTTCAGTGCCATTCAGTTCTCCAGTCCGCTGAATCGCAACGGAGGTCTTTCTGATCTAAGGCAAGACCAAGACGACGGCTATCCCTTGGATGTCAAGAAGGCAGGGGATCTTCATGAAGACGACGGCTGCTACGAGGTCCCCAAAACACAGGGCAAGCCGCCCAGCTATGACGAAGCTCTGCGTGCACGACCCACGCCCAGTGCCTTGCCAACATCCAGGAATCTCGCACACGATGCTGCCCGGCTGGTGCAGCTGCGCAGCCAGCGGCAGGTTAATGTTCCATTAAACACCAACAGTTCCTCCAGCGGCGAAGATTCACCGCACCCCCTGCCTATGCCTGCCTATCCGCCACCCCGCCTATCCCAGCAGCCGGAGCAGTTCCGCCTGGATGCCCTACAGCCGCCGCGACGGCAGAAGCGGCGTAAGAACTACGAGCACATCGAGTTGCGACGTCCACCTCTGAACTCAGCGGAGCTGGAGGAGCTTAACCGGTCGGCGGCGGCTGCTGAGCGCGAGGAATCCTTGCAAATATCCGCCAATATTGCGGAGGCGGAATCCAAGACACCAAAGCCAGAGCGCAGCGATTCCTGGGAGTTCTACGGCGACGAAAAGACTGAGGAAGGAGGGGAGGCCGATGATTCCTCTCCGGAACCGGTGTACGCCAATCAGGACGCAACCTATGGCAAGCTCTTCGAAATGGCCACCGCTGGAACTAGTCGCAGTAATCTCCTTACTCCCAACCAAGCGGGCGAACAGCAGCTGGCCTGCATCAGCGAGAATGCGGAGGAAGGAGCTGTCGGCGGTGTCCCCTGCCGCTGGAATTGATCGAGGAGTTTGATCCGCTAACCAGCAAGTGCTCTACATTGGCCAGGTCGAACAAGAGCAACGAGCTACTGCTCCTTGAACACCTGCTCGAGGAGGACACCTATGGCACAGTGAAACGGGAGCAGGACGATGTCAGCATGTGCACATCCGAGGAGGAACCGTCCTCCATAGCATCGAAGGAACAGCCGCAGATAGTGCACCAGAATTCCCAGCTGCTAAGCGACAGTATGGAGAACATGCTGGACTCCGATCAGGAGGCTGCACGCGACGAGGAGCGAGCCAAACCCTATCTCACCAGAATGCCAACGACCGGCAATAAGGACGTGGCCGTGGATTTGGCCAGTGCTTCGAGAAATCGTACCAATTGGTTTGTGGCAGACAGCGCCGGTTCATCTGGCAGACCGACCGCAACCACCAACATTGAAGGCGACAGCCCGCCAACCTATCTTGAGGCCGTTGGAGGCGGCGGCAAGGATAACGCAGCTAACAGTCAAGAGAATCGTTCCACCATTGGTTCCCGCTTCAGGCAGACAATCAGCGCCTTCTCCAATGTTAAGCTACGCATGGACGCCATGAAGCGGAAGGCCAGCTTCCGGACAGCCAATCAGCGACAGTCGGATCTGAAGGTGGCTCTGCAAATGGTGCCACGACCATGTCTGTCACCCCTTCTCGTACGATACGAGGGACCGCTGGTGCGCTTTCCCACGGGCGTCGTGGAGGACATTCTCAAGGAAATGCAGAACCGCAAGGCCATACTCAGAGAGCGACAGTTCCAGACATTTCTGGACCAAGAGATGAAGACGTTAAGGGAGGTTATACCCCTGGAAACGGTCACCACCCTACAATGCGTTAGCAACAGCCGCGTTACCGATACGGCCACCCATTTCTACTGCTTCGAGATTACAACTTCGCAGCCGAAAAATGGCAACGGGGCTAGCGATGCCATGTCCACGAATCCTAATCTCCTGATGACCAGTAGCTCGTCGGGCAATGTAAAACAGCAGCGCGTCTCCCATCTCTATGGCGTTGGCAAAGAGTCAGAGCGCGGCGTCTGGATGCAGAAGATCCTCGAGAGCCTTACGAACAGCCTGCCAGTGAAGTACACCTGTCATTACTATCGCGCCGGTTGGTGTTATCTCAAGGTGGGCATTAGCAGGAGTTTCAGTTCCCTTATGTAATCTTTTATTTCCTCCTCGGCAGACGTCTATCACCTCGGAGTGGAGTGGCACTTGGTTAGTGCTTCGCAAGAGCCAAAGGCGGCTAATCTTCGTGAGCGAGTCAAACGGCAACGTAGAGAAGATGGATCTGCGCAAAGCTAGGTGCATAGGTATGTAGACAAAGAAACAAAGCTGAAATGTACACACCTTTCATTTGAATTCAATTTTTAATCGTTATCCTGAAGTGCTTAAGGAGAGCGATGAGTCTATCGAAAATCTGCACGTGGAGAGTGGGCCCATGTTGATGATTGACTGCCCACCGTATGCGGTCTACATGATTATGAGTTCTGCGAGAGAGACAAAGATCTGGCGACACATCATTCGCGAAGTGGCCCACAACAATGGATTTTCGTTGGGTGACCAACAATTGACGCGCTACGATGTGCCCGTAATTGTGGACAAGTGCATTAACTTTGTCTACATCCACGGATCCATGTCGGAGGGCATATATCGCAAGTCCGGGTCGGAGAACTCTATGCACAAACTGATGAGCGCTTTCCGTGCGGATGCCTTCAATGTGGAGATCACCCGAAGCGAGTACAACGAGCACGATGTGGCCAATGTGCTGAAGCGTTTTATGCGCGACCTGCCCGAGCGGCTGCTGGGCAAGCTCACGGATAGCTTTGTGTTCGTCACGGAGCTGTCTGTGGCTTCTGAAAAGATACCCATTTACAGGGAGCTCCTAGCCAGACTCTCCGCCATTGAACGCGAAACGTTGCGCCGGATTGTGGGTCATCTGGTGTTTATCAGCTCACAGCAGTCTAAGAACAAGATGAGTGTCCAGAACCTGACCATGATCTGGGGCCCAACGCTGCTGGCCAAGAAGGTGCGTTGCTATAGTGTTAACTTAATTGTTGTGCTTATGCCTATGCTCTTATAATCTTCAGAGCGATGAGCTGATCTATTCGCAAAAGGAGGCGGATGTGCTAAGCGATCTCATAGTGCTCTACAAGAATCTATTTCCATGCAGCATCGATGAAATGGTAAGCAAACGTGGAGATTTATCCATAAAATCTACAATTTAATTCGTTTTTTATCTGAGCAGAAACGGGAACAGGCCATGCTGGCGTGCCTGCAAAAATATTATGCGGCCGCCGAAACGCTCAAGGATGCAGTGAAGCAGTCCGGTGACATCAAAATCTGGATCAGTCTGAACCCCAATCCAGACAATACCACAGAGGTGCAATTGCTTGCTCAAATTGAATTATTAAAATATTTTAACAAACAAAATATAAAATTCGGTTTCATCAACAGGAAAAGACGCAGGTTAATGCCACCATTTCACCCACAAAGACCGCCTATGAGCTGTGCCGGGAATACTCCGCCAAAATGAAATTATCTACTCATCAGCTGACCCTGTACGAAGTGATACTGAACGACAGTTTGGAGCGACCGCTGCATCATGATACCAAAGTATTTGACGTGATCCTCAATTGGTCATATTGGCCGGAGGAGGATCGCAAGCACAATTATCTGGTGATGCGTCCGATTGACATGCTGTGCGAGATCCAGCGCGCTGTGAAAAATCTAGCCACGGTAACTCCCGGCAAGGAGCTACGTTTCGCCGACTATCGCACCAAGACCTTCAAGACGCTGCAATGCGAGCTGCGCGACGGAAAGATAGTGGTGTCTAAGAAGGACAAGAACGACAAGACGACCATTGTGCGCGAGGTGTTCCTGCAGAGCTGCACAGCCTACCTGGGATGTGAGCGCAAGCGGGACTTTCCCTGGAGCTGGGCCATCACATTTGTAGAGCGCACGCAGGCGCAAATTATGAGGTTGGTCACAGGTCACTAGGGTTTTATATATAGATCACTGAGGACGGACGTCCACATATTGACATTAAGTACGGAGAGGCAACTGATATATAGAAACGCAAATTTAAAAATCAGGCTTCAATTGTCCGATCGTTAGAATCAATATATCATATATACCATATCGAAAGGATTTTTAGAATACTTGAACTTTTGAAAGCACAATTTGTTTAGAAGAAATTGTGTTATAAATGTGCAAAATGAATTTGTGGATCTGGTAGCGATAAGTATAGCTTAGTGTCAATCTGAAATGTATGTAAAAGAGAGGTGGTAGGCATCTCCGATCCCATAAAGTATATATATTCTTAATCAATATCAGCACTTCAATATATGTCTGTGTGAAGCAGTAAAATCGGTGACAACATTCTATCTGTTGAAACAGCAGAAACTTAAGTTGGCTACGCCCGTTCCCGCCACATGAAACCCCGTTAATAAGCTAGAGTAGTTAATTTTTTGCATAAAGTACAAATTAACATCAAAATCGAATTGTTAATTGATGTTTTTATACCCTTGTTTTTTAGTCAAAGGTTTCCAACGCATTGAAGGAGTAATTTTCGAACATATAAAGTATATATGTATATTCTTAATCGGCATTAACAGCCGAGTCGATCTAGCCATTTCCATCGTTTATATTGAATTAATTCTTAATGATCAGAAGTTAGATTCCTTTCTTGTTACTTGATATATTTACATACATATGTATGAATTGTAAAAATAATAAAATCATTATTGTAGATCGCGCGATGCACCCTTTATTGGCCACGTCCTGGCTGGCAGCGAATGGATGGACCGCACCATCTGGTACTCTAGCATCTGGTACTGCCTGTACAAGGACAACATTCTGCCCCCAGCGGATATTATTTTTAAGTAGAACAAAAATATTATTTAAATGCCTTAACGTGTGCATTTCGTGTAGACATTTTGTGAATTTATTCGCTTTAGTTAGGCACTGTTTACTGTATATACATATATTTGTAGATAGCAATATACTGTAAATAATTTTTTATTCATGAATAATTATCATAAAACAAGATTGTACATACATCTAACGAAAAGAATTGTATCACCAAGTCCATTTTCCATTTGACTTTACCTATTATTTATTTTTAGGCATGAGAAACCAACTATAAATAAGAACAGGCCGTGCAGTGCATCAAATTATGTTTAAGCTAGTTATTTTATAATATCTTTGTCATTTTTATACACAAAAACCCTTTTTGAAACGATTTTGCTTTTATGTATGTATGTATGCACGTATTTTCAGATATCAAACGAACAACCGAATGCATTTAAAGTCCAGAAGCGAGATATATATTTCATGGCAATAAATCCGATGTATTTAAAAATAATTCGCTGTATTTATTATATATTTGTAAGGTATTATAGTTTATAACCAGGAGCTTGCAACGCAGTGAATGAACCATTTTCGACTCCATAAAAAATATTGTATATTCTCTAAAATTAACAGTCTGTCCGTTACTACGCAAATTAGTTTTTAGCTATTTAATCTGATATATGGCAATTTTTCTCATAATTATATAATATTGTTTTTCATTTTATGAAAATCGGACGATAATAACTGCCAAAATAACTATTGAAAAGTTAAATAACATGAAAATTGACATATGTAACTTCGCATATAACCTGAGATTATTATTATACCCTTGCAGGGTATTATAATTTCAGTCAGAAGTTTGCAATGCAGTGAAGGAGGCACCTCCGACTATATAAAGTATATATATTCTTGATCAGGATCAACAGCCGAGTCGATCTAGCCATGTCCGTCTGTCGGAACGGGCCGGATCGGACGGCTATATCATATAGCTGCCATAGGAATGATCGGAAAATTTTTACAAGAAAAATTATAACATTTTTAGTTTTTAACAGAATTTGATCAAATTTGAGATATAGCCATTTTACTATACTCTACAATTTTGCATAAAATTTTATGAAAATCGGACTACTATATCATATAGCTCCCATAGGAACGATCGAGAAATTAATACAATTAAATTTATAACTTTTTTAGTTTTCAGCTGATTTTCATCAAATTTGGGGTATAGTCATTTTATAAAAGTCTTAAATTTTGTGTCAAATTTCATGAAAATCGGACGACTATGTTATATAGGTGCCATACAAACGATTGTTTGATGTAGAGGAAAATGGAAATCTGCGAATGTAAAACTGCAAATATAATAAGTATAGTTGAATGAAATTAAAGCAGGTATTACTTCATTGTTTTTTAGCACAAATATATATAAATTATATTGTATTGTATCCAATTCATAGAAGTTCTATCTGCAAGGGTATATAAACTTCGGCGTGCTGAAGTTAGCTTCCTTTCTTGTTTTTTATTTAAAATATATCAGAATGCTATGCATATCTTATAGATTCTAAATGCATAGGAAAGTATGTATTAATGTTTTTATATCTTCCGTCTTATTTTATTTTGAATTTGGTCGAAAACGAATTTTTAAATGACCCATTGCAAACTGCAAGGATATACAATCTTCGGCGTCCCGAAGTTATCGTTATTTGTTAGTTTATAATAATTATTTTTCAAAATTCGAACGACATATCATTACCGGATAGATATGCGATTGAAATTAGTATGCTAACATCTTTCCGAGGATTATTATATCTTATTTCAGCTCAATTGCGACACTATCATTGATTACTTTTGCCGGAACAACATTATTTGTGATGAATAGTTCTGCTGAACGGGCATAATCACTGAACGTGATGCATCGAAACTTTCAGTACAATCGGAATAAAAGGATTTCTTCGTACTTGGTGGAACGTTGCGGCCTTGTGATTATTGCAAAACTAACAATAAGTTTTAAATGGAAAAAATATATGATCATTTTATTTATTAAAAAATTAAGCAAATCCATGGTCAACTCATGTCGCACTGTTTCTACAGTTATCAACGATTAAGACTGGTGGCATTTTAAAAAACACGTATTCGTATTAAGCTGTATTCCTTGAATATAAACGTTGTTTTTTTACGTTCATAAGGATTTTGCACAACAAATTATCCATCAATGATGATTAAGATGTTTTAATGATCACAGCCACTTTGTGCCATATTTGATAAATATCATTGTTTGCATTCTATACATCAGTTAAGGGATTTTGTGTTTGAATGTTCTAATTACCTTTTAAAAGTTATCACCCGTAAAATAAAACACATCCATCTCAGATATCACTAAAATTTTGCAAACTCTCAGTTTATTTCCGTTTTTTTTTTTTTCTCATTTCTCTATAATGTTGCTCCTTCGTTTCCATTTTGCCTGCCTGTTTTGAGAACAATTTTTTCTTGTATGATCTCTTCACACAGTCAATTTTGTTTTGTTGTACAATACATAAAAGAAATATGCGTGTATGTATGTTGCATCTAGTATTATACGCTCATAATTATGCAAATATATAGTTTTATAGGTGTTAAGTATAAAGTAAGCATGATTTTACTAACTTTAGTGTATTCCCGCCCTCCATCGCCTTTGGTTAGAGCGAGATGGATAATATATTTTCAGATATAGCATGATTTTGGGTAAGGGGATATTGATGTGTTATGACTTCGGGAGTTGGTGCAAGATATTGTGATGTTAGGGATAGGGGTGGTCGAGCTGTGGCTCACTAAAATTCTAAACCTTTTGGGGTAGAGATAGTTAACGTATGTATGTATGTATGTAACTTTCGACATACACTTATTCCATATCTATTTTTGTACACTAACGAAATATACAAATCAACAAATGCATACAAAAAAAAACTCAACGATCTGATTAGGATCGTAACTCAAAGTTCTCTATGTACATCGAGTGGGTGAGGCTGGGCCCGAAAGTGTAGGAAGGACAATAATGAGAGAGTAAGAGAAATAGAGAGAGACAAACAAGGGGAAAGAGAGATAGAGAGATTAAAGTTGAGGCAGCGGGTGAAGATAGTTAAATAGAGAGAGAGAGAGAAAGAAAATGATTCGATTTTTCTTGTTTTATTTTGTATTTCTTTTGATGTTGCGACACTCGAAGTGCTGGCAAAAATCTAGCCTAGTCGCTATACATATATATGTAGCATATGTTTATTATATATATATAGATATATAACTAGAAGAGGGCGCTCGGCCGCTCAAACTATCAACAAGTTCTCTAACATTAGCTCAAAAAATGATATTGATTTAATGAATTAATAATATTAAAGAAACCCAATATAATAATTATACATCACTCGATTTGGGATCTGGGGACTGAGAATTGTGTGGGGGAGTGTGTATGTGCGACTGGGTGTGGGATGGAGGTACTGGTGGGTTGATGAGTGGTTGTTCCGAAAGGGACAATTGGTAAAATGCTTAGACATATAAATAGGCTCTCCTAATGTTAGTATGTAATAATCACATTGACTGCCGCCACTGCCTTTTTGCTGCCTGGTGCTCCTATCCGCTGCCATTGGTGCCGCTGGTGATGCTCGGTATGCTTCTGACTACATGTGATGCCACTGAGTCACCGGCACATTGGTGTTGTCATTTAGTCGGGCAATCTCTTCATGTAGGCCATGGCTTAGCCATTGCAGGTAGATCCTACTATATGCTGCCTGGCAGAGTCTTAGCGGATTGCCGCGCCGTAGACCCTGATCTGTCTCCCCGTACTCGTCCAAATACGGCGGCTGCACATAGCATCCCTTGCCGCGGCCGAGGTACACAACCTGACAGTCGCGGATGCGCAAAAATATCCCCACCTCGGCGCCACAGTCATAGGCGTGATGGGTGCAGGCACCCACCGTCATCATGCCAAGCTCCGGCTGACAGCAGTACGACTGGCCGCACAGGATGGTGCCGCAAATCAGACACATGGTCGGAGTCTTCATCTCCTCGCGCTCATTGTTGGGACAGAATATATCCGAAACACTGTTGATCAGATCGCTGTAGTCGTCGAACAGTGGCTTTAAGCGCGGCAGCGGACGCAGACAGGGAATAATCTCCAAGCCAGGGCCACTATCTGGCTGGCAGCGGTGCTCCACCTCCCTGGCAATTTCCGGGTGCGAGGCAAACGAGTTCATCATTGTGGCATAGACCGTCTCCATATCAAAATACACGCCCAGCTGCGAATCTAGGCCCAAGTACTGGCACATAAGGTCGAAGCGATCCGGCTGATCCGTGGGGAACGTGTCCGGATAGTCCACATCGGTGAGACAGCGATAGAACAGGCTGCAGCAACGCAGAAAGGAGCTCATTTGACGCTGCACATATTCGAGAAGCAGGGCTAAAGTATGCTGGTCGCAGGGTATTACCACCGTCTGCTCCTTTTCCTGCGGCTGTGGCTCCTCCTTCTCTTGCTGCTTGCGCTCATCGTCCAGCTGCTGTTGCTGTTTGCGCTGAAGCACTCTGGCCGGTATATTGTAGCGGCGATAGAATGCCACCATGTTTTCCTGAATTTTAGGTGGTAACAGCTCAACATACGCCAGTTGCGAGAGCTCTAAATATGGCGTCTCGTTCGTCCGCTTCGCCTGCTCCTTCTCAACATCAAAGCAGATAACCGCCTTAGTCAGATGCGCCAGGAACATGGTCTGCAAAATGTAGAAGTCGAACATGCTGCCGCTGGGTATGATGGTTTGAGACGCTGCAAAATGTTGACAAAAGAACGTAAGATTTTTATTGTACTAAAAAAAAGGCCAAAACTCACCTTTCTCGGTGGCAATAAGGTTCAGCACGCCGAACTGCAACTGCACAAGCGTGCGAAAGCAGTCCCACTCCAGCACACTGCTTCCCTTTTGGTTAAAAACAGTGTCCAGCAGACGGGCTGCCCACAACGCTTGGACACGCGGCACCGGACGGTGCACATCGCTTGTGCTATCAACAGCCGAGGAGAGCGCACAGGCTCTTACCAAATTGGTGACACAGCTCTGATGGCGCATGGGCAACTCGGCCTTCAGCGGCTTTTGGATTTCGAACAGGTAGATCTCCAGGGCCTGCAGCGTGTAGCTGCACGTGTCCCATAACTGAGGGACCGCCTCCAAGCTGGTGGCGTCGGTCTCCAGGTTATCGAAATTCGTTGAAGAAGAAGTGGGAGCCTTGTAGTTATGCGACTCACTATGCACGGCGTTACGCAAGGCCTTCCCAAAGGAGGACATCACGTCGGCATAGTTTCCCGAGAGCTGAGGAGGCTCCTGGATCAGCTGAACACTTTGCTCAAACTGGGCCATGTCGCCGACCACCCCAGATTTGCGCAGAATATTGGTCACGGTCGGCAGTAGCCATATGAAGGCGTTGGCCCCAGCCAATTCGCTGGCCAGCGTGCGCATGATCTCAACGAAGCTGTCCAATGGCAGAAAGCCCTCTGATGTTGGCACGACTGATGAGAAAGCAGGCAAAGGCTCGCTGACAGGAAGCACAGTGTTGCTAAGAGTCCTACAATACGGACAGTGGAACTCTGTGTTGTCTTGCAGACTAAGGGGCACCCGATTGCGCTGCGGGCGTCGTAGCTCCTTTACCGCCTCGTTACTGTAGTACTCTTGCCAGCAGCTGTAGTGCATCACGTGGCCGCAGCAGCTCATGTGCAGCGCACTGCGGCCTTGATTCTCACTCGGTTTGGAAAAGATCACCCGCGAGGTCTGTACGAACGCGAAGCTAACTAGGGGAGGACCACTACGGGTGATGGCACAGTTCTCGAAGCACAGGATGCACTTGAATGCGGTTTCGCTGACTTGATAGCTCCTGCGATCTGGTCCCAAGCAGGACACGTTCGGCTTTAGGGCCACGGCGCCCTGCTCCTCCTCGTCGGTTGAAATATTCTCCCATTCCATTGCCGCAGTACTTCCACCCTCCAGATCCTGATCCTGATCCTGATCCTGATCCTGGCCCGATTCCGTGTCATCAGTGGTGGCGAACATTTCAGCATTTTTTTCATGAACGACTTCTGGGCGTTCTTCATCTGGGCCATGATCTTTGCTCGCCGTTCGGCCGCTAATCGAGCACGAGCCTCCTTCTCCTGCCGCGCCTGTTCCTCTGAGCTTAACGGTTGCTCATCCCCTGCAGACTGTTGTGAACCACTTGGTCCGGCTCCACTGGGCGCCTGCTTGGCTTGCAGCTCCTTATACCGCTTGATGGTCCACAGAACAAAATCGCGATGGGCCTCCAACTGCCGGGGAGAGAGAATCAAGAAAGCAATATCAGTAACCACTCACGTAAGCCGAAGACCTACTTACCCTTGGGCAGCGAGCCAGCTCATCTAACTTCTCCAGTATTCCATACTTCTGGGAACGTTCGTAAAAGCTCAGGAAGGGATAGTGCTCGCTAAGCTCTTCTTGTATGGCGAAGCCCAGCAGGTGAAGAATCTGAAAAACATTGCACAAGAGAGAAGGCTCTGAAATAAATAAAATAAAAAAATAAAACATGATAAATCTACCTTTTGAAGATGGGATTCTGTAAAGGAGCGGCTGTGAGCATCCAAAGCACGATCCATTATTAAGGTGCATATGCTAAGAAACACATTGCATTGCAGAATGTTGGCCATGGATCTGGGAATATTAATAATTCAATGAGTACATATACATGAAACACATTTTCTCCAAGGAGACTTACGTGAAAGCAGGCGCCAGCTGGGGCAGCATCGGTGGGGGACAACAGACAAGCTCCTTTTTGGACTTGCGGCGCTCCCGTTGCAATTCCTCGGCCTTGGACTTGTCTTCCTTGGTGTAGTGGTAGAAATAAACATTGAACTCATCAAACAGATGCTCCTTCAGCTCGTACACTCCCTTGCCATCGACGCCCACCGGCTTCTTGAACGATGCCACGGTGTTGATCACATCCTCAAAGATATTGTCACTATTCCCACTGTTACCGTCCGGCAGGGCACGACTTAGTTCTGAATGGGAGTAAGACTTGGTGCACAGCAGCTGGATGATCTCCTTGCGCAGGCGATCCTCCTCAGTAACAAGCGACACCCCCGGCATCCAACGCTCGCCAATGATCACAATAAGCAGTTCCAGAAACTCGTCGATCATAGACAACTGTCGCATGAACTCCTCGTCTTCAGTCGCTTTCGCGATCATAGTCTCGTAATTCGCCTGCGCCCAATAGATCAGATTGAACTTGTTCAGCACATGGATCAGGAACTCATTGCTTTCCATGAGAGAGGCGCCAATCTGTAGGCAAACAATATCCCTATCTAGCATCTCTACCCGACAGCGCACGTTGCGGTAGAAGTAAAGTTGGTGAAGTAGCGAGTAGCCATTGCGACGCCACATGCCCGCGGTCACTTGGGCAATCATGGCGTGGGTGCACAGAACCGGCTCGATTATCTCCCTCGGGGTGAGCTTAATGTTCAGCCCCTCGGTTTCAGTTTGGAGGCTGTCATACGTCATATCGTGGGCACCCAAATGCAGATAGATCCCAGAATAGAAGCGGGATAACGGCAAGTGGATAGAAACTGGCTTCGACGAGACATCGTACATACGGCAGTTGGCCACATGACCGGCCACGCTCTTCGCCTCCGTCTTCTCGCCGCCTACGATGAAACTGTTGCCCACCAGGGCCCGCACTGTCATCTTATACAGCTTACGCAGCAACTTAACATCGCTGGCAGCCCACTCGATCACCTGAGAAATAGTCGTCGCTAGCTTAATGTGCAAGTTGAAGGCGCACTCCCATTCGGGCTCGTAGTCCATATGTTGACCTGTCTGCCTTGTTATCGACTCCATTCCCTGCATCACGTTTAAAACGCGCATCAGAGCACGACAGCCTGTTTGTTGCGAGAAAAGTATAGCAATTAAAAACAACATTCTGGATCAGATTATATATGTAGGTAAGCCCCACCTTCGAGAAATCCGTTCCTCAGATCATTGCTGAGAACCTCCGGCTTGAGGCTGAGAAGATATCGAAGGTCGTACAGGATATAGTTGGCCCGCTTGAAGAAGGTCAGGCTGGCCGTGTTCTTGCTAAAGTGCAGTGTCCGATTCTGAATAAACTTCTCAATGGCCACGTGATAGAACGTGTGCAGCAGCTTGTCGAATATGCCCTCCTGGGCGATTAGGTGATGGGCGATGCTGGGCACCGTGAACAGCTGTACGCTGAGAGAGACGATCGAAAAGGCGTGGTCGTGGTCGTCACTTATAAAGTCCTCCACGATGGTGGCGTAGCGGCGCGAGAATTCCTGGGCTAGCACCATCTTGTTATCGTACTCCATTAGCATGCCGGAGATAAGCAGGCGGTGCCAACAGGTACGGGCCGTCTTCCACAGCTTGACATCGTACTCGAGGATATGTCGGATGCAGAAGGCCTCCTGTTTGCGCTGCACCAGTCCGGCAAACGTCTTCCGGAAAAGATAGTGGCACACGAGAAACTCCTGGAACCAGCCAAGCAACTGCAGAGCAAACTGCTGGTAGGCCACCGCTGTGGTGTGCAGCACGGAAGTCCGAAGCGACTGGCTGTTGCGCTGATTCGACAACAAGTTGTTTGACGGTATCATCTGCTTCTCGATGGCCGTCTTCAGGTCGTTGCACTCCTACGAAAATATTTAAAGGTATTAAATTCCTATGCCCGAGGGGCTGGTCAATAGTAGCCATACCTTAAAGGTATCGCACTTGACCACCGCTCTTCCCTCGCGATCGATTGTAGCGACAATTTCCATGGCATCCTTGTGTCCGCACTTCGCAATCTTGGTGAGCGTTTGGATCACCTGGTCGAAGGTATGCGATTCGTCATTATAAAGCACCGTGCAGAATTGTGCTCCATCGCCATCCAAACACTGAAGACTTCCGTTCGGTTCGATTTCCAAGTAGTTAACGCAGAACGAAAGGATCGCACCAAAACAAATTACCGCCCGCTCAAGGACCGCTTCAGTAATGATCTTGCTCTCTAGCGGATTCTTTCGATTAGCCTAAAAAATAATTGCGGAGAAATTTGGCGTTATTAGAGAGCTTCTAAGTATACTTTAGCAATTTAAAAACAAAATAGGCGCTTTGTTTCACCCTATTGTGAGCAGCCACAATACCTGATGCTCTTAATTAATAAACTAGCTTTTAGTTTTCTCCAACTGTTAGCTTTACATAAATAAATCAAGGCAGCAATTGTTGCATGCAGTTTTAATTCAAGTTTTCTCAGTTCATTTCTTACTGTTTTCTTTTTAGTGGCACGGTTTACCCCCGTGGCAAATTCAAATAACGAAAATGAGGTGTGCCCGAGGCGGATTTTTGCTCTTATTGGACTCATTTAAAAGCTTTAGGCCCATAAACTGGTAGCCCAGCCTCAAAATCAAATATCTTGCTTTGCTGGATAAATGTACCTGATTCCAATGAAATATTAAACAATGTACACTGTCTTGCTGTATTTAACTATGCTTAACCCATGCAACAGAAATTGGACCCAGGGCAAGGCCCACTATATTCAACCATATACCATCCATATTAATCGCTTTCTACGGCAATCCATAGAGAGCTGTGGCACTATTCTGGTCCCCTGCAACATTTGGACATTTGGAGTCCACGGTTCAATGATGTACTAACCAGATGCAGCTGACAGTAGTGATCCTTCTTCCAGGCTTCGTCATCGCCACAGTCGCAGCAGCCACCGCCGCCCGAGGTGGACATCTTGTATTTGTGGAAGCGGTGCGCAGACCGCTTAAAGCAGTTGACACAAAGCACGCAGGTGGGATCGACGCCGCACTCGCGGCAACTGTAGGTGGGCTCCCCGTTTTTGAAGACCTTGCCACAGACAGTGGCCGTGTTTCCCTCTAGTCGGAGCTTCTCCAGAGCCGTGACGGGATTGTCACCCATTATGAACTCCACTACCACATCGATTATCTCCTCTTTGGCGAGTGCCTCCTTAAACATGCATTTGACTGAAAGAGAGTCTGGTCAGTTGAACTCAAATTATGTTTTAATATTATGTATTTTAGACTTCAATCAAAAGTTCTCTACTGGGTGAAATGCGTATTTCAAATATGGTTGCTGTAATGATCTATCCAGACTTACTGGAACCACGAGATATATGCGCGCCCACCATGGCGAGCGTCCTCATCATCGCAACACTCCAGTTAGAAACATTGTCGTCATGGAAAATACACTCATGCCTTCGATGGCCCGCATCAGGAGCATTTCCTTCTCCACCTTTTGGTTAATGGGTTATGGTTAGTATGGGATTATTAGGATGGGTTTTGGGTAAGGTTGGTGATGGTGGTGTTAGATGTTACATGACTGGGAATGCAGCCCTAACAACAACGGACTTCTGAAGTCTTCTCTTTACCAGTCTGTCATCCCATGACAGTAATTCTAATTTTATACTTACGAGTTAGTGCAGTTGAATCTGGAATAAAAATAAAAAAGTGTTATTAAATCATTGAATAACAAGAAAATTCAGGCCTTGCGGGAAGTATTAACTTTGGTAAGATATATTTTAGGATTGACTAATTCAAACGTTCATATTCTATATAGCTGGAATATTTATTTATTTGATTACTTATAAAAACTAACGAGAAAGGAAGCTAACTCCGACACGACAAAGTTTGAATACCATTGCACTTTACAATTTTATCATTAAGAGTCTTTTTATCTAAACGTGTAGGTAAAATTGAAGAACGACAAATAACATTTTAGGTTTCGAGAAAAATGCTGTAAAAGCTTAGGCACACATCACAATATATAATTATATACTATATGAATTTTGTTAGCGCCATCCCATTGGTTAAAAGAAGTCTAGGCAGGTTAACACCTCTAATGATCGAGAGTTTAATAATAAAATGACTGACTCATGCGGAGGACATTGTTGTCATTTGTATAGTTTCGTCATTGCCGCTTTGGTTAAATGTCTTTAAATGGGTAGCATTATGATCTTGAGTGCCACCAACATAAGTACATAAATATTCACATAAATATGTACATACATATGTACATATGTACGCATTGAGGTTTGGCGACAACATAAGGCGAAAAGAAACCTAACGAAACGGGTTTTCGCCACCGAATCAAATCAAAACGCGATAAATGAGTTTCAAAATCAAAACAAATGCAAATACAAAACTCAAATTACAATAAATGCAGTTCAAGGTCGCAATAATCGCTGAACTTTAAGAAACACGGTAAAGAGAGAGAGCGATAGAGAGAGCGCATGCATTTCTTTCATTATAATCTATAATCAGCGCAAATCTGACGCCGCTTCAAGGGCACTCAATAAAAAAAATATACTATATATTAACAAAAAAGTCAATAGTAAACTCTCCTGGCATTATGTAAATGTGATCAAGAGTATGCTCATAATATATTTTTTTTCCTTAGAGCCAGTAGTGACAATATGAATGTACGTATTTACATACACACTAATGCTTCATTCAAATAGCTTCAAAACTAATTGAATAACTTCCATAGGAACGAACAAATATGGGTAGATCAAAAACCAGAACTCTCGAATAAGTGCCAGTGAAGAGAGCGCGATTTTCAGTGTCATCAGAATAAGTTTCTTGCATTTGGGAATTGAAATGAATGGTAGATGAAAGATTAGTAGATTATTAAAGATTCTTTGGCTAGATCGAATCGTTTATTATTAACTATATACACTATATATGTATATAGGATTAGAGATAACATTGGTAATAAATAATATAAGAGCTAAGTTTCTTACATTTAAAAAGGTAACATTAAATAGTGCGTTCTCTAACCTAATCTATGTATATCTGCCGTTACAAGTACATATTTGTATAAATGCATATAAAACATCCAACTGAGGCGTAATAGACTGGAACAAAGGGGGTGAAAAAAATAAATAAATGAAAAACACAGAGCTGAACAGAAGAGAAGTAAATCGACCTGAAATGCACTACACAAAAACTGAACAGAGCTGTCGAGGGGGAAGAAATTCAACGGAGGCCAGCTCATCGCCTTATGAATCACATTGAACGCCTCATTTTGAAGGAGCAACTCACGTCATTTTTACAGTCAAGATCAAAACTATATGGACGTGACACTTGCATGCACTAATCTTCTCTTAAGAACCAGGAATCAGACATGAAGTGTGCTTATTTCTTTATTTATTAAACACACAATAAAAAATATTTAGAAAAATATTTATTAACGATATATCACAAATATAATATATATATGTAAATCCATAACATGTATCGAAAATATTTTCAGTTAGCTACTATTCTTAATTTACAAAGGGATATTGATTTGAAAAGGTATCACATTACATTACTATAGATTATCGTTCTCGATTTTAAATATTTAATTCAAGTTAATTATAAATATTTTTCCCAAAATGTTTTTTTTTGTGTTGGCATGAGCATGCTTGTTATATATATTTTTCGAAAATTTCCCAGTACATCCTGTAGGTGTTACAGTTTATTTCGACATTCACCCAAAAACAAGAGCATTAATAACCGCAGCTGTCGGAAATTTAAAGGCGCCCCGAAAAAATGAAATATATAAAAAAAAGAGCAACCAGAGATCGATGGCGATCATTACAAAGAGACTTTCTTTGCTGAAAAGGTTAGGTGGGGATACTTCTTATACAAATCATTCGATAAATACATACAGGTGCAGCTACACCCGTTTGCCTAATTGTGTCAGCTGTGTTTCTTTGCGCCTGAAAGGAACGAAAGCGAAAAGAAAAATACGTACATGCATAAGTATAAACAAAACATGCCAAATACCAGACAGATAATCAGAGGTAAAGGCCATTCTTACACTATGTAAAATACGGTTTCGCTTTTTAAATATAATAGGTGGATGGGGAGCATGTGTATGTACCTCAAATTCGTGGATAAAAGGTCGACAAAAATTGATTGAAAAAGCAAAATAGTCACATCGATGAAGTAGGTTTCTCATTCCGACTTCTGATAGTTTTTGGTAAAATTATAATATCCCACTTGGAAAGTATAAAAACTTAAAACTTCAGTGAATTAGGCAAACGAAAATGAACGATATGTGCACCCTAAATAAACTACAAATTTATATTTGAGAGCAAATTCAGATAAGAATGAAAAATGTGAATAGTTGTCAATGCAACGATAAAGTCATAAAGCACATTTTGATAAGTAAAATAAATCTGCATTAATAAGCTTCCTTCCCTTAACTCTCTACCTTAAGTCCAACAAAGTCTAATGTTTCCCTTTCTGTTCCTATCTCATCCCATGTGTACATCCGTCCTTGTCTTTCAGCACTTATCGGCGACCAATTAGACAGCAGACAAAAATCAGTGGAGAGGCTATAAATGAGCAGCTATAGATACTGCGGTAACCATGACTTCCACATATTTGACCTGATAAGAGCGAAGTGCCCTGAAAAGGGTAAAAGCCCGATCAGCAGAAGTGTGAATTGGAATTGATGCAGTCCTACAAATTTCAAGAACTTAATAACTTAACTGCGTCACGTTTATTGACATTGTTTAAGTGTAACACTATATCTCCCGTATTGCAATTGTTCAATTTAGAACCAATAAGTATACATACATACATATATGTATAAAGGAAACGTATCGTTTTATGGTAATTAAATAAGTTTACCTCCAATGAACACCCCACTTGATTATATTTCTCTAAACAAACCCTAAAATGGATTTAGTTTAAAAAGACATTTCGTCTATAACTATCTGCCAGCCCCCAACGTCATATATTAAATCAATATGTTATCAAGAGTCTAAACACGGAGTCATGTTTTCCTAGATTCTCCTAATTTGTGAGTGTTCCAACACTAGGATAAAATAAGTTTCTATAGGAATGTGTTGCAAACGAGTTTGTTTATTTGATTTATTTGTTGCTAGGCCAGGCATTTGCTTTTACTTGTCTGGTGTATGTGTGCGCGAAAGGTGAGACAGGTAGAAAATCGAGAAGGTGGACAGGTGGGTTGGAGGCCTTGGGAGGCCGTGGGAGGGAGATTTGAAGAGGCAATTGAAAGGAAAAACTTGGCGCTGCAAAACACGGTGCGGTGCAAAAGCAAATAGTCACGGAAATGCAAAATAAACAAAAACGACGACATCAACGAAAGCGTGCAATTGTTCAATGACAATAAACAAAAGCCGAAAACAGAAGGAAAAGATTCAACAAACAACACACCTCGGAATAATTATAATTCAAGAGATTTTTAATAGGATTTAACAACATTTCACACCCCCATCATGTGTGCATTTTATCTTTCCTTATACATCTTAATTTAAAAGTTCTCGCTTAGCACTCAAATTAGTTATAGTCTCTAGTTTATTCAATATTAACTACTCTCTCCATCATATTTTGTATTATTTCTTTTAAAATTTATATGTGATAAATAATGCATAGGATGATTATAAAGTGTTTTTATAACAAAATTGAAAAAGAATACAAATATTTTTAAGCAAAGTTGAATTTTACTTATATATGGAATATATGGGATTTAAAAAATTAAAAGTCAATACACAACGTCTCTCATTAAGAGAATACATAAATCAAAACAAAATGTTAGTAGGGAAACTTTAGTATATGTTTGGCTTAATAAATATTTCAATCAAGTCTAAGAGGCTCTGTTAACATTTAAATGGGTAAGGCTCCCATATAACAAGGTTGAAAGTGGTCATAAAATCCTACTCATTAAAGGACGCAGTATTATAAAAGCTTAAAGTATCAAGGCTGTTTTCAAGCCCGACCGCAAGGCAGAACTCTTATCTACCACAGATCAAGGCAAATAGCATTATGCATTTACGACCTTGAAATGCGGCGTTTAAGCTTGTTTTCAGTTATCTTTATGCAAAATTCTTTATGTCGAATCCGATAACAAATTGGAATAGGGTAAGAAAAGACATTTAAGAAGTTTCGTTTATACTTATACAAATCATCGGGGTGCATGTCATATTTTGTGTTCAAATATGAAACACATCCGAGAATATAATTATATATATAAGCAGTCGAATTGCACTAAAACAAAAGATTTGTTTTTGAGATATAGAATGTCGTTAAATTTTGTTTTTCAGTGGCATTCTTAATACAAAGTTTAATAAATATTTGAACTCGATCGAGGACCACCTGAGAGATATTGTTCGTCGGCTCAAAAGAAAAAATACATAATGAAAAAAGCATCGGTAGTCTCCTCTTCCCAGACTCTTTCCAGGGATCTATTCCCCATCCATGTTCTTAAGTTTACAGACTATAATAATTAAGGAACACAAAAATATGCTAATAAATTATTACATAGGGTGCTTTGCTAATTGATTGGTATACTTAGTATACTTATAGAAAGATGCAACAAATTATTATTACCGTTTCATAGTTGTTTAACTATTTTATTTATTTAATCTAGCGCATCTACCTAAGCAATCGATTTATTTTGATAAGCCATATCTGTTCAATCAGCTGTTATCGGATGGTGGATGTGCTTTGTGAAAATCTGACATTAGAAATTAAGCAACAGTTCCAACTGTTCCACGTAGAAGGACGGTATAAAGTGATATATGATATGCATTGAGTTAACCCCAAATACATTTTTCACACAACAGAAGTTTATACTGTAATAACTCTCATCCAATTCTGTCTTATCATCCAAAAAAAATTATTTGATGTGATGTGAATCTTGTGTGAAATCTGTTTAGTTCAAACTCAAATATACTTTTAAGGTCGGAATTGTCACCATTTACCTGGTAAATACATTTATTTTAAAATCAATTAAGCCCATATATTTTATAAGATATATGATTCACTTTAAATAAAAATATTGTGCAAATAAGATTCAATTTGATGTAGAAAAATGACATTTACTTTTGATTTCTTCAAACTTCTATATTGTGAAAGTGAAAACTGGGTCACGCACATACATATGTAAGACACAGAAACAAGACACAGATTGAGACAACCAACTTCCGCAAAGCAAACATTACTAGATTTGTCCCATTCAAGTAACTATAGATTTGTCTGACATCTCTGCATAACAGTTTTTATGATCATTTCGAAAACTTACTTTCTATACGTTATGTATATTGAACTAACGTAGTCGTTTTTAATAACGTGAAAAGGAACACGGGGGGTTTGACTGTGCTCACCTGTTTTCAAAATATTCTGATAGTCGAAGAACTTGGGCGCCTCCTTCTTGAAGAATTCGATGAAATCTTTGCGTGTAAGAGTGCCCGCTTGGAGCTTAAGGCGCCACTCCTTAAGTGGGGAACTGCATTCGGCAGGGGGCGCCACCACGACGTCTTCCATGTCGTAGCGATCCATCTCGCGCTCTCGCTGACGCTCCTCTTGTCGGTATCGCTATCTCTATCCCCCTTTCGACGTTGTTCTTTGGTTGTGCTTTGTTTCCTTTTGTTGCTGCGCTGCTTCCTTCTGCGCTGCCGCCTCTTCCTTTTCCTCGATAATGTTCGTATGGACGAGTTTATGGCTCGCTGTCTCTTTCTGGCCCGCGCGTGGGTGGCTTTGTCTGTGCTTGTTCCGCTGTTTCCGCCAACTAAACTAACTAAAAACAAAATACGTAAATAAGGTGAAACTGAATAAGATAAAAAAAACACATTCCCCCATTTGCGCTGTGACTAGTGGACTCTACACCTCCAACTCCCGCCCCCTCTCTTTCATTTGATGGTTTATTTTGTACAAAAATGTTAAATTTATTTAAGCTCCTTACATATATATACACACACACACTCACACTACTAAGCACGCGTCTTACTTGTAATATTTTCTGTTTACTACGGTTTGAAAAAAATTAAAAACTGACAAGTCAAGCAAATGCGACTGGAATCGCGATTTTTCCTTATTTTTGTGTATTTTAGTGCGCAATTTGCAGAGTACAACTGTTGCTTTTGGCAAAATGCAATTTGTCTGTGTATCTAAGTTGTGTCGTTGTTTTTGTCTTTAGTTTTTTGGTAGCAAAACAAAAACAAAACGCACGCGAACTGTTTGCCACGACCAATGGGAGCGAGGGAGATGGCGCAAGGCAGAGCAAACAAGAAAGCGCATGACAAAAAAAGAAAAAAAAAAAAAAAAAACAACGCACACACACATGTATAACTGTATGCACCCAACAAGATTTTCATTTTTATTTTTATAATATACTTTTGTTAGCCTATTGTCTTGTTGCGTTTTTCTGCATGTACTAATATCATTCGCCTTTTTCTTTTTGGTCGCGAACCCGAACACTACACACTAACGCACTCGACACGCACACACACACACACACACACACCAATTGGGCAGCTGACGAAATAGATTGAGCAACACTGAACACATTCGCACACTTGTCCAACTACATTGCGCGTGTCGTCGCCTTTTACTTATCCATTATTACACGTACTTTATATATTTGACCGTGCGATGCACTTGTATATCACGTTTGTCTTGTTAGTTATATTATTTATACTAAGCAGACACGTCTGTCCTGCAATTTCATAATCAGTGTGACCGCGTCAAAAACGACTAAAAATACCACTGACAAAAGAATATTACACAACGCAATTTCAAAAAAATACGATACAACCAACAAATACCAAGAATTTTCAGATATAGATATTATTTTATTACGGGTGTTCTCAATGCGACTGTCGCGACTTATACCGCCTTTCCACACAGTCCAACTCCGATTCCCACAGAGCACCATCCGTTAAAAGCTGATTGAACAGCCGTGGCTCATCAAGGAATTTATGTATGGATTCTGACAGACTAAAATGGAATATGTAACAATTATTTTGTGTGTTGCACACCAGCAAAATCTCAGGTCGGGGATATGATAACGAATAAAAGATTATCGAATGATATTTTTCAACATAGAGCAAATGCCACGAAGTGCCTTCATCGTGATAGATGCTCTAAAAACCAATTACAAAAAAAAAAAAATATTAAATAACTCTTCCTTAATTTATTAATTAATCTAGTTTTTTTTTCGCTGAAATAAGTAGCGATCATTTTTGAAAGGGGAGTCGTCTGACTAAAATTTTTTAATCGCAGCTGCATGCCGTCTATCTTAAGGAATAAGCAAATATGCATCTGCATTTCTCACTTTTGCTGAATTTTAGCGCAATTCCCTATCTAGCTTAATGGTAAATTGCGTTCTATGTTCTACAATTAATAATGTTTTCCCACACAGTCCATCCGAGTGAAACAGTTGGGATTTTTCGTAGATGTGAAACTCCGATTCCTAAGGGGTACATCTCCATCCTCCATCCGATATTAGCTTATCGAACAGCTGTAGCTAATCCAAAATATAACCAAGGCTAGTTAAAGTGGACTATGCACAAATAATTACCTATTATTTTGGTTTCCTTACCCCTAAAAGGGAATTAATTTGATTACGACGAATTAGAAATTCTCAAATGATAACCTGTACACAAATGCCACGAAGTGCATGCATCGTGGTAGGGGCTCTAAAAAACAATTCAAAATAGAAATAAATACTGCTTCGCCATTTTCGAAGGCGATGTAGAGGTATTAAATATTTTATTTTGACTGCTCCCACAAATATTCGTTTGATTAAAAAATTTGTTTTTGTGCTTGTAGTCTCGCTAAAAAGATAATTATATATGGATGTATGTACGTATGTACAACGACCAGTAATGATCATAGTGCTACGATTAAGAAATTTCCTTAAAGTCTTAAAAGTTTCACAAAATATTTTTTATTCGATTCCCGATATAACTATACGCCGTACAAATGAATACATCCTATAAGATGTCTGCAAACGTAATTCCTTATCTAAACAAAAAAGTTTTCACAACACAGGAGTGTCATTGTGAGTATACTCAAGTGTTCAGTAATAAAGTGATCTTTTGATATATTTAGTCAATTAGCGTTCGAGAGGTTAATAAAATGATCGGCCAATAAATACACAAAAAAGATGGTTCTTAAAGCTTTATCGTACCTTCTTATCCGATACTTATGCCATGGTTTTATCAGTAAAAAATACTTTCACAACATATTTTTTCAAGAAACAATATAAAAAAGAATGGAGTTAACTTCAGTTTATTTACTCTTGCAGATTGAACTTTAAAATAAAAAGCTGTTATTTTCTAAGCGAAAGTAATAAATCGTATACATTTTTAAAGCCAAGATAAAGGGAAATTAGAAAAATAACAACATTTGTTTTCGGTCGTTCAGCTCCATAGCAACGAATACATAAATAAAAAAGTATTTCAACATCCAATCAGTTCGAATTAATTTTAATTTAATTTTAAAAAGTTTTCGGATTTATCTTTTGTTGGTGTAGTGTAAACGCTCTTAAAACTAGTTGCTTGGTATCTTTAGTGTTGCAGGTGTGACAGAAACCATCGATAACGATTTCCGTTGTTTTCCAAATATAACATCGATGAATCTCGTACATCGGTAGGAAAAATAGAACATCGAAATACATCGCCCAAAAAATCTCAATGTTTCTATACACTTGCAGAGTGCAATTAAATCATTAATAATTAATACAATTAAAATAATATAAAATTATATTAAAATATTTACATTATACCCTTGCAGATTGTAATTAAATCATTTACAATACAATTTTAAATATATAAAATAATATTAAAAAATTTTTAATTTTTACTGTTTAAAAGATATACCGCTTACAGCTTAGAATTTTATTAAACGAACGTTTCTATGGAAGCAATATGATACTGCCATCCAATTTTCATATTCAGATCCGAACTTTTGAAATATGAAAAAAATGCTACATCTTAAAGTAGATAAAAATATTTTGAGAAACATCAAAGTTATAATTTTTTGTTTACTGGTGAGCGTATATAGATGAATAACTGTAAAGTTTAATTCAGATAGCTTAAAAACTGACAGACTAAAGAGTCTGCTTCACTGCGTTGCAAACTTTTAACAAATTAAAGAAAAGCTGCACCTGAGAATTAATTAAAAAAGCTTTGTGCCAATCTTTAGAACAATTGCATCAGTAGATTTTGAGTTTTCGTGTACGACTTGCGAAACGACACTTTAAACTTTCTGATGCGCATATATATGTACATAAATCGATCATTAACTGACCTCCGTTCAACTAACCATAACTTCTATTTTACTATGATTAAAGTAAAACTTTGTCACATCAGATAATAAATATTTTTAACAAATAATTTAAAAAAATTAAATATATAATAAAATATATCCCTAAAATAAAGAACACGGTGGAGAAAAATCAGTTAACAGATTTTAATGTGCTGTGCTCTCAATTGGAGGACTTGCAGTTTGAATTTTAAGGCAAAAAAGTGTTGGTCAAGAAATTTGAATTTACGATTTGGTACCTGTACTGTAAAAGGTGACAAAAATGACGAAATAACAAATAAAATTTTTGAGGCTGTGTAATAACTGGTCATAATTTGTAACTATAATGTGTAATCGTTATAAAATTAATTGCAATAATACCACTAAATTAGCAATAAATACGCTGGTTTTTTCACACAATTTGTTTTTTTTTTTATAATAGAAACTATCGCATCGTGCTGGTGCTTATCCATCGGGTGCTTTTTCCCCAGCGGTTGAGTGTCCTTGTCAACTCCTTACACCGCTTTTGCGCCGCCGTCGCCGACTGCTGGCAACGCCGTTTCCATCACACTGATCCGTATCATTAGCTCCACTGCCTGCATCCACAATCGTAGTCTCAACAGTCTCTTCGTTAGGCTAAATACCTCGTCTGACGGGCTTTGGGGCAAACAGGACCTTGGCTGGCTTACACAACTCGAGTTCACTACCGGGTCGAACGGCCAGGCAGAGCTGGATCTCCACAAGCGAGGCTTCCGTCCAAACGCTATGCGAGAGCAGAATGGTTGTACGCAGGCGCACGTTCGTTTCGTGCTCACCCTGCTCAGTCATTATGGGCTTAAAGTCACTCCTCTTCGGTACTACCGTGTGCATGTGCTGATCCGGATATTTGATCTTAATTCGCATATCTGCCTTCTGCGACTCCAACAGGTTGTCAATCTCTGCCACAAAGGGTACGGCCGCTATTAAGCCAGCGGTTACCTTAATCACATTATCCTGTGACTGCAACGGGCATGGTTCCAAAATGTTGGCCACACAGCGGCGGATCTTATCATTGGCAGGCGGCAATGCCAAGGGAGGCGCTTGTTGGACCAACGGCAAGATCTCGCGGAAAACGCGTCCGGGCTTAGGATCCGATATAGCATCAAGCTTGCTTAGTAACTGGCGCGTGAAAGAATCCGGTTGGGTATCCCGTCTCGATGAGTCCTTTTCTAATTTTTCGCCATCCAGCAGGGGTATTGGCACTCCCATTGATAGTTCCTCTTCATCCTTCACATTCGCCTTGATAAACTCACCGATGTCGCTGGCGGTTTGCAGGAGCATCTGGCAGGGACCCAAGGCGCTTTGCGACCTATCTCTGACGACCAGGACCAGATGAAGGGCGCTCGCCCGCAACCTCAGCTGCTTCACTTGCAGGATGTCACCGTAATTAAGACCAGAGAATGTGTGCTGCAACTTAAGGCAGTTCCGAATGAGCGCCGCAAGGGATTCCTTCAGGGGAACTCGGCTTCGTTGCGTGCTAGCGCAGCGCTGCATTTGCTCGATTTGGATTTGGGCGGCCAAGAAGGTTTCCAGGAAATTCGAGGTGCCATACATGCCTGCATCGATGGCTCCAAGGCGCTAAAATAACCCATTTAAATATTATTATTAATTATTTAAAGCAATAGTTTGTCGGTATGAACTGGGACCCATTTAATTGATGACTTTTTACTTCATTAACCCGTCTAGTCCTCCTAGAATCAAAATCTTGAATTCGTAATCACCTGTAGATTGAATTGGGCGGTCTTTAGGAGTTCTACGCGCTCGTCAGTCATCGTAAAAATCTCCTCGATGTGGCAAAGAATCATTTGAAGGTACTCCGCCGAGCTGCCTGCTTGTCGCATGGCCAAGTCGATCCTGTGTGTCGCGCTTGCCGAAGATGCACCCTCGATGGGCAGCTGAGGCACCAGATGCGGCATAGAGTCGCGCAGGTATGCATAGTGTCGGTGCGTAGCCGTGGGCAGGAGGCTGATGATGGGCACTAGGTGTTCCGCCGCATTGAAGACAAGAATGAGGACGCACAGGTAAGCTGGATCCTCCACATCGCGCTCCGGCGTCTCGAAAAATGGGTGCACGTACAGCAAGTGCACGGCCACTGCCATGACTAAATGCGGGTGCTTCTGGCCAATTTTGCGCATGCAAGCATACGTAGAGTGTCGATCCTGCGGATATTTGGCCAGCACATCAAGGAGCTTCTGCACCACCATCAGCAGGCACGTCTGGGTGGACACACGGCAAGCGCCCAGCATCAGATGCAGTCCCTCACGCACGTCTACCGAGTAGTCCTCTAGCGAACTAAGCATTATCTCCAGCTGATCCTCCCTCAACACTATATGTCTGGCAATGGCCGTCAGGCTGTAGATGGCTTTCAGTCGCACATCTTCGATTTCATCGTTAAACATATCTACGAGGAAGTCCAGGCTGGTGACCGCAAAATCCGGCCGCGATAGGGCTAGCTTGCACATAGACGTCACAGCTGCAGTCCGCACTTCCAGAAACTCGTCCTCAAGGCCGTGGATCAGGGCACCACAGGCTCCGCTTGCAATAATGGAGATGCTCCTAGCGTCCAAGTGTTCTTGCGGGGCATCGTCCGCCCATCGCTTGCCCGAGGACCACTCGCCACTGGTCACCAGACGGGCGCCTCTCTCATGCGCCGTCCGCTTCCTCCGCAGGTTGCTCATCAGTTTCTTGTCGAGCGTTTGGTGCAGGAACTCCCTGCTGACGGCGGTCATGCCGCCCAATAGCTCTGCTGCCAGCACCCGGATTTGAAGCGAAAGATCACACAGGGCCTCGCATACCTTGCTGAATGCGGCATCTATCATACGGAGGTCGTCTTGCTGCCGGTCCGAGGGGATTATGTAGTCTGGATGCCGGTTGCCCAGCATAAAGACCAGCCGCAGAGCCTCCTTTCGCACGCACTCATAATCGTCCTTCATTGCCTCCACGGCGCGCTTGTAAAGAACGGCTGGAAGCTGCGAACCGCGCTCGCCGAGGGACAACAAGGCGTGCAAGGCCTGGGCGCGCACTCCAGAGTCTTGTGAATCAATATAGAAGGCCAATTTCCAAACGTAGTGGCGTTCGCCCTCCATTTTCGTGGCGAAACGACCAATAACCAGCATGGCGTTCTTTTGCGTGTGCGTCGAGCCCGAGCGCAACTGCTCCTTGGCCAAATGCGCCACTTGGGTGTTGTACGCCAAGGGTACCATGCTCTTCTGCCTCTGCCCGATCCTGTAAAGGCACATCATACCCTGGGCCAGCACCTTCTGGGAGCTCTCCCTCCGAAGCAGGTAGATAAAATGGTCAATGATGAGGGTAACGGCCTGCTCGGTGGCGCCTTCGCAACCCAGCCCCGACAATAGCTCCAGGAGCTTCACCCGAATTGAGGTGTCGCTGTCGCGCTCCTGCAACTGATATAGTTGCATGATCTTGCCAGCGGCTTCCTTCAGTTCCGCCAGCTCCACGTCTTGGTAGGATATCTCGTCGGTTATCTTGACTAACAGGTCCAGCAGTTCCCTGCTATTTGTGACCGTCAGATTGGATGTCGCGCCTGCAGCGGAAGTATTGCTACCGGCCGAAGCCGATGTGGCAGGCGGCGGCGGCTGCGCTCCAGGGCGTAGTGCTAGGCCTGTCGGAGGTGGCGCATTGCCCAGATAAGCGTCTAGCTGAGACAGAGCCTGTAGCTTCCGATTTGCAATCGCAGTTTTTCCACCTTTACCCGCTTTCGCATCCGAACCCAATGCCTGCAGTCGCAACTTCTTTACCGGCACGCTGTCCACTGTTTCCAGATAGGAGCCAAACGGCTTTTTAATGGCCAGAGCCATTATTCCAGAACGTTGTGCACTTGGCAGCGCAACTTGCGAAACAAAATGCCAGATGCAAGCCCGCAACAACGGAGGCAGCGTATTGGTCAAATGGCAAAACTAGTGATTGTACGGCTATGACACTGAATTAAAAACTTGATTATTTATACTGGTTTACACCAATACCACCTTTGCCCAATACGACTAATAGCCTCTTTCCACAGAGATTCATACACCATCAAACATTCGTTGAACGGATGTTTCATTATGTATTATTTTACAAAGAAACACTAAGTTTATTATCAATTAAAAATTGGCTGTTTTCAGCAGAAAAACGTGACTACTTATTACAGATCCATCACTGATACACTTATGATACATTACGATGTTTAAAAAATAATCGGCTTTCGAAACTTTAGTTATCGTCTGGCTTCCCACCAATTATTTGATTTTGTGTATAAGAAAACAACTTGAGATATTTTAAAATATTCCCTAAACTGTCCAGACAATAGTTTTTAACCAAACACTGAATTAAAAATTGTTTGAAACTTAATGTGGCAGCTCCTTTTCTTGGAAAGACTGGTTTTCAAGTTTATTTTTTTCATTCCCGCTATTACAGCACAACACTCTGCATTCGGCGGAACAGAAATCTTAAGTTAAAATGAAGAAATAATAATAATCAAAAATAAAAATAATAATAAATATTAACTAATTGATACAAAATAACTGAGGATGCCACTGATTTCATAAATAATAATATATATATTTTCTTTTGGTTTGCATTCCCTATTTTCTATTATTTCTATCGATATTTCAACCATCGATATAAACCATCATTATCGAGGAAAGGTAGCAATATTTTTATAGAGTTCACATTTTATTGATCATGATGGATAAAATCTTGCATCAAAATCAGTGATCATACGCGTTCAGTAGAACTATTGATAGTGATCATGTTATTCTGCTGAACACAACCACTGATTCCTGAACGGAATATATAGCAATTTTGGTTTTGTTAATTTTTTTTAAGCGATATTGGTTAATGATTGTATTATGAGAAATGAATCCGGTTTTAAAACAGAGAGAGATGAAGGGGAGAACGCTAGGAAAACAGTCCAGAGCAGCAGGTTTTATTATTATGGCCTGGAAATACTAAAGGGACTGTTTTCACTCACAGTAGGGGATTTTCTCAGGCGTGAAACTTCGATTCCCACAGAGCTACACCTCCATCCTTCATCCGATAACAGCTGATTGATCAGCTGTAGCTCATACAAAACATTAACTAAGCTGGCCATTTCTATTGTTCAATAAAGCGAATCATGCAGATTGCGGAAGATTATGTTGGCACTATATTTTAATAAATTAGATGACTAGGAATTGGAAGTTCTCGAATTCTAACGCCTTCGATATTTCACTCGTTCTTTGCTAACTTTGAATTTTGGCGTCACGGTCGAAAATTATGAGATGCAAGTATTGGATATTTTATGTTTCGGTCAATATGATGGTCAATACATGAAGAAATTAAAAAAAAAGAATTAGCCATATGGCTGTTTCTATATGCAATGTTTTCTTTGTATTCTTCGGTATCCACTCAACTGGAACGCTTCTGGACGGCCTGGAAACCAATTCTTCTGTGATCCATCAAGTGTAAAATTCTAATCCATTTAAATTTTTTACTCGTAGAGTAAATTTAATGGTCTGTTTCGACATTAATTTTTTTAAGAAGAACAGCTGTTAGTTAAGTTAGCAATAGTTGGTCATAATCACATGTTAAGGAATATAATAATAAAAATATATAATAAAAAATATAAAAATAATATATAAACGAATTTATTTACAACTAAATATATTTACACAATACCATATTTTGCAAAACGCAGTTCCAGTAAAAACGAGTCAACAACTGATAATCGATATGATAATCGATTTCATTCGATTTGTATTCTCGAGTCGTAACATATGTTATGTTTGTTTCTAGCATTACAGTTTCATGTAAGCGACCCTATCCCCTTTCGCTCGCGGATTTCAGCGACAAGCAAGAAAAAAAACATACAAGCAGAAAAGTGTAGTGCGGTGCAGCTTAAGGGAAATCGTTCCAAAATATCTAGTGTGCTTTTTGTTATTGTGTTCTGTGAATGCATCGCTTCCTGGCTCGTGACCCAACAGCCAACTGATGAGTCTCAATTGTTTTCATTAACGCAACAAAAACCCCGCCCCTCCCTCCTGCGTTCTATCTGCTGGCCACTTCACGCCCGTTCTGGTCAGCTTTCAGTTATTCTGCTGATCCACAACATACGCGCATATCAAAAGCTCCGACTACAGCTCCACTACTCATATCCGCAATGGCAAGCAATAGTTTTGGCAGTGCCGTTGGTGGAGGCGTGGCAGGTGTGAACTCGGATCTGTGGCGCGAGTGTGTTGCATGGCTGATCAGGTGTAAGGTCATCCCGAGCGACCACAAAGCCGCTCAGTCGGATGCCGAGATCCGGAGTCTGGCGATGACATTGCGAGACGGAGTGCTGCTATGCAACCTAGTCATGTTTCTGGAACCTAACAGCATGGATTCGCGTGAGCTGCATCGCAAGCCACAAATGGCACAGGTAAATTAAAAGTTCAGGTGGGCATTCTTCGCGGAACATACCCTAAAAGAGCACTTTAAATTGCAGTTTCTGTGCAGCAAGAATATCAAATTGTTTCTGGACGTGTGCCGCAACAACTTCGGAATCCGGGACGCTGACCTTTTCGAACCAACAATGTTGTATGACCTGACAAATTTCCATAGAGTGCTCATCACGCTCTCAAAGTTGTCACAGTGCCGTAAGGTGCAACTTATGCACCCGGATCTTATGTAAGTGCGCCAAAACTGGGATGTGTCTAGAACAACTTTTGAGGAATAGTTCGATGTAATATATCAGCATTAATATCGGGCTTAATATCATATCGAAAATATTGTGGTTATCGAAAATGAAAAGATCAATATTTATCGCCGTTGACGTCAAAATGTCGATGTATATATCGGTATATATATATTTCTTTTCGGATTTTAACTATTTTAGGGAATAATAACAAAATAAGAATAACAACTAAATGTATTCTTATTAATTTGTTATTATTCCCTAAAATAGTTAAAACAGCATCCCGAAAAGAAATGCGAAAGAACCGTTAATAACACAATACAAAAAAGCACTAAAAATGTACATGTTAGTTGCCAAAAGTTTTTAAAGACGTACAAGACCATGATGTTTTTAAATTTGTTTTATAAAAAGTTTTGTTTTAGAAAATTATGAAGGCCGTGGAATTAGGCTACTTTCAAGCAAAAGCTTGATTTTTCAAAACACAGACATAATACAATTAATCAATAATTAATCATTTTATTTCATCTGCGGTCTGAGTGTACTATCACTAACCCTTCTTCTAATAATTTTGCATCTTCAAAGGACATTTAAGCCATAATTGTAAACTGCATTGCCCCTCTCTAACCGAAAAAAATTGCATACCAAGAAAACCCAATCCAACTCCCAACTAGCACCCATCTAAAAATTGTGTCCTTTTGTCATTCAAAAATTCAATCTCAAACATACAATTAAAACTTTAACTTAAAACTTTAATATGAAATACTCTCAGACAAGGGATATGCCTAATCATTAAGTTATTGTTTTTCACAAACGATTAGATTCAAACAAATTTATTAATAACAAACAAAGGACTTTTTGATAAACCAATCTAAAATCTTTTAAATATATTTCAGTGGCTTCAATCTGCAGCTGTCGCCCAGTGAGCGTTCCCATTCAGACGAAGCCATCTACAAGGACCTGCATTCCACGTGAGTAGCAAGTTATAGCCGCGAACTGTATACTGTATCTTAGCCATAGTAAGCGCTCCCAGTTTGAGCCGCTGCCCCTGGGGCTGTCTATCAGTTATATTTCCTTCTGAAGAATTGCTGCAATTGAAAACCATTTCTCAGTCTATGCCTTTGCTCTTGTAAAACCGAACTGATTACCAAAACCCTGAAATACGATATACTTAATACTATTTAAAATTACATTCTTATCAGAAAAAGCAAATTTTTAACTTTGGCGTGCATTGCGGGAAACTTAAAGATCATTAACTTAAGATCATTATTTCATTTATATTCAGAAAAAGAAACTAAGCCATACTACACTTGGAAGCAAAATTGTAACACAAGTTTGATGCTCCAACTATCAACGGTCTGCATTTTCGTTTTAGTTATATTCATTTAATTTAATTTAAATTTATTAAACGGATTCAAGTTACTAAAATAGTAAATATGAATATATAAGAAGAATCAAAAATAGAGACAGCCGTCGACTGGTTTAGTTGTCCTCCCAAAAAAGTCGAAATACCAATTAAAGGAGCGATCACACTTTAAAATTAATAATTAATTCTTTGCCTTTCCGTACTACGTATAGTAGTTTCAACATTTATTGTATTTTTTACTAATATTATATGATGGAAATATAAACCTATGTATGTGAAAAATAAAAGAATTCAATAACTTTTAAGGGCCTTGTGTTAAACTTAAACTTTCAATGTATACTATGGACAAGATTCACAAAACATATTTCCGCCTTTCACGATGTTTGCTGTATAATTTCCTTGAGCTGAGTCTAGAGTAGAGCTAAAATGTAGTAGAATGAATTTTCTTCTGAAACTGTTAAAAGAAATCTAACAAAGCTTTTGGAGACAACCCGTGAAACCAAAGCCATAAAGCCGCTTTTTCCAAAGAGGAAACAATTCATTTATTTAATGGAATAACGGATGAGCCAATATTTTTCAATTTTGGCATTAAACTGTGTCTGGCGGAGTCTTGTAAAATGTTATAATCTTGAGGAAAAAAACTTGCACAAGGGAGTTATGGAGCAAAACACTATTTCCTTTATCGTTATTTAATATCAATATTTAAATTAAACAGTTAAAACTCAGGCAGAGGAAAAAAAAAACATCTGAAGGCCTTTTAACCATTTTTTTTTCCTGAATAGATGTAACGCCACTCATTTAGTATGAAAGATATACAAAATTCGAGAGAGTTCTTATACATACGCATATTTCAATAAAAGTAAAAACGTGTCAATGAATATGAATTTATTCTTTATAAAACTGCAACCTAAGGCTCTTTTAATATGTCGCTTTTGGAATAATTCGTCCAGCTTAACAAAGGGCTTACAACTTTTTGTGATCAATTATTTAAATAAATCTCTAACATAGTGACCGTTTAAGCGAGATCATTAAACTTGTGTTACAGTATTAATCGCCAGTGTATACATACTACATATATCCCATATAGCATCCTGAATTTTTTCTATGATATATTAAAGGTAGTTTGATTTTAAAAGACGGAGAATGAGTCTTCTTCGTGCCTAAGAAATTTCTGTGTCCAGCCTTTTTCTAACACACTTTCTCTTTCTCTCTGTCTCTACCTCTCTGTCTCTGTTTATCGCTTTGTCCGACTCACTTTGTATGAATGAATTCGAACGTGTGTGCCTGAATATGTGTTTGCTTTGTGGCTGGTGTGTGGTGTTGCTGTGGGGAGTGACCTGGTTCTGCAGCGATCTTAACATGCGAAAGGCAAGCAGCATCGACGCATCCGGCTCGTCGTCGACGGAATACTATGACCTCAACTCGCAGAGTGGATCGTTGTCGGTGGAGGACGAGAACAGCGACATCACCATCGAGAACGGTACCGAGGATATTGACGATTACATCGAAGACTCGCTCTCCAACATGTGTGACTCGGCCATCGATCCCGATGGGTATGGAGGGGACATGGATAAAGGCTCTCTGTCAGCCGTCCAGGGTAGCAATTCATGCGGTCTCCCCTTCGATTCCACCCTCGATGCAGTTGGCTCCACCTCGGACTCCGCCTCGGCAGCGGTCACGCCCACACCGGAATCCTTTGACCAGAAAAACAAGTCACTCATCCCAAGTGCTGCTGCCACCGCGCCTGCTTTCAATTCCGATTTCAATGCTCCCGGGTCTTCGATGGAGCGACTTATATCCAGCTCTTCGTCTTCCACATCTCTTTTCATCAGCGAGAGCCAGCGGCTGCAGCGGGCAGCTGCCGCTGTTTACAACTACCGCTCTTCGATGGCATCGACGGAACACGAGTACGCCTACATTTACAGCGAGGACGACGACAAGGTCTACGAGGATCTATGCTACGTCACCTTCCAGACGATAAACAAACCTGAGGTGTGCCCATACTAATTATCTCTGTGTTCAGCAGGGTGGGACCGAACTATATTTCTGACTAATATAAGAGATTAGAGACATGAAATTCCCATACAACGATATTTCATTTTCTTTTAAATTTACAAAAACTTGTCGGTGTCGTGCGAAGTACTTAAAAAAATCTACACTAGAGCATCTTTATTTATTTTTTCAATGCCTGTCAATATAGACAGTGTAACATTTAATAGTATGAAAAATTATATTTTGTATGCCAATTTTCATTTACTTATGTATGTATGTATGTATTTGTTATTTTTTCATCAGTTATAGTTAAACTGAGACGAAATGTGGCTTTGTAGAGCTCAATTTCTTATACACTTTCACTTATAATATAACTCCAAAGACGTACGATATAGGCTTCATCGACTTTTCATCGATTATGAATTGGATTTGTAAGCAATGATAGCTGACTTAACCCTTCAACTTTTCCTTTATCAGCTTTAAATCGTAGCTGATCCCCTGAATTTTCAGACTTGGTCTTTGAATATTGGAAATAAAAAATTGCATTTTACGTTTCTATTACTATGGTCCAACAAGACCACCTATTAGACAAAACTAGTTTTATGTTTATTTAGATGAATAAAGTGAGCTTCGATGTATAGAAAATAGAGTGATTAATAAGCATAAACAATCATTGATGGCACCACTCTCGTACACACACTTGATAAAGTCTGCTGTTTGCACGAAAGAAAACTTGTGTACCCTGCAGTTCCGAAAATCAATTGTCATACATGATTCACCTGATGACACGAATAACATTCCATATAGACATTTTGTTTGTCTTACGGGCCGGACCATGATGAACACTTCATATGACATTTTAACGAAATCACTTATGACTTAATCGATGTTTTAACGAAATCACTTGTGCCTTCATCGATGTTTTAATAATTACAAAAAATACAGCTTAATTAAAATATGAAGTCGTGTTATAACTTCAATTTTTACTTAAATTAATAACTTCTCATTTGTTACGATAATTTATGTTAATTTTTTAACTTTAACAAATTATAAGACAATGCGTCTGAAAATATATTTACAAAAACAAAAAAAAAACATTTTAAAGATTTGTAAACCGCATTACGATGATTTTGCATACTAGATTTTCGGGTCACATGACCAGAACGTTTTAGGTAATGTTAATAATCTCAACTCGTTGTAAAAATTGCACTTACCTGTCCATAAATTAGTTTATATTTTAACAAAAAGTTAACAAAAGCTTTCGACGCACTTTTCTTTTGAATTAACTACTTAAGAATCCATCAAGTTAATCATTTTCCTCTAATCCCATTTATTATTTCTTTGTTCCATTTCGACTCTTGTTTGTCGGGTTTCACAACTTCAACCCTTTCTAATGTTAGCTGAATTACGTTAATAATACTTATTTACCAACTTAAACTAAAAAATTATATAATTGAAACAGTTTAGTAAATAAGGATCGATCTCTGCTTCGGCAAGGCTCAAATTGGAGTACGCGCATTGTATAATTATTCCTTTTCTGATGCATTGCCTTTAGGCTTTTCAAAACCAAAATGAAAATAAATCTGGCGGTGGGTTATCCATCTAAACCAATGGGCCAGCGAATATCTTTGCCGGGTATCTTCCGGACACGTAATCAATTGTTGGTGCTGATCAAGAATAAATATATTTTATAGAATCGATAATTACTTATTCGGGGTCGCTAAAAATATCGCCTCAATAGTTCAAAATATTTGAGGATTATTGAGGAGAATACCAAAGGTATATTCATGGCTGACGATTTTGTGTGTTTTCTTTATTTAATTTAGTAACTTACTGTTTTGGATCGATTCCTATTCGGATAAATTTATCACTGATATAGAAATTTAGACAATCAATCGATTAATCGGAAAAATCGATAGTACCAAACCTTGATGTGCAGACTTAAAATTGTTGATGCTTTTTTGTTTTTAATGCAAAATTTACAAATAAATAATTAAGTTAAAACACAAGCCGATAAGATTGATGGGATCGATGTTGACTAACATTTTTTATTATCTACTTTCTCCTCCGATCTCTCTAAGGATCTTGTAAGAAATTTCCGTAGTTCTTGGGTTCGAGCAAAACCAAAAAAAAAAAAAAAAAAAAATTATAAACTTCAAATCCTTGCTCTTCTGAAATGAAAATCCTTAAAAGTATAACAAAATTTTAACGACCATACAATTTTTATTTAAAAATTTTCATGGGCTAAACCTCAAACTTAATTCTTTAATGAGCTTGTTTAGTCGTTAGAAACTTCAACCGATTTTATTTGTATTTTTGAATTACAAAAGACTCATTTTAATTTATAATTCTTAATTCTTTATTAATTTTAGTCGTTTCCTAGTTCCAAGTTTTGTTTATTATTATGTCTGAAAAACTAAAAGAATAAAACAGAAAACATAAAACCATCAATAATGTGGCGCAAGAGAAGGAAATTAATGAAGTGAGTGATTCTGACAAAAACAAAACCATTTTTGTTCATTTTAATTATACTTCATTTTTTGAAAACGCTTTAAAATGAAAAAAAAAACTAAGTATCGACGTTTCTTAAAACAGTTATTTGGAAGGTTTTTTTTTTTATTTTCTAATTTATATTTGTCATCGTACATTTTAATTATATTTTATATTTTATTTGATTTTTCTTTTCATTTTTGATTAGTACCACCGACAATATTGCATGCAATGGAACTGGTTACGATCACACCAACACAAAAGAAGAGGAGGTGTACCAAGACCTGTGCGCGTTGCACAGGACGAGTAAAAGCCAGGTAGAATTGAGCTGCCTGTCCGTGCATGAGACACTGCCTACGAGTCTTCTGACCTTTCACCGCCCTAATTTCCATTTTACCGTCTTCCTCCTCCAGACCACATCGCCGACGAGCTTGGAGCAGCGCGACTACGTAATTCGGGAGCTGATAGACACTGAGTCCAACTACCTAGACGTACTCAACGCGCTGAAGACCAAGTTCATGACTCCACTGGAGCGTCATCTCAGCCAGGAAGAGCTGCGTACCATCTTCCCACGCATTCGAGTGAGTAAAAATAGTTTAATTTAACCCGAGCTTTTTATACACTCAATACTAGAGATGGAGAAACATTGATTTTCGCAGACTTCGATGGTTTAACAACAAGAAAAAGTTGTATTTGGTTTATTCAGATTCTTCTGCAATGTTCTCAACGTTTCTCAAACTGAGAGATTAGTTTGCGTTAAAACGAACAGACTGAAATCACTTCTTTGTCTCGCACATTAGCGTCTTTATTTAGTAGGGTTCCTATGTAATCCACACCCTCTTCTGATCTTCTACGTTTTGCAGTATCTTCCTTAGCCAGAGGCCCTTATCCAGCCTTCCTTTTGGTTCAGTATCACTCCTAGATATATGTACATACATGCTTTAATTCGATGTTGATTTTCTCGTGGGTTGATAACTAGTCCAAAGTCATGGTCACTTATTTAAGAGATTCAACGCTCCCGTAAAAACTTTGTTGATGACTTTAGGGTAAGATCCTTATACTAACAAACTACGTCGCCTTTATAGGCTATTACTTTAACTTTTCCCATATTGGTTTCTTTTTAATATGCGCCCTGAGGTGAACCTTTCTTTGCTAGTCGCATGAGGGCTATGTTCCTCCTACAAATATACCCATACTCTCTGATGACTCCCCCAATGTCTCTCCAGCCAAGGAAGCCCCGGACCATAGGCATTCACATAATTGAACACAGCTTTAATGTCTAGTAAGGTGACCTAGTAGTTCGTGTAGTTCGGAGGTCAGGTTACTCGACCTATGACCCCTTCGGCCTGGTTTTGGTATGAAGGTTACTTTGGATTCCCTCCCCGTCAGCAGTATTTTTTTCGGATTAATGAAAGCCTCGTAAATGACGACTTACTGATGCTTCTTTAAATTGTTTCTAGCGTTGCTAGAATTATGCACACTGGATTTTCTCAGTGGTAGTGATATCTCTCGGTAGTGTTATTATCTATATGGTCTGTTTTCTTCTGGTTTCAAATTCTTTCCCAGGTTCCCCGGGAAATGCGCGTCCACTTGTACCACCAGTAAATTTTCGATTGATGTCTGATTTGTCAATTAGTGTAGGGACTGCGTGCTTTTTGGAAAAGATCTTGCGTCATCTTTACCGTATCCATTATGATCTCCTTTGATTCGGAGTTACTTTTTGTCTTTGCATACTGTCTATTAGCATTCTATTTTTTTGTACTTTATTTCTTGATTCCATGATATCGCTCAGTTTCTTAGTTGGCGTTTAAGGTGTTGGCAAGGTCCTTTACTTCATGGCTGGATCTCAATAACTCATCTTCGTTGATACCCAATGTTGTCAACTTCTCACAGTTTTTTAGGGCTCCTCCCATATTATATCATAAACGCCTGCATAGCTTGACCTGCCATGCCCAACCAGAGGCGGAAGACAAATATATATTGACAAATTAATCCTCTGATAATTATTGTACTCAAATTATTACAATACGTCTGCCGTAACTGTAAGTTTACACATTTAATTTATACTTTAAGGGAAAGAAAGAAGTTTGTTTTATCTTATTATATGTATAAAGCTTTAGGTCCTTGGTAAAAATAAGAATTTTCGGGAAATCCCTTTAAAAATACTATACCTCCGAAAACTTTCTCGTATGCTAAACTAGCCAAAACGTCATGCAGTGTGCTTATTATTTTTATCGAACTCTTTTGCAGGAACTTTCTGACATCCATACCAGTTTCCTAGATAAGCTCCGAGAGTCGCTGCTACCGAATGCAAATAAGAAGATGGCCCAAGTTTTCTCGAATTTCGCGAGTCATTCTTGATTTACGGCGAATACTGTTCGTGCCTGCTTCGCGCCATCGACTTCCTCGCGGACGTGTGCAAGAAAAACCAGATCATCGATCAGTTGGTGCAGAAGTGCGAGCGCGACTACAACGTGGGAAAGCTGCAGCTGCGCGACATCCTGTCGGTGCCTATGCAGCGAATCCTTAAATATCACCTATTGCTGGACAAGTTGGTGAAGGAGACGTCGCCGCAGCACGAAGACTATCGTTCTCTTGAGCGTGCCAAGGAGGCCATGATTGATGTGTCCCAGTACATTAACGAAGTGAAGCGAGATTCCGATCACCTGGTCATCATTCAGAAGGTGAAGGATAGCATATTCGACCTCCACCTGCTGCAAAATGGCAACGGTTGCGATCTTCTACAATTTGGGCGGCTGCTCCTAGACGGCGAACTTAACATTAAAGCTCATGAGGACCAGAAAGTTAAGCTGCGCTATGCTTTCGTCTTCGACAAGATCCTTATAATGGTTAAGGCCCTTCACATTAAAACGGGCGATATGCAATACACCTATCGTGACTCGCACAATTTAGCCGACTACCGAGTGGAACAGGGGCCATCCCGCCGTTTGCTCGGCCGCGATACCCGCTTCAAGTATCAGCTCCTGCTGGCACGCAAATCCGGGAAAACAGCTTTCACCCTGTACCTCAAGACGGAACCTGAGCGGGATAAGTGGCGGAAAGCGCTTACCGAAGCCATGTAAGTATTCTAATGCTGCTAAAGTCAATTTTATACACAAACCAACTAATATAATGGCTATCCACTCGGTCCTTGTATTCTGTGGAACACTAGACTTAGCGCTTGATGTAATTTCTTTCCTATAAACGGATTACCTCTGCTTACAGGGAAAGTCTTGAACCGTTCGGCTGTCGAAGTACAGACCACAAAATGGAGATATTTACTTTCGATCAACCAACTACGTGTCGGCATTGCTGCAAGTTTCTTAAGGGTCGCATTCACCAAGGCTACCGGTGCAAAGTATGTCAGATCAGTGTACACAAGGGCTGCATCTCGTCAACGGGCCGCTGCCAGCAGAATCTTGTGAGTGTGCCGCCGCCCGTATGCGACAGGCAGCTATCCGCATTTAATTGGTTCGCGGACAACATGGACCGCGAAACGGCAGCACAACGGCTGGAGAATCGTCGCATCGGTACCTATTTGCTGCGCGTCCGTCCCCAAGGTCCGTCAACTGCCCACGAAACGATGTATGCTCTCAGCCTGAAGTGAGTATTACAAATCCTAATCAGTGAATCTAGCCTATGCAACTTTAATTCTTTCGCCTTAGAACCGATGATCATGTAATTAAGCATATGAAAATCAACCAGGAGAACTCCGGCGATTCCATGCTCTACTGCCTGTCCTCGCGACGGCACTTCAAGACCATCGTTGAACTGGTTTCCTATTATGAACGCAACGATCTTGGGGAGAACTTTGCGGGGTAAGCTAAACAGTTGAAAAGTTTATTTAGGAAAACTGCAAAAATATTTTAGCCCTGAGTCTCTGTAGGGTTACTCTTTTAACTTACCTTGCTATAAATGTGAGGGTTTTTTTTTAATCGGTGGAATAATCGGAATATATGATCAAATTATAAATCAAATTAAAGCAGAAAACTAAGATACGTATATATTATTGTGACTTCAAGTTTTTAAAGTCTTATAATTCATGTTTTTTCAGACTCAATCAGTCCCTGCAGTGGCCCTACAAGGAGGTAATCGCAACCGCTTTATACGACTTTGAGCCAAGGGCTGGCAGCAATCAGCTGCAACTGCGCACCGATTGCCAGGTTTTGGTCATAGGAAAGGATGGCGACAGTAAGGGATGGTGGCGTGGAAAAATCGGAGACACGGTGAGCTCAAAAGGTTCTCGATTCTGGGAAAAAATTGTAAACCAGACTGCCATTTCAGGTGGGTTACTTCCCAAAGGATTACGTCCAGGAGCAGAAACCGGCCAGCGAAGAGCTTTGATACTATAACTACGAGGTCTACTTTGCACCCAAAGCCATCAAGCCCACAAAGGCAGCCATTGCCGAATTACCAGAAGAAGGAGCTAGAGCTGGATCTGATCATGAAGAAACTCTCGAGGAGAGGGTGACCAGTATCAACAACTGCAGCTATATTGCATCCTAGTTAAATATGTATATGTGAATTTACAAATGTGTATTATTTATCATTAAGGTTTTTTTTTTAATTTTTGTTTATCGTTTTTTGTTTACCATTTATTTTGTTATCTCGAAACACTTGTGCCAATCCCTTCGACAATTAGAACACCCAAATCGAAACAAAAAAGTATATAGCCAAACACAAGTTAAAACAGAAAAAAAAAAAATTACCTTTAAGGTTTCAACGGTTTTAAATTATATATTTGAAATACATATACCTATGTTTATTTGTAAACTTTTAGTTGCTAACATTTAATTTATTCTTGTTTCTAAAGTCAAATTCTAAAGCCACGTCGAATAAACGTGAGTGAAGATGTTAAAACATATAAAGAAAACCATACGCGCATTTCCTTACAATGCTTTAAATATTTACGTATACAAACCACAAAATGCAAAATACTAGGAATATATAATTATATTGAATGTTTGCCACCGTATTGTTGGTGTGTCGGACTAAATTTTAGTTAAAAGTACAATTTAACGTAACAAAATGCAACGCAGCCACAAATTGTTCGAACAAAAAATAAAATGGAAAATATAGAAAATATTGAGAAGCTAAGAATAAATAAAGATTCAGCAATATCGATGTATGTCATATTTACAAGATGATCGAAATACTAGGCCAGCCAATTTGTAGATATCTACATTCATATATACATATATATTTAATAAGTACTGAGTATATTTTACGTATGTTACTTATAGCCAATGCTGAACTTTTAACAAAAATTAATGTAACACGACGGGGCTTCTACCGTCTCGTTAAAAAACTGTCTACATATATGTATATATATATATAGATATATATAAAGTAACAAAAAATGCATCGTCGTGCTCCTATTTTTACTTGGCGCTTTCATTGGGAGTTGTTTTTTATAATTTGTTGCTTTATTATTGTATGTTTCCACATAAAGTTGTACAATTAAAAAATCAAATTGGCGTGAAATTAAAGAGTGTTAACTAAATTTTAGCATTAAAGGCGTGAAGAGAATGTTATTAGAAAACAATTTTGCAAGCAAATATTTAAATTTTCATCGAAGTGATAAATCAAAAAACAGATCTCAACAAAGTTAAGTACTATACATGTGCAGACCAAGGAAAAATCTATATTGTATGAAGAGCAAAAAGGATAATCCTGAGGTTTCATATTTCATCTTCATGTTATGCAATGGAAATCGTACCGGCCCTAAAGTATTGAAAAACTTGAAAGAAGACCATCCTTGAACATTTGTAATTGCAGCTACAAAAACTAAAATATTAAATTTACTTCCCTTATATATTTCTTAGCAGTTGAGCACAAAAACCTGTAACACAAGAAAATATCTCGTAAATAATATCGTTTAATACAAAAACACTACGAAAAGTCTCACCTTCGCTCATTGCGCAAAAGAAATAAAGCATTATTTTTAGTATTTTGTGAAAGAACATTATTATACATTTGTGCTCAGATGAATGACCTTTTATTAACTTTTATGCTGCGCTTTTTAAATTGGTTTGGGTTACGTTTCTGTGTTTCTCGTACGGCTTTAGATCCTAGGTGGGTATAAAATGGCTACTTGTGCTCCCGATGCGCTTTCAGTCATGTTTCTTAAGAGTCGTCAGAAAGTCGTTCTAGTCTCAATGCTTCTAAAATATTTCGTCGCTGAGTTGCACATTGCGACGATCTCGAGTTTTGCAGCAACAAATCAACGCTTTTCGAGACTGTCCCATGATAATGGCTTTTTTTTTGTCTCGTTGATTTTCCTATCCGAATTATTTGTTATGAAACGTAAGTACTGGAAGTTGTAAAAATCATAGCATTGGTACATTGCAGCAATGCCTTGGGATTGTGTAAAGGCTATAAATACGGGACCCAAAACCCTTACCTGTGGTACGCCAGCTTGAATAAATCGGGTAACCGTTCTCCTCTCACTTTGACCATGAAGTATGGTTCTAGCAAAGATTGTATAAGTTATAAAGTCTTTGGTTCTAGCAAGTAAGATTTAAAAAGTTAACGATCGTGCCAAACTCGATCAAAATGTTCCTTAACAATGAAAGGCAATGCCTTCAACACATCTATATGATCTGGAGTTTCATGATGGTTCCTAAAGCTAAACTGGTAGTCTGGAATGTCATCCTCAATTTATCTTTCGGACATTTTAGAAAATGTGATCATAGAGTTGAGAAGAATAATTATATACAATATACCCATTTTCGGTACTGACCTTCCTTTTTTCCTTTTTATTTGACAAAAATGGACCGATTCTTAATAATTCTTGAAGTAACAGCACCTTAAAAATAACAAAAAACTTACACTTAGAAAAATGTATTAATTTATAAGAGCACGACACAATTTTATTAAAATTTAAATTAAACTAATTTCAAAAACTTCCCTCTAGTTTAAACTTAATTATTTTTGGACCGTCTCTTTTTAATCTATTCTAATTATACCTTTTCTAAAACAACATAAACTATAGTTAAGTACATGTTTTTTGAAAAACTCGTATTTATTTAAGTTTAGCAACAATGTGACAACATATTATGAATTGAATTAGGTAATTACTAAATCGCTTAAATCAAGGGAATAACGTGTTAATAAAATGAATTTTTAATCGTCGACTAGTCTAAATGTTTATATAAATGAAAATACATATTGCACATAATTAATTATTCGTTGTATTTCTATTTGTATTATTTTATATTTTTTAGTTTATGCAGTACTAATCCAGTCTTGGGTTGCCTGATGACTACATGGCTCTACCAAATGTTATTAATGTACGAGAAATATTGTTCAAATTTTGTTGTGTTCCCATATAGGGATTTTTTACAAGTTTGGAATTAAAAATCAATCTGCCATGTAGTAATAATTGAAAATAATATTGCTGCATTTGAATAAGTTGTTCCGTTATTAAACAACATATTTAATAAAAAGAAACTTTTTGTTTTACAAATAGATTTGAATATATTGCACATGTACAAAAATCATTTATCACTAACTACAAAACTAAGATTTCACCCTTATGTTTAAGAGTTCCTTGTATTTGTTTTATAGTCTAGACAAATATGCATTTTTTTATAAAATTGGAAAATGAAATGAATGCAAAATTACTTGGTAAAGAGGAACGGGTGTAAAAAAAAAACCTCACTGCTCTTTCAGAGTTTCATAGAGCCGAGTCTGTGCCCGATCTTGATCAACCGGAGGCGTTGTTAGTGAGAAAATAACGAATCAGGTATGCTAATGCTTGATCATCAGTATGTTTAGTGGAATATTACTATAGCGGAATATAGCTGTAGCTATTGGTGCGCTTGTAAATACTCAGCTCCTTCTCCGACTGGGACCGCGGCTTGCGTTTGGATGAGGAGGCCCTCTTCTTCTTAGTCTTGTTGTTAGACTTCCTGGCCTGAACATCGTAGCAGCGTTCGATTTTTTGGTCTTTGCTATCCTTACACTCATAGCAGACCCTATTTTCCTGCTGGTGGCGCAAACACAAGCTGCTAGGAGCGTCAGGCTTCAGTTTCTGATAATCTTTCTTTATTTTTGCGGATCGGTGCGATAGCGCTTGTACTGGGTGTCACTGCCGTAGGCATACTGCTCCGGTTGATTTTCGTGGGAGTAGCTGCACGTCTCGGATACCTCGTTGTTCTTAAGCTGTATGCATACCTCGCATAGCTTGCCATCCTTTCGCTTTACGCGTCGGCAACGATGGTCTTTTATGTTAGTGGGCTCCACAGCTTGGGTTTCCTCCTGCAGTTCCCGGACGTCGTCGATATTAGCCCCAGCCGCATCTCGATCAAAGTATTCCTTTACAAAATGTTCGTAGTTGCGCTCGTAATCCTCACCAGAATATCCCTCATGACTCGTTTCCGCACTTTGGCTGTCCACTTCTTCATTTACCGCATCGGCGTCCACATCGACGTCCAAATAATCGTCCGCCTTGGCTTGTGCTCGAGTGGTTGTGGTCGCTGTGACTTGCATAATTCCAGGTAACTTGTCCACTTTTGACTGATCTACGTCGGTGAGGGCATTCAGGCGCTCAAGAAGCTTGCCAGAAGCGAAAGCATCCCAGTAGTTAACTCTGCGGTCGTAACTGTCCGCGAACGAAACGAGCAGTCCGACCAGCAACAGCTCCGACAGCCACATTGTACTGAAAGTTTTGAATGCCTCTATGCATCGTGTCTTTTATACACCCTGTCTCAGAAGCCAAGACCAATGAAGCCTGTCCAACCACAGACGCATAAGGAAGTGTGGCTTAACCGAGATCGAAGGGAAATGCGAGTGGAGGAAGGCAAGATTTATTTTGTGTGGTCAATCAACTAAATCAAACCAAAACTGAACAAAATAAGATAAGGAACGAGATGGAATGGTCAACCGAACAAGGGGCATGAGTTGGTGGTGGGTGAGGGGTAAGGGGTAGTGAAGCAACAACTACGCTACGCGTTGCACATCGCTCAGCCGCTGCGCGCCTACAGTAGGGGGGCAGGACGGGCGGCAGGTTGACGCTGGTGGCGCAATTCTCGCCGCTTCTCGCGCAGAATCTGTTTCGTCTGGGAGGTGTCCAGCTCCTCCCACCCACCGACACTGTCATCCACCCAATCCTCGAGATCAGCCTGCACAGAGAAACCGAATAAATATCAATATAAATATGTGTTACTTTGGTTCTGACACTCTTACGTTATTACTAATGGGCACTACGTCCTGTGCCTGAAGTCTTGAAAAGTCTGTTTGGTGAAGGCTGCCAGTTGCACTCGAGCTGCTGCCGTTGTCGAGGTAGTATTTCACTTGAGGCTTAATAGTTGGAGCCAGTTCCTAAAATAATTAAAATAATACCATAAATTACCTAACTTATATATTTTTACTAAGTTTGTAGGCTTTAATTCTTCCAAACTATTTTTTTTTTTTTTGATTATACATAAATACCGGTATTAAACCATTTTAAATGATTTTTTAAACTTTCAATTCGATTTAAATAATCTGTTTTCTTACACCCTTACAGTTTACTATTTGATTGTTAAAAAGTAATTTAATTTGATCAAATAAAAAGAATAACTAACAGAAATGTTATAAAACAACAAACCAATAGAAAAACATGTTGGCAGCTTTACGAAATGCGAAATTCTAAATAATACAATATGGTCATATCTGAAGTTAGATGAAAATACGTTGAAAATTAGAAAAATCACTTTTTTCCGATAGTTTCTATTGCAGCTCTATAAAATAATCTTTCGATCCGGCACGTTTCAACTTATATACGAGCGAGAGTATATAGAAGACTAACTACAAAGTTTCATTAAAATAGCTTTAAAACTGAGAGAAAATAAAATGCAATTGACCATCTATTTGCGCAACTTTTTCAAACTACAAATTCAAATCAGACTTTTTCTTAAATCATGCCAAGCCGAGCCAAATCCTAATTTAACCAAAAGCTCTATTCTTTTAGATCAGGTCCCGACGGATTACCCCAACGGAATATCCTTCGGAATCTCGCGTTCTCCTCCTTTAATCATTTGCTAATTCTCTCCAGAAAAAGAAAGCAAATTGGATTTCAACAAATAGAGAGCACCTCTGTAAATTAGTTATTTCTATGTAAACATGAATTTATAAAGCGAAAACAAATAAAATCTAATTTCAGTAAAGCATTTGACTCTGTTAAAATAGCTTGTCTAATGTACTCCGGGTTACCTTTGTCGTCCAGCACGGGTCCCTTATTTTGTACATAATTTATTAAAGACCTGCCCAAAGTTTTAACTTACTCCATGGTATTTACATATATACGCCTTGCGTACAATACAGTCGGATATACAAACAGATCATAATAATTTCGGATCTAAATGCAAGCTAATGACATTCTCTCCTGTCGTTCCCAAGCTTGCGGCTAATACGCTGAACTGCTGATCTATGGAAAGAATTAAATTAGTTCATGATTTGGGCGTCCGCTTGGACCCTACATTTGACTTTATCGATCATATGTCGTCTATGCTGAATAGAGCCAGGGGTGTGCTTGGATTTATTAAACGGTGGTCAAAGGAATTTAATGACACAATTCAATGTTCTATATCGGAATATGTATCATCCGTTTGGAGCTCACATTACGGCGTCCGCAGAAAATGCATCGAATCGGTTCAAAAGAGCCATTTAAACTGGGATGCAGACCAAAGATTACCATCCTATTCTAGTAGATTTCTCCCAACTAACTTATCTTTCTTAGCCAATTATTATCTTATTTATAACTTTGTCGTGGAGACTTGGAAAGTGCTTACTTGTTAGGTCAGCTCAATTTCTTCGTAGCAAGTAAATTGCTGAACCCTTTAGAGTCTTTTGTGCAAAATTATATTATATCTAACGTAGATAGCCTTCCTAAACTAAAAACTTTAATCCTAACCCACTCAGTAACATGCAAGGCAACAAATAGACAGCACGTTAAGCCTTCGTTTCTCGTATTCTTTCCTATTTTTTTCTATCATTCATTCACATTCTCTATTCTTAATTATCCATAAGGTCGATACTTATAATTCAAGAAGGGATGAGGTGGTCAGTTTAGAGCACCCACGTCACCAAAGAGATCGACGACGATGTCGGCGAAAACATCTCTGAGAAGGCGGAACAATATCCATAAATTAGTATTGACTTCTTGCATAAATTAAGTTTTTAATTAAAGGTGTTTGGGCCAATACACAACTGTGAAATTAAAAACTTACACTGAAGAAGTCAGGTTCTGGTTCCTCCTTTGGTGGCGTTGGCGGCTGGGCCATCCGTTGACGGTACTGCTCAATGTGTTCCTCCACGGTTCGCGGACTTTCGTCCCATGAGTTCCAGTCACGATCTCGCGGACCCGCCAGTGATCTGCCCTCCGTGCGTCCACCCGGATAGGTAGTCGTTAAGTCGCCTCGCTCAACGACAACATTCACCGCTTGCAACTGGTCGCTGGCATTAAAAGAGCCCCCGTGGCTCATCTTTCGGTGTCTAGAGAAGCAACACAAGGCACGCCGGCACAATGTGATGATGCCTAAAACCAGCATCTTGATTTGCTGTAGCATTCTCAATAATTATTTACAAAATATTAATTCTATTAACATAGAGCTGAGAAAACATCGATTGTACTATCGATAGCGTTGATGTTTAAAAATATTCGATACATCGATGTTTCTTTTTCAACGTCGATGCCAAAATTCAAGAGGATATGTTTGAATAGACAATTCACATCATCGTTATTTCTGGATAAAACTTAAGAAAATTATATATTATTATTATAAATATATATTGCAATATAAATGCAAGTATTAAAATTAATGAAACTGTGTTAAAGGAGTCAGACTGACTTGTATTGCTTGCATTGATTGTAAACAATTTGTACTAATAGCTTACCCCACAATGAAAGTTGAGGCACATAACAGGAGAAGAGAATGACATCGTCGCCCAAGAACAGATTATTTGAGTTATAAAATATTCCTTGTCACTTAAATCGCATAAAATGGGCTATGTCACTACGTCTTCAATTAATTCTACCTATTTCTTCAACCAGGTAAAGTTTTCTATTCAATTTTTTTCCCTCCTGCGTTCCGTACTTTTCGCAATATTAGTATCCAATAAAAAAAAATCAGAGAGTTCTCCTTTTTGCTCATTTCGTCCTTTTTCTATATGAATTTTAGAATTTAATTATAATAATAATTGCAAAATACCAGCAAAAAAAAAGTGAACTTTAACAACTCGTTCTATAATGAGCTCTAAGCTACAGCTGTTCGATCAGCTGTTATCGGGTGGTTGATTGAGCTCTGTGGAAATACGTTTCACCAATCGGCTTCTACCAATAATTCCCACTGTTTCACATAGATCCATATAGCATGTTCAGAGAAACAAGCAACAACGATCGATAAAACATCAATGCCTTTAAAGAATCGAAACTATTTTTTAGGCATATAATTTAAGGCTTTATGTTTATTTAACATTGATTTTGTGAAAATTTTGGTTGTCCCCATTTATGTTCCTGAAAGTTTAAATACTTAGATGCATCGATGTTTCTCCACATCTAGTAAATTCATTTCAGAAGTACTTTTATTTTGCTAAGCGTCTTATCTTTCCTACAGCTCGAACCGTTCTATTAATTAGATTGTATTACAGAGACCGCAAAAATATTTAAACATTTTTCGCGCCGATGTCCTGGTTATTTTCTTCGGTTTTGATTCCGCTTATCTTACCCGGATAATTTAACCGCTTTTAAGAAAAGGTAAAAGCGAGATTTAGGGATGAAGCGATCCCTTGCAATATATCAACAAACAATATGTAAATATAAATATTAAACGGATTACCTAAAATATATTTTTTTTCTTCTATTTATTTTATTTAACTTATTTCACTAAACCTAAAAAATAAAAACCTAAAATCACTCCGCGAATGTCCGCGATGCAACTTACTCAAGGAGCGAACAAGCACCTTGCACTTTAGCCGAAAATGAATTTAAAGAGACTGACTTCATTCTAAATCAACCGGTTAGGTAATTCGCGAACCAAACATGCGAGCTCTGTTTAAAGCTTTAAGTTATCGGTATCCGGAATCAAATGAAGGTTATTCAAAAACGTTATATATGTAACTGCATTGTATTTTTTTATAATATACAACATTAATAGCGATAAAAAAAAAAAATTAGCTGCTAAAAGATATGTTGTTTTGCCTTGTTAGCTGCCTATGTACTACCAGTCGTCTTCAACGTTGTTGGAGATCTCCAGGCGGAAGGAGGTTTGAAAGTCCTGCAGCTTTCGACGGAAGTTTCTGCTTAACGGGTTGAAACGAAGATCTACCAAAACAAGACCGGAACTGGATATAGCCTCTTCAGTATCAATTTCTGTGACGATTAAAGAGCAAATTAATGCATGGGTCGGGTAAGAATAGCATTTAGTGACTACGCTTACCCAATATGGCATTGTGTTGAGCATCAAGATGGGTAAGACTCTGCAGCTTAAAGACTACTTGAGGTAAGACTATAAAGGAGTTGTGGGAGATATTCAGAATAGTCAAGCTAGTCAAATTCTTTAATTCTTCTGGTAGCCTCGTCAGCTTGTTATGTGAAAGATTGAGATCTGAAAAGATCAATTGTTAATTTTTCCAAAAATGTTTAGACAGGGTTAGAAGAGACTCACCTGTAATCAAACTGAACTTTTGCGAAAACTTTGGTGAGACACTCTTTAGAACGTTCCCACTAAGGTTGCAGGTCTGCAACTCTGTATTTCGCATTAAGTGATACACTGCATCTGGTATTTGCATTAGTTCACATTGAGAGAGATCTAGAATTGTAGTAGAAATAATTAAATAAATAAAATAAGCTACCGTATTTAAGAAAGTGTAGTAGTTGATTGTGCACACTCAATGACACAACGTGTACGAAGAACTGCAAAAAAAATTGTGAGTCGATTCTCCAGAATAAAATCGATTAAATAAAACTAAAAAATATCCTTTTTTTGTGTATTTGTATAACTACTTAACATACATACATATTTAAATTTGTTAAGCTGAGAACATATACAATCTAAAACCTCACTGGGTAAGATACCAACAATTTGGGTCTATTTTATATACTGTTTTAAATATTTGTTTATTAATTTTTAAACTATTTATTAAACCTTTTAAGCCCGAAAGCCAAGCAGCTCGCAACACAAAAAAGAACTTGAAAGTGTCACTGAAATTGATGCTAAAGAAAAAAATTCAGTTTTAAGATGTAGCTTAAATTTTTAAAATTTAAATTTAAAATGTTTTAAACTTGAATTGGGATTCATTACTTGTATTTAAATTTGTGTAAATGTGTCCTTAAGACAAAAATATATATTTTAATAAAATTATATACCAATATTTTTTAAGTGTTAACGATACATCGATTGTTTCAACAAAACAAAATGATCGATAGTATCGATGTTGAAATAGATTTTTTCCCAGCTCTACTGTGTACATGGATAGCACCTTCGATGCTTTGGGCTTTATTTTAGGGATGCAGAAACATCGATGTGTGCGTCAATCGATCTTTTCTATGTTTAAAAAAAAACATCGAGTGAAACATCGATGTTTCTAAAAAAAAATTGAATTTAACAATATGACTTGATTTTATTCGAGATCTGTGATATCAGGACTATCAATAGTATTATTGAAATGTGAATTCTTATTGTTAAATAAAAGCTTGTTCACAGAGCGTTGTCCTGTGGTCACTTATAGTTTGTCCAGCTTTGCTGAACACTCTTTCCGCTTCGCATGACGAGGCTTGTATAGACAAGTATTTGGCTGCTAAAAACATCTTGGTGGTGACCCAGCCATCGATGGTTCCGATGATTTGCAAACGTCGATAACTCTATGTTTCTGCACCTCTACTTTATTTTTGATCACACGAACCTTCATATAACAATGTACAATATATACATATGTACATATATACATAAATCTTTGAAACAATACAACACTTTCACTCTACACATATTATTTAAAGTTCACTTTATTTATAATTTTCATAATGAATTATTGACCTTTCTTTGAAAGTATACATACGTATGCCTACATTTGAACATACATATGTACATACATATGTATATAGCGCCTAAGAAAGATTCGATTACATGTGCCTTAGATTTTTTAAATTACATTATGTACATACATATGTACGTATTGTAATACGCATTAATAACTTCATGCATACATATGTATGTATATATGAATGTACATTTTACTTCCGAATGTCTATTTTTATTTTTTATATATAGCACTACATCTGGCCGACTTACCCAAATGTGAATTTTCGGTAGCAGCCTCGCACCTTTCAATCACCTTTACAACCAAGTGCGCCATCTTTACCGGCTTTACACCCCCTTTATATGTAACTATGTACCTATGTAAATATGTATGTACATATGTTTGATAACTTCTTTGTTCTCTGATAATTCGAAACTTATGTTATCACACGATGCGGCCCAAAAAAAACTAAGAACATGAATGAAACGGCCAAAATACATTTTCCATTAATACATACATACATATGTATGTATGTACATGCATACAAACACGAATACAAAGCGGAACAAGAATCCTAGTCTCTTTGTATGTGGGTGTCAATGATCGCAAGCTTTTTAGAAAAGAAAATTGTAAAAGAATGAAAGAGAATCAACAAAATAACAAAAATAGCTATTTTGTAGTCACTAACAACTAGTGATGTATTTTTTTCTTCGCAAAATAAGCTGGATTAACAAAAAGAAATAGCTAAGAAAATAAATAAATTTTGTAGAAAAAAAAGTTCCGAAAATTTATTGCAGCAGGTACCTTATTTATTTATTGTTTCAGTGGTTGATTGGTTACCTTAAACAGTACCTATTTTGTAGCTGTTGTTGGTAGTTGGTAAGTAAAACAGCAATTATTGTGTATCTGGACGGTAAATTGGTACTTATTGTGTCGGCGCAGTCCCCACCTTACAATTAAGGTAACTTCATTGCTAATTTAAATATATTTCTATATATGGACCATCACTTACAAAAGCGTTTATCGCTTTAAAGTCAATTTTATTTGAAATTTATATTTTTACCAATTTATTTGACTGCAAACCCGCTCGACATTTAATGAAGGATATGCAGCGAAACTAAAACTTTATTCCAGAGCGGCACCAGGGTAGAAATAAAATACTCCAGGATATAAATAAATACAATTTCAATTGCAAGAATTGAATGAATAAATTCAAAATTCACCTTTCAAACTTAATTAAAACATATTGTAAAAGTTAATTTAAAAGTTTATTTAGATGTGCTAAAAAAAGGTAGAATTCCCGCTGTCCCCCGCGATCACACTTTCAAAAAAGCCAAATCTGACGGGAAAAAAGACAAAATGACATAGCTAATGACGACTATAGTCAAAATAATAGGATTCTTTTCGCAATATTTTAGAAACAAGAAAGATAAACAAACAATTTAATAAGTCAGACTGTTCTTGATTGCCTTCCTTTAGCTCTCCCCTTCAGACCCCTTACATATTTTCAATGATTAATTCCACAGTAATGTGCGGAAAAGCTGAGTCCACAGATACAAGTATAAAATGGGATACCTCTTCAACATGTTTATAGTTTTGACGATCTCTCTGATTTCTTCTGATTCTCTCTTTATGTTTATAATTTCCACTTACTTTTCCGAAATAAATTTAAATTAAAAATTCCGATTAATAATCATCCTGTTTTAGAAATATAATGACAAAAAAAGGTTTAGCTACTCGATTTAAGTTAAAAAATTCTTCAAAATAATTTGTTAATCGTTGAGAGAGAATAAAAACATTCTAGTGTATTAAAAAAAAAAAAAATTTCAGATTGACTTTTAAATTATTTAACAATATTTTAAAACGTTGATTTTAAGAAAAATATGCAAAATATGCACAACAAAATCTAAAGGAGAAATTTAAGCCAGACAGCACTCTATATTTTGTTTCCGGTTTCTTTAATTAAAACGCGATCCCAGAACTAAATACGGAATCGACTCTTTGATCATGAATAATGATTTGAGAAATATAAAAATGATTTTAAGGGCCGATTTCCTAATATCCGGTGTATTTATAATTATAGAGTCCCAATATCTCTTCTGTGTTAATTCGAGGCAAACATCTGGATTTACAGCATCCTGCAAAGTTGAATCTCAACAAAATCTGAGTGGTGTGACATTGCATATCCGCAAGCACATCATAATTAAAATGAAAATATTAATATGAAAGACAAATTTTTAGCTACACCAATCCCTCTAGTTAGAGTGTCAGTCATTCTATATTAATTTGTATATAATTTCGAAAATTTATTTGACATTGACATTGAAATATTGGGTCTTTCATAATTAACTACTCATTTTATTTAATGACATTTTGTAGATGCCGAGAAATTAATTGCATTCAATCATGAACAACCGTCATCAACAAATAATACAAGTTGTTGATCAGTTTTGATATTTGATATAAATATCACTGGTTTTGTCCAAAAATTATATGTTTTTGACATTACCATCTCTACCACTTTTATACTGTCTTCCTACACATTCCAAACGAGTAAAAATCCGGGGTTTAAACAAATAGATTAATTAGTAATTGAATGCACAAATTTTCACAGGCAAGGAAGAATTCAGAGTTGCACTAAAAACCTATTACACACTTATCGGCTATATAAGTTCATCAAATTGTGATGGAGAGCAACAAGAAATTTTCGAAAATGCAAAGAATTATGCATCAGCCTGGATTGGCGCCTCAAAAACAGCAGGGATATGGAAGTAATGCAATAAATAAAAAAATTCGATTTTGCTAACAAAATGTTAAAAACGAATTTAGTCAAAGTTAATAGTAGAATTTAAGTTCAAAAATCGGATAGATGATGGTGAAATGAAACTTTTTGGGTACGTTTCAAGTGTTTGTTTTAACTGTCACATTTTATACTTCAAAACGCATTTAATTATTACCGATATTGCAGATTACAGATGAATTCAGGATATACACATACATAATTTAATGTTAGGTCGCATAATACTCAAATGTAATTAACAGAGCTTACAATCTAAATAGAAACTCATGTTTTATGAAAAAATGTCGATGGTAATGACAGTCAATATATTGATATCAAACTGTACTTGGTTAATTTGATTTACAGGTTTATGTGTATAAGACGGGGAAGTGCGTATTAGCCGCTGTGATTGTTGACTAATTTTTGTTTTCCTAAATGGCCCCCAAATACAGACAATATACGTGTACGTATATATTCTATGAATGTGCAACTGCGCATCAGCGAAGGGTATAACGTTAACAATGAGGGGTTCAGGGGCTATGGTGAAATGTGCTCTTACCAAGCTTGCGGTTCTCTTTGGCCTCTTCGCATCGCTGTACTACACGGATGACACCCTGTCCGGCGATCGGCGGAAAGGTGCCTATCCCGCCAATCCTGGCTATGTGCGGCGGAACTCGTGGGTCTACCTCTTGCCCGGAACCTTCCTCCTCGTCTGTATTTGAGTTCCTGTTGTCGTTGTTTCTGTTCCCATTACCATCATTTGGATCGTTGTTACCGGCACTTCCAGCATTGTGCTGGATATTTGTGATATCGTTGCCAAAAGGCCGCATGTTTAAACTGAACTTAACTTTGTGCTTTCTTTCCGAACTTCTAAAACTTTTCCTATCTCACAAAAAAAATTAGATCACAATTGGAAGTTTGTTTTAGGGATTCGAAATTAACTTTTTAAAAATTAGTTTTAATATTTTTATTTAGAATATTTAAGCACGAGCTACTACACAACCATCCGAACGTGACTCTCTTGCGCAGTGAAATATGGAAAATGCTTTTTACTTTCGGTTTTTATAGCACGGAAGAATAAAGGAAAATTGCGCACAAGCCAATGAAAAATAAAAAGGCAAGAAAAACAAAAATAATAACACAGTTCAATACGTTGACCACCTAATGCTCTTTGTTTGGTTCACTTATTTAAAAATTCAACAAAAAATTAGAATTTCAGCAATAATGTATAAGCAGTATATTATATACATATTTGAAAACATGGCCTTTGGTGTGGAACTCTGATTAAAGAACAAACAAAACAAAATTCCCTATCTAATTATTACCATATATTTATACAAGTGCATCCTATTGGCAAATAATAGTTTTGTCGTAGTTTTTATTTTCTTTAATCAAAATTTCATTGACTAAACTAAAAACAAAGTGCATCGAATATATTTAATGTATCTCTCAGTAAACTTCATGAGGAGAGTATATCTGCATAATACGAAATGCCTTGTCATCTCAAGAGCAATAGCCTCTGATATAAACAGTCTTTCTTTCTGTATTCTATAAGCTCATTCTGGTTACGGAAAAGTCTAAAAGTTCAATGAGAAAAGGGAAGAAAATATAGATCGGGAAACGCGAGAGAGAACGCAGCAATTCGAATGCAGAAAGCTCCAAATATAAGCAAATTCACATTAAAGTGGACCTTTACAGTAAAAGATCGGGATGCTAACATTATCCATGCTAATATCATCAGTATTTTGCATGGAACTTCATCAACGATTCATCAACAACACCGACGTGTCTGCTGATGAATCGACGGAATCTATAACCGGCTCTATTTTAAGGACAAAACAAATTCAGATTGCTATGCTTCATTATACTATTGCATATAGTTTAATTTAACGCAAGTAGGCATTATTATAGTTAAATTTAACGCAAGTAGGCATTATTTGGTCGAATAGGGAATAGGGAATAGGGTGTCAGGGTGTTCAAACCGAAGTTGGCTTCCTGTCTTATTATACCCTTGCAGGGTATTATAATTTCAGTCAGAAGTTTGCAACACAGTGAAGGAGTCACCTCCGACCATATAAAGTACATGTAGCTGGCATACAAGCGATCGTTAGATATGGAGGAAAATCCAAACTGTGAATGTAAAACTGTAAATACATATAATATGTAAACTAAACTACTACAATGGTGAACTCCTGGGAAGAACTAGGAAGACATTTATTCATAAAATATTTAAGGGTTTCTAGTTTGGCACGCAGAAGTTTGTATACAATCGATCGAAAAAGATTTATTTACTCAGGGGTTTCCCTCTATACAACTGAATTCCTGAAAATATCGGTTATGCACATATCTGCGATATATGTACATATGTATGTATCTAGCCGGATAGTAATGACTAAAAACAGTGAACCCCAAAGTGTTCAACCAAAATCACAATCGCAAGACTGGCTTTTCATTCACTTTGCCTATATTCAGCGATCTCGAAGTCTAGAAATATCGACTAAGATATTTGTAATGGATCAGTTGTCGATATTTTTAGTCATTTAGGAAATACTAACAGTGTTGCAAAATGCATAATATTTGCAAGAGTATAAGAGTTGTCTGGTTACGCAAAGTTGGGACTCAAACTTACTGTTTGAGACGCAACTAACTATGCAAGTGGGGCTCAAATTATTTAACTTAACTATTCTTGCAGAAGAAAAACGTATATTTCTTAATAACTACAGAATAAGCTTATTCATTAGTCTCCGTGTCAGATTACATACAATATGGTTATGATTAATTTGATTCTTTATAAATCTTTTACGTGTAAGCAATGTCAAAACCTTTATAAAACTAAAATATTATTATTACTATTTTCCGTAATTTTATTTTTCTTTGTTTTTAAGACATAAGACGAATAATCTAAAAAATTTGTAGTCAATAGAAGTCCACTCTAATTGATATAAGTATGTAAATATGTAAATACGTACTTCATTTAGCTGCTTTTACGCATCTGCTGTTTTCTGTTGTTTTGATACTGGAATATTATATTGTTGAATCAAAACAAGACATGTTATTGCGACATTTCCTAGTAATACTTATATTATTGTATATTTACCTGTATTTCTCATTGCACACTAATTAACTGCATCGCAGTGTTATCAGTTCGACAAAAGAACGGGAAATTTAAAGGTTGCAAAGACATTTATTTCATTGTATTAGAATATATGTAAACGATTATAGCGAAGCGGTAAAAAGATACAAAAATTGCTGCCAAAAGCTCTTTAGTCTTTGTAAAGATACCACATATGGGCATTTCCACAGAATGGTAAACATCATGGCAAAAAAATGAAAAGTTCTTAAAAACGTTTTTTCTATCATAGTTGCATTAAGAAATATATCAAATAAAATTTGATTAATAATTCGCACAATTGATATTTTTGAATATTATAATAAAAACATCATAAACAAGAAAGAAAATTAACTTCGAAGCAGGGAAGTTTGTATATCCTTGCAGATTAAAATTCAGACATTACTAATTAATGGAATATAAGTTATAAATTAAAATGAAATTATTAAATTAATTAGTTAAAAAAACAACGAAGGACAGCCTACTTTTATTATATTCACCTATACATATATTATTTTCTGTTTTACATTTACATTTAACGATCTTTTCTATGGCAGCTTATATACGAGTGAACGTTAATGCAAACTTAACTGAAGTTGCATTAAGATAGTTTCAAAACGAGAAACCAGACGGACAGATATGGATAGATCGACTCGGCTGTTGATGCTGATCAAGAATATTAACAAAAACATTTATGTAATATAAATATCTTGAGGCCTTTTTGTTTTTTTTTCTGTTATCCCATATCTAAAACTATTATATATTGCTTCGGCCAGTGTCGCAAAAAATCTAATAAAAATATTAAAAAATAAAACCAACTGTAATAACCTATACAAGTTAATGTAATGATGTCTTATAAGAAAATATATAACGTCATCATGAACTGCTTCTACTACTTTCAGGCTACTTCTTTAGTTGTGGCCTTTTGATACGTAAAATGCAGTTTTCATTAATCGGAGGCTTCATTAAAATCTTAAGAGATACAACTATATTCATGTATGCATGTGTGTTATTTGGCCCGGTATTTTTAACACGACTGGAGTAATACTGATTTGAAAAGATAGTCAATAACAAAGGTTGGGCTTCACAAAATATACCTATTGTATTCCTGTCCACGTCGAAGTACTCCTCTTTACGTACTTTTTTTTATTTCACCAATTTCAAAATTAATATCCAAAAAAGAAATTTTAGTTGATTTTGAGACCAATTCGTCCTCTAATGGGCTCTGAAACATTTTTTAATTACGATTTTTGTTCATTTCAGCAGTATTTTATTATTGTGTCTTAAACATCGATTTTATAAGCTAAGTGCGAGCCATGCCCATCGCAAGTCAGGTCGTACAAATTTTTTTGAACATAATACGCATATCTTATCTTTAGAATAGGTTTACCTCAACCTACCCTAATTTTATTAATACATTTTGTGAGACTTTAAAACACTGCAAACTCTTCGGAACATTCACTTTTGGTTAGAGGAAAATCTTTGGGCAATGTCAATTCAAAAATTTTATTTTTATAAAACCCCTATCTTAAAATTATTTTTAATAGATTGTGTGGGACTTTTACACAATGCACTTTTCGAAACATTCGGTTTTTGTTGGAGAAAAATCGTTCGAGAATCTCAAAGTTCTCGTTATCTAATTCGTTTTAATTTAGTCCATATAATATCAGAAACATATTTCAAGTAATATACAAATTTTGCCATGAACAATAATGAATGAATAATTTAATTGGTGGATTCCATGACAATACTTTAGAATTTGTCAATTATATTCATTTGCAAGGAAGAGGGGAGGATCCGGGGAGAAATAGGAAAACTATAAATAAGGAACCCGTAGGCCATCAAGGTTGAAATAGGACAGTTCCGCAGTTAGCCTTGCCGATCTCGAAAATCTCAATGCATTTGGCAGTTTTTTCAACTTCCAGGCATTTCAAAGGTCGATGTAGACTAAGTCGTCTGCTAACCAGCTTTATCCGTGGCCGGGACTTTGATGGAGTGGATAGAGTGGAGCACTGGTGCTACCTTGTTTTTTCCTAAATCGCACAGCGGTCCAACATTTCAGTTAGAGGCCATATTCAATCATCCGACTTCCTTAACCAGGCGCTTCAGTGCCGACATATTGAGGTAGTTGGAAACTGTCCTTGACAGCCAGCTCCGCAAGAAATCACTTAGGGACAAACAAAAACAAGCCATATGAGGTGAACTCGTCTTGTGCTTTAAATAGAACCGGTTGTCGACAATTAGAGGTGCAAAAACATCGATGTTTTTGGAATTATCTAAATTATCGATGTTTTTTTACCATCGATATTTTAGTTCCGTCACTATTAAGAGACAAAGCAATGAAAGGTACGTTGAAAAGCGGATTATTTTCTTATTTATTATATAAAAAAAGGGGAAAAATTTTATATAACCGCACAAAATGCCACCACAATTCTTTTTTAAAAATATTAAACCTTTATAAGAATGATCTCAGTTATCAGTTTTCTAAGTTGATTTTATGAGGCCATAAATATTTTGTTTTTTGTTCTTAATTTTTTAAAACATCGATGTCTCGATGATGTTTTTGCAAATGACTAGTTTTTAGAGCGGTAACACCTAAAAATCTTTTTGTGCTCGCAATTAGTTTTGTCTCCCCAATATCTTACTAAGAGAATGTCATATGTTGGGTTGTTTATTTACATATATAGTTAAAATTTTTTTTATATGAAAAAAATAAGATAAGCCGAAAATGTGCTGATATATGACAGTGGCTTCACACTATTGGCTTCGAAAATAGTTTATTAGGTCGATAATGAAACCAATACTAGAAGGTTCAATATAAACATTAATCCTATTTTCTACCACCTTCTCAACGTTCCACAGAATATCACGGTATACAATCTATCTGCACAGTTCCTACGTTTAATGATGATGATGGTTGATGGCTGCTGCGAAACCAAAATGAATGAATTATCAACTCTTTTGGCTGTTTAATAAAAGAAAAATCGCTGATCGTGGCAAATGCTTTTGACAATATACATTATAATTAATTAGATGACAAGGCATTGAAGAGAATCGAATGATTTTTCTCTAACCAAGAGAAAATATCGCGATGAGTTTGGAAGTGGTAAAGACTCACAATATCTTTTCACAACAAAGTATTAATATATAAAATTGAAACAGTTCGAGACAATTTGGGGATAGAATTGACTGGAAAACACCGATAAGTTTCTTCAGCATTCTTTGAACTGTGGCGCCCTCCACATTTTGCACTCGCTCTTACTGACTTGTAAAATTTGCACCGACAATTAAAGGAATTCTCAGTTGCACCGAAGAAATATCGTATAACTGCCACCAAAACAAAGGAATGGATTGAGAACATTATGAGAAATTTCGAAACGGCAAAATATTATGGACCATCCGTTTAACTGATGCAGAATGTCATATGGATCTCTTTGGGAAAACCTTATAAGGCTAAAACTAAAAACAAATGAACAGCTGGTCGTAATCATAAAAAACTGCACGGGACATAAACAAAAATATTCTTACACTATGCAAGTAATAGTTTTTGACCAGAAAACATAATCAAGGCGGGATAGCAAATTTATTTTAAACTTTGCATCAATTACAGCACATCCCATACAGATAAAAAAAATAAAATGAAACAATTAATATATTATAATTTTTAATTTATAAATATTTAGTAATATTTCAACCATCGATATACATCACGGGAATACACCAGTTTCGCGAAAAGGTTGCATAGTACTTATTCACATATTTTTGCTGATCACGATGTCCGAAATCTTGCATCGCATGACCAGTGATCTACCATCCACCATCAACCAAATAGTTTTCCAAAATCTGCGACTATTTTGTTGTTGAAAACCCAAAATTGTTGAATAAGGAAGCAAGTATCAACATTAAACGGACTTTTCTTCTTCTTGTCAGTGAAAATATTGGTACTGACTTCAAAATTGTAAAGAACTTTGAAAATGATAAATTTAACAATGAAATGTGCCGGAGCCAAAATTATATACCAATTGCTCCGTCTGCGCGGAGGAATCCGAGCTTAGGGTGAATACATTTCCAAATAAACACAAGATTATATGCACCTACTTTTCAAATGTCACAATCAAGACAACAAACAATAGACAACAGATTTCGGAGGGAGGCCCTTTCAAAATTCAAAATTCCAGTACAGACCTAGACTACTTGTTTAGTTAATCCTTTACCTTATATATAAATCTAAATTCACCTTTCAAATTACAAACAAACCATCCAAATAAATTGCATTTGTTTAAAAAAAATTTGTATATATATATATAAGCTTGCTATTGCGCAATAACCAAATTAATTGATTAAGCTCCGGGCTTCAAACTTCTATTTTATGTTCTGATGCTGATATTCCACAGCTGTTCAATCAGCTATTATCGGATGTTAGACACATCCGCCATCAATCAATTAATTTGGTTATTGCGCAATAGCAAGCTTATATATATATATACAAAAATCAGCTATTATCGGATGTTAGATGGCGGATGTGTTTTTTGATAATGGTAGTTACACATCTAGCATAAGTACCATCTGTTTTAGTCGATTTGACTATGTGGGAAGGGGATATTACTTCACTGTCCAGTGGAGAGAGTTTTTACATTTAGTTGCGCTTAACAGCACGGTTTACTCGTAGTTCGCCTTTATTATATATGTCTTCCCTCACAAAGTTTTTTTTTTTATTTTAATAAGCGGTATTACTGTAAAATATCTTGTTCATTTAATTTAAAAAGATGTCAACTTAGCATTGAATGCAACATATAAAACTCAACACACGGCCAATTCAACCGCCATATGTGTATATGTATACATATGTATGTGCAAGAGTAGATGCTGATAAATTACTCATACGATAATGTTTACTCTGTGAGTAATATTAAAGCAATACAAATGTATATTATTGTGCTGTTACAACTACCAACTGTTTAATTTAGTCTATAAAAGCATAATTTGTATTTATTAAACAAAACAAAGGCTTGGAAATAACAAACGCCACACAATTGCCTAAACCAGCCGGGTTATTTATAATAGTTCTGTGTATTTCCATTACTTTGAGTATTTATTTATTAGTGTCGATTTGTACATATGTGATTGTGTGTATCTATGTACAGAAATGTATACACATCTAATGAAATAAACGGATATACATCAACAGAATAAACAACGAACATATGTACATAGAATAGCAGTGGATTTTTCTCCAAAAAGGGTATGTTTGCGAACTGATTTGCGACTGCAACCTGTTTTTACGTGTCTAAATACATACATACGTATGTTTGCATGTGTATCTATGCACATACGAATTCAACAAGTTTTTTAGGAAAGACGCCCCTGGCCTTTTGTATTTGAATTCATGTTAATACACAACATTCATCTGTTCATATTATTGTAACATGAGAATCTTTGCTGTGTACATTTGTTCACATTCTTAATCATAGTAGTAATGACGTACAGGAATGCAATCTTATATTAATCATGTACGCCATAAAAACACGTACTTAGGTATTTGATATGTACACCTCATTCACACTCGTGTATGTACATATGTATGTATGATTAGAAAAAGTTTAAGAAATAAAAGCTTATATATACATACATATGTATGTGCATACAAATGTATGTATGTACAAAAAAAACTACTAAACAAAGTGTACAGTGGTTATCAAAATATTGGGAATACGTACTGCAGTGCTCAAAAATGTATGCAAAAAATGCTTTATCAGTTTAAAATTATTACAAAGTAAATTTTTACAAATACAATATGTAAGAATACACTTTATGCAAAAGATCGCAACTGCATATGTGATGCATGTTTAAAATATAACAATTATAATACAAAAATAGGCCAAGAATGCATTTCCAAAACAATAGGAGTGCATTAGTTTAACATGCGTATTTTTATACCCTTGCAGGGTATTATAATTTCAGTCAGAAGTTTGCAACGCAGTGAAGGAGGCACCTCCGACTATATAAAGTATATATATTCTTGATCAGGACCAACAGCCGAGTCGATCTAGCCATGTCCGTCTGTCCGTCTGTCCGTCTGTCCGTTTCTACGCAAACTAGTCTCTCAGTTTTGAAGCTATCTGAATGAAACTTTGCAGTTAGTCTTCTATATACTCTCACTCGTATATATGTCGGAACGGGCCGGATCGGACGACTATATCATATAGCTGCCATAGGAATGATCGAAAAATTTTTCCAAAAAAAATTATAACATTTTTAGTTTTCAACAGAATTTGATCAAATTTAAGATATAGCCATTTCATATTATTCTACAATTTTGTGTAAAATTTTATGAAAATCGGACGACTATATCATATAGCTCCCATAGGAACGATCGAGAAATTAATTCAATTAAAAGTATAACATTTTCAGTTCTCAACAGATTTTCATCAAATTTGAGATATAGCCGTTTTATATTATTCTACAATTTTGTGTAAAATTTTATGAAAATCGGACGACTATATCATATAGCTCCCATAGGAACAATCGAGAAATTATTTCAATTAAAAAGTATAACATTTTCAGTTTTCAAAAGATTTTCATCAAATTTGAGATATAGCCGTTTTATATTATTCTACAATTTTGTGTAAATTTTATGAAAATCGGACTAATATATCATATAGCTCCCATAGGAACGATCGAGAAATTTGAGAGGAATGAGAATGGCGGTGGCTGTTGTCGGAAGACTGACAATAGCGGTGGCGATAACATTTTTAGTTTTCAACAGAATTTAATCAAATTTGAGATATAGCCATTTCATATTATTCAACAATTTTGTGTAAAATTTTACGAAAATTGGACTACTATATCATATAGCTCCTATAGGAACGATCGAGAAATTAATTCAATTAAAATGTATAACATTTTCAGTTTTCAACAGATTTTTATCAAATTTGATACATAGCCATTTTATAAGAAATAAAAGAAGTTAATAAAATTAAAGATTATAACTTCTTCAGTTTTCACCAGATTTTCATAAAATATCATTTTATTTTAATCAAAATTTTGTGTAAAGTTATAAAAAAAACCGGACTACTATATAACGAACGATCAAAAAATGAATACAATTAAAAATTATAACGTTTGCAGTTTTCAGCAGATTTTCATTAAATTTGAAATATAGCGTTTTATATCAGTCTTGAATTTTGTTGCAAATTTTATGAAAATCGACTATATCACATAGGTGCCATACAAACGATCGTTAGATGTGGAGCAAAAATGCAAATCTGTGAATGTAAAACTGAAAATATAATATGTATAGGTGAATGAAATGAGAGCAGGTATTACTTTATTGTTTTTTTTAACATTAATATAAATATTTTATATTGTATGGAAGGAATCCAGGAAGTCATCGAAGTTCTATCTGCAAGGGTATATAAACTTCGGCGTGCCGAAGTTAGCTTCCTTTCTTGTTTATAATATATTACTTTTAAGTCAAAAGCTGCACAAAATAGAGAAAACATCTTAGCGAAAACATATTTCTGGCATCATTCTGAGGTTAATAAGATTTAATCAACTCAAAATGTCCCACAAAGCTTAGAAACCTTTGCGTAATGCTATGAGTAACTTTCTTGTTGATTTCGGACTAATCTTCTGATTGGATTTAAACTAGGGGGCGTGGATTATTCAAATACCGCAATGGCATTATCAACGACGAACTTTTTTAGTTGTTTATTGCGAGGATCTGGTCGTTGTCCCTTTGGAAGACCCAAATCAGAGACAGTTCATAATAATTTTATCTATCATGCCGGGGCCTACTTTGTGCCTATTCTAGACCGATTGTACTGACCCCAAGACATACTCAGTGGACAAACAAGCAGAAGCAAGGGGGTAGATCCGAAAAATGCCTGATAAAGATATTAAAACACGGACCAAGCAGAGGCTTAGGTTTGCATAATACTCAAAAACAGACGCACAGCGAATGATAAGGTATTCTCGAATCACTAATGATATCATAAAAGGTTCACAAACGATATTTTTATCGTATTCCGGAATGATGCCTTTTTCTGCCACAAACCTTCAGCCATATATGTAACTTTAGTAACGTTTTCTGATCTAGAAAGGATGTTTTGTACACTAATAATCATAACTATCAGTTTGGCGAAAACCATGGTTAACATCTTATGCTCGTTTAACCATTTAGGATAGTTTAAGTTATTTGTTTTGAGCTAACAGCCATTTAATGTGATTGTATATTGACAATAACTTCATACACCAAGAGCAGTTTGGAACACTTACAAAGTTCACCTACATATGTATTTATTTGTTTTCATTCATAAAGTCGGGTGGTCATTGAATTTCTTTCTTTAAATTGGCGTTTTAAAAGTCACCAGAAGTCCTTAATATTATTTACTTCTATGGGGCGGCCAGTTCAAGACGGTAATGAAAAATCATTAAAATAATTTATAACTATCATCTGGGCTTTGAGGCATCAGAATAAATGACTCAACAATTAGCATTCCTTCCGGAGATAGGGAAGAAAATGGATTGTTGTTCAGGACCTCCAAATATTGTCATTGGTAATGGGAACAAAGTCACCCAACCCACTATATGCAACGCACCTCCACAACATAACAGGGCACCTGGGTCACTTTTGACAATCACTTTAAACATTGCATTTGTACATTTAAAATTCTTACAATTTGTTTTTATAACCAGATTTACATAAAAGAAATTTTATCTGTCTATAAAGTCCTGTTCCTTTAAACGTTAAAGCGCGCTCACCTGAGTTGAGGTTCTATAGACTTTCAGCTGTTTTTATTCTTGTGGAAGTATTTTGTCTTCATAAAGCGTAGGTCCTGTTATTTGTAAGTTCTTTTTATACCTTTGCTGGGTACTATAATTTCAGTCAGAAGTTTGCAACGCAGAGAAGGAGGCACTTCCGACCATTTAAAGTATATATATTCTTGATCAGGATCAACAGCCGAGTCGATCTAGCCATGTCCGTCTGTCGGAACGGGCCGGATCGGACCGCTATATCATATAGCTGCCATAGGAATGATCGGAAAATTTTTACAAGAAAAATTATAACATTTTTAGTTTTTAACAGAATTTGATCAAATTTGAGATATAGCCATTTTACTATACTCTACAATTTTGCATAAAATTTTATGAAAATCGGACTACTATATCATATAGCTCCCATAGGAACGATCGAGAAATTAATACAATTAAATTTATAACTTTTTCAGTTTTCAGCTGATTTCCATCAAATTTGAGGTATAGCCATTTTATTTAATTTAATTCAAATTTAAGACAAATAATTTTGTGTCAAATTTCATGAAAATCGGACGACTATATCATATAGGTGCCATGCAAACGATCGTTAGATGTGGAGCAAAAATGAAATTCTGTGACTGTAAAACTGCAAATATAATATGTATAGGTGAATGAAATGAAAGCAGGTATTACTTAATTGTTTATTAACACAAATATATATAATTTATATTGTATGGAGACCTAGTTCCTAGAAGTTCTATCTGCAAGGGTATATAAACTTTGGCGAGCCGAAGTTAGCTTCCTTTCTTGTTTGTCTTTGAATTTATTAATTTGATAATATTGATAATATTTTGAGCAGCCAGTTATGGCTTTAAACTTCCCATTTTCTCTTCATGGCCGACATGGCCTTTTCTGTTGCGATCTAGATCTTCTACCTCACGCTCATGTCAGTTTGCTTGACTTTACTTGCATTGAAATCGAAGCGTTCCAAAAAGCTGCTGCTGGGTGTTCCTTCGTCTGCTCTTTACAAATCACAATGATCAGATTAATACGCTGTGATAATGTATAAAATAATAAAGGAACATAGGAGAGGCGTACATTATCATATCCAGTTCCTTTCTAGAGTCGATTGTGAGATGTTATATTATATCAGTATTTGTTTTAAAAAACACTTGGACAAATAAGCTTGATATTTCAGACTTGCACACACACAATGGCACAGAGTTGTAGCAATTTTTAAATTAAGGACCTTGTAATAGGTTTTATTTTAAAATGTATTAAACTTAAACTCGTATGCACAAAAGTTAATATTCCGATGAACACAACTGGATCAATGATTCGTTGTTGAAAATCCTTATTTCAATGCAGAGCGATGAAGAGCACTGCAGTCCCATTCAGAAATTCTGATCTGTAGGGTCTGAATTTTTATATAATAAACCTATTAAACAAAATAAATTTATTTATAAATACATCTTTAACCTTTCTTTTGCAATATACCAATTGGCATTCTTCTGATTTAATAATTTTTTTCAACTAAGTGTTTCGTTTCACCAATTGTCTGGCATCCTTGGCAATCAAAACGAAACATGTTGTTAAGCTGGACAAAACGATAGAGTCGAGAATTTATATATGGAACAAGCAATAGAAGGCTTCTCAAAACCCAGAAAGTATATATCTTCTTGAGTAGCATAACTTTCAAGATCTCAGGGACTATAACAGCGAGAGCTACCATAAAAGAATAAAAATAAAATATGGATATGTTTTACCCAAGTCTAGTTGGTTTTAAAACCCGGCCATGTCTACTTTTGCCTTTACAAATAAAATATCACATTACTAAGATATTAATTGCGAAATTTGGCTTAAAATCAACATATATATATATATTGGTAGTATAACTCTACTCTAAAATTTCATTGCAAAATTCGAAATTAACGCAACCACCTCTCCCACGTGTGCTACATATATTGTGAGTTAAATATTTTTTAAAAAGCCTTAAAGTTAGTTATCCGCTGATCTCGCTAAAATTTTTTAATACTACAAGGCGTTCTCTGAATCGTTCGGTTTTGATATAATAATAATGAATCATTATTAATGATTCTTGCGTGTTCGTAACTTAATCTATTATACCATGTATAAGGTTTAGTTGAATATTTCGCAAACAAAAGTAATAAGTCACATTTTTTAAGGAAATTTGTATATACAAATAATATTTTTCTTATTTTCGTTCCACTCCATAATTTTAGCATCAGGAAATTCTACATACAGAAAGTACTACAAAGTGAGACTAGTTCGGCCTTGGGAAAAATATTAACACTAAGCCGATAAATTTGAAGCTACAAGTGTAAAAGTCGACAACATTAATAAAAATATAGAAAACCAAAATGGGCGGCGGCAAAAATATACGCCGCGGCCTAGAGCCATTGGAATTTGAAGAATGTTTTGTTGACAGTCCAGAGTTTCGTGAAAATTTAAATCGACATGAGAAGGAACTGGATCATACTAGTCATCAAATTAAACGCATAATAAAGGAGGTGAAAGATCTTATGAGTGCGGCAAAAGGTGAGTTAAATTCATATATTAAAATCATAAATTTCTATTTTTAACAAATCAATATAAGAGCTAACTCTACTATCCCTACTAAGAGATAACTCTACTATTAACAAGTTCGGGGGGTAACTTTGAAACTCCGAAGTTTTAATACCCTTGCAGTTTACAATTGAATTGTTTAAAAAATGTAATTTATTTTATGTTGATCAAGTCGATCTAGATAAGTCCGTTCATTTGTTTAAACTCAAACTAGTCTCGGAGTTTTAACGTTATCTGAATGAAATTTTGATGATAGTATTTTATATATTATAAGATGTATGTATATAAGTCGGAACAGCCCGATCGGACGACTATATCATACAGCTGCCATATGAAGGATCTGAAGTATTGTAGAAAAATATTTTAACTTTTTCATATTCAAACAGATTTTTATCTAATTTGAGATATAGTTTTTAGTATTATTAAAGAATTTCTTTTGTATTTTTATGAAAATCTGACAACGATATTATAAAGCTTCATTAATAACGATCGATAAATGTAAAGTAAAATGGTAAATTGTGAATGTTAAACTGTTACTGAAAAACTGTAATTAAAATATGTAGAGATGAAGTGAAATATAGAATAATACTTTCTTATAGAACTGCATAGAATTGGTAAGAAAAATATAACTAAATATAAGTATATTATTAGTATTTTATTAAAATATTTCAAAATTTCTTATCTTTATTTTCAGTACTTTCCAGTCGAATGAAACAATTGGCCATTTTACTTAACGATTTTAACTTTGAGTGCATAGGTACGGCACAAACGGATGATGAGAATGTCATTTGTGAAAGCCTAAAACGTTTTGGTGCTATCATTGGCAATATTGAAGATGAACGCGAAAAAATGGTAAATAAAACTTTGGCGAATTCCCGAATTACTTTGCTAAGAAATTGTTTCTCATACTATCTCTCTTTTTGGTTTTATTTGCAACATTTTTTACATAGCTTACCCTTGCTGATAAACATATTATTGAAGCTTTAGAGGACTTTCGAAAAAAACAAATCGGAAGTGTGAAAGAAAATAAAAAGAAGTTTGATAAAAAAACGGAAAAATTTTGTCAGTCGCAAGAGCGTTTTCTGAATATGTCTATAAAAAAACCCGAAAACGCAATACAGGAGGTAAGTACTGAAAGCTGCTATTATTATTGCATCCGATGCTAAGGTTTTGGATAAAACACTAATTATAAAATGAAACGCAAAGAACCCTTCAACAGTTGTATTGAAAAAGATTACATTAAAGTGTATACCCTTGCAGTGTATTATAATTTTGTCATTTCCATTTACATGATCAGCATAAACAACCGAATATATCAAGCCATTCCAAAGTTCGCTTAGTTTTAGAACTTCACAAGAAGTCTTATTTATATGAGCAGTTGCTAGGTAGTATAACTATTTCTTAAAACTGGGACCGGATCTTTGATCAACAAAAGACCAAATTCATGGAATTCTTTCTGTTTTTTCGAATTATCGCTGGAACGATGTGAGAGACAAAGTTAATCTAAAAAGTACCACAAGATTTTCACGTTAGGATATTTTTTAAGATTAAAAAGTAAGTAAGACAGATCACTTTGTGTTCGTTTTGGGTTAAGTTGCTGACGCCAAATTTTATTTATTTATTATTTTTTTTTACTTTTTGTTTGCACTGATTGCTAAATATTAAGATAAGATAAAAAGCAATTTTAGTGAGTTTTGTCAGAAGATAGGTACACACGTACATACGTGAACAAGAATGGGCCAAAGTCAACATAAATTACTGCAATACTTAATTAATTAGATACCAGGACAAGTCTTAAATGTATAATACAACAAAGAATGGACAGTACTTATATTTTGTGTTTCTAAACCTGTTTCATTTTTTATATAATTAAACGCTGTGACCAACCACAGAAAAATACCTTGGAAATGACGATACAAACGCTTTATATTGTTATACAAATATTGCACATATTTTAAATGCCCTGTTCGGGGTTCGAATTAAGCATTTTCGGTTGAGATTCCCAGAGTTATTCACCACGCTAAAGATTTGAACAATTAATCGAACTTAATAATTAAAAACAGCAATCAAAAATACCTATTTAAATTCTACTTATCTCATGTTTTCCGGGTTACCTCTAGCATCCCGCTTGGTAGTCATTTGTGTCCCTTTTTGTTTACATTATTAATTAACGACCTGTATAAATTTCTGGCTAACAATTTATGCTTTGCGTGCAATACAGGGACGTTGCTTGCCAGTCGAATTTTCAAACAGATCTTAATAACTTTTAAACATGGTGTTAATAAGACTTATTGCAAGCTGATGACATTTTCACGTGTCGTTCCCAGGCTCGCCTTTTATGTACATATTGCTGATCTACTGCTCTTTGGAAGGAATCACTCTATTTGATGATTTTGGTGTTCGCCTGGATCCTAAACTTTAGTTTATCGATCATGGTGAAGAAACCATATACGCGTCATTAGTTGGTCCTATCCTGTGGATCCAGCGTTTGGAGTCCCCACTAAACGCATCGAATCAGTTCAAAGAAGTTCTTCGCTTCACGAGGCTTTATTTAAGATGCGAACCCAAGGTTACCGAACTACTCTAGTAGACTTATTTAAGCCAATCGTAGAACTTTGCTAGGCAACTTGTAACCCAATCTTTAGTGAATAAAAAGTACTGACTTGTTGGGTCAGCTCAATTTTCACGTACTGAGCAGAAATACTAGAATTTCTTAACCGTTACTGTTGCGTTAATGTAGAACATCGTTTGAAATGCATGAACCCCTTAGACTTTAATGATGACTTTTGTATAATGATCTATACACAATCACCTGAAAGGTAGATAGGCTAACTAAACTAAAAACATTAATCCTAACCCATTTACTATGCTTGCAAGCAAACAATCAGGCAGTTTGAATTTTTTCTCAAATTTTTTATTGTCTCGCCTAAAGAAACACAACCCCAACAGGGCCACTGCACTGACCGTAGCACATCTTTTTTGTTAAGAAGACTTGAATCAACCTTCCGAGTTTTGAAAAATATTATGGAAGCTCTTAAAACAAGTTAAATATATGAACAAACAAAAAGGGACGCTAACTATTTACAGTTCTAAAGTTATATATAGTTTCTATGGCCGCTATATGTATGATTTAGTAGTCCGATTTTCATACAATTAGAAACGAAATTCTAGAATAACATATAAAGGCTACATCCCAAATTTTATGAAAATTTGCTTAAAATTTCGAAAACTTTTCCGATCGTTCCTATGGCAGCTATATATACGAGTGAGAGTACATAGAAGACTAACTGCAAAGTTTCATTCAGATAGCTTTAAAACTGAGAGACAGAAGGACAGACGGACATGGCTAGATCGACTCGGCTGTTGATCCTGATCAAAAATATATTTACTTTATATATATATGACTCTTAAACTGCGTTGTCAACTTTTGATTGAAATTACAATACCCTGCAAGGGTATAAAAACACAGCATTGCATTCACTGGGAGTCGAGCGGAGAACTTCCTGTCCGCAGGTCGAGAACTTTCCCTCTCGACCGCGGCATTTCTTCAGATAAGTTGAACAAAGCTGTATAAAGATAAGCTGTAATAATATTATTGCGATTGAAAAATTATTCGCTTCTTAAACACATATACTTTTAAAAAATGTTTCAGATTTATGTATATAGATGATAAATGGACCTACATTAGCTCGTTTTTTCTCACTATTTAAAAGAAGTTGAGCGATTTCCAATTCATTGGAATCTTCCCAATTAGTAAACTGCAAGGGTATCCAAGTTTCGGCTTTTCAAACTTAGCCCTTATTCTTGACTTAATTAGTACATTTTAAATTAGAAGTGGCAATCTGGCATCATATATTCATAAAAATAACTACGTTTGTATGCCAGTAAAATATTTTATTAAGAATGCGGAGTTGCTGGGTGCACACTAATTATTAAAGTCACGCTAATCTGTAATTTTGTTTGAGGTTATCATTTGTTTTTATTTCTAGGCCGATGCCAGTTTAGGCATGCACGAACGAGAGTATATTCAGGAATCACTTAGTTATGTTTTGCGCATACAAGAAGTGCAAGAAAGAATAAAATTCGAGTTTGTCGAAATATTGCTGGCTTTTATTTCCGGCTGGTTAGTTTTTTATCATACAGCACACGAACAAGCTGAAGATCATAGAGACTATCTGCAAGATTTAAGGCACAAGGTACAAAAGGTAAGAATAAAAAATAACCATTTATTGTACATTTTTATTGTAACATATTTTTATTTTCTTTTAGACCCGTGAAAATTTCGAGGAAGCTCGTGAAAAAGTAACTGAACTAAAAACCAAATATATGGAAAAACGCACAGTGAGTGAATTGGGATTACATTTCAGTTTTTTTGTTCTAACCTTTATTGTTTCCAGAAACCTGAGGAAGTTTTCACGAAACGTGGATACCTATTTTTAATGGAAAAAAGTACGTTACATAATTTGTATATATAAAATAACATCCTTGCTCCTCAACGATTTAGAATTCATTGTGGCAATTACGCTGGTAGACAGCAACAGTTGCCTTTAAATTTTAATTCATGAAGTTATCCTTACACATTATTATTGCCGTTCGTATTCTCGTTGTAATGGATTAATGTATGCCTCGATATATGTATAATGAAACAAATTATCAAGCTATATGTAATGATGCACAACTTAGTCCGTTTTAATTTAACATGCTTCTTCCTTTTCTGTAAATTTAAAAAGTTGAATTAAAAGCGTGATATAGTAACGTGATATATGATCTCAGACTCACTAATTCAACAGTTAAATGTTATTTCATTTATGCTTATTTTGTATATTTCGAACTTATCTTAGGTTCCCTTTTGAAAATGTCACTTCTAGAGCCATTCAAAGCAACATGGACAAAATACTATTGCACATTTAAGAAGCAAAAGCGCGAATTCACCATGCTCCAATTTAATCAAATGAATCACAATTTTACGAGACCAGAAACTCGCGAGGACGAGAAGCTAACACTTTTTTCCTGCCAACGCCGGGCTTCCGAGTTCGAGAAGCGCTTTTGCTTTGACTTAACATTTAAAGAAAAGCCCGGATTAGTCTACACTTTTCAAGCTTTAAGTGAAAAGGATCATTGCTATTGGCTTAGCGCGATGGATGGAACGGAACCGGTAAGTAAACAAAAAACCAAATCATTTGAAAAGGCACCATATTCCTATTAATTTCATTTAGTGTTTTAATGTTTATACCGTAGTGCTGTTATGAAATCTGGGGTTTTGATTAAAGAGGATCATAGGATTTTACCGAAGTGCAAGCAAGTTAACTAAAATAAATTTTCAATGAAACCTTTTAATGCATTTGTAATACATTGCCTGAGATAAAACCTACATTTTGTTAACCACAACATTGGCAATTATGGCAGAATTGAAACAAATCCCTCACTGAGATTTAAATCTTCACATTTTCAACAGCCAAGAAATTTGTGCGATGGTGTCAACCAAAATACACAATATGCGATGGTTACCAAAAACGATAAGTTGAGAGATCTTGCTGGAGGACGAACTATGACACTAAACAGATTCATACCCTGGTCATAACTACTAGATCCTATATCCCATTAGTGTTGCGCCACTGTATAACCTCCTTTGAATTGCATGAACCTTTTAGAGTGTTATGGGCAAATTATAATGATTTGTACACACTAATCTCTAACGTAGATACCCTCCCCAAATTAAAATCTTTAATACTAACACACTTAGTAAGCATGCAAGCTAACAATCTGACAGCACGCCGGTAGTACTAACTAGTAACTAGTACTAACATCTAACGCAAACAGGCACGTGTCTGGTGTCATACGAGCCACTTGAATGTACTGACCTTAGTGAATCAACGTCCATATATTTAAGGGATGGTAGATTGAGATTATCTAGAGACTTGTTCCATTTTGTTTTGGTCTTCTTGTTGCCCTTTTTCTGTGGTTTTTGCATCTTGTAACTTCATCATGCACTGTGCAGGTGTATTATCAATTCAGCTGCTACTGTGCGTTAAACGCTCTAGCAGGCGATTTTATCGACAAATACAAGACTACAGTCTTATCGAACTGGGGCCCTTTGGATAAATTACCGGTAGGGATTTAATAGTTTCTAGTCCCTTTACGCAATGCACATCTTGACAGTTTGCGGGCTAAATCTAGTTTTTTTGAGGTGGTCGAACACTGTTCTGCGCAACTCCTATCAACGTCGTCTTAGAAGAACACGGAGTACAGTAATGAGATTATCGCGAATTTCGAATATTTTGATTACACGTTTGTGTGACCAGGAGGATATATATAGTTTTTTATATTTATCAGTAAATTTTAAGCTATAATCATAGCAGCTTTGCTTTTAAAAGTCTCCATTGAAAATTCGTGGCTTACAAGCATGCAATTAAATTGGTAATTGTACTGTCCGCATTTGTTGTGGCGGTGAAGGAGGAAGCATTGAAAATGCATTTCGAATATTATGCTGGAAATGGATGAAGGTTTAGGGTACAACGCTGTTGCAACCTCTTGCTTCCTCCATATCCCTTATGCAAGTTTTACCGACACTTTTCAGCTACCTTCAAAGTTGCCGCCCTCAAGACTTTTGTAAGGGATAAGACATGTCATAGAGTATTATGTTGGCTCTTCCATTATATTATTAATTAAGAAACTTAAAGTGCATGTAATAGCTCTTTCTGCCCCGTTGCTCGTTCCGTTGTTTTTCTGCAAATGTGAGGAGGTGCGAATGGATGCCTATACATTTTTAATTGCATTTATAGCAAGAGCTTCGATAGGATAAATACTAGAATGAACAAAAGCGTTAGGGATGGTTTGTTGATAAATTTGTAGAGTGCGATAATTTGGCGATATCGTAGCCAGTGTTTGGGATATTAAAAATGTTTAATTTGTTTCTTGTTTTTATTTATTCATTTTCTATTTATAGACATATCTAGCTCCGGGAAAAATTAAAGTCACAGAAGCATACCAATTGGATGAGCCTGGATTCATATTTGTTCGGCGCTGTATTCAAGTATTAGAAAGCCGTGGACTGGAAGATGAAGGGATTTATCGAAAAAGTGGTGTTGGAACAAAGATTAGCAAGCTATTAACTTTAGGCATAAATCGAAAAGAAACCGATGATGTTTTCATTGACGATAAGTACCGCGATTTAATGGAGAGTAACACTATTGCCAGCGCCCTCAAAATGTATCTGCGGAACCTTAACGAACCATTAATGACGTATCATTACCATGGTGATTTCATTGAATCAGCTAGTAAGCATTAAAAAGTAAAAAAATTGTTTACAGCTTAATAGATATAAAACATAAATTTGTAGAACTGGAAACCCTGAATCAACGCGTAAATGAAGTACATAAGCTAGTCTACAAATTGCCAAAACCTAATCTTGAAATGCTGGACATGGTTATTTGTCACTTAACAGAGTGAGTATAAACATAAATACGTGTAATAAATATATATTTTAAGCAAACTCTTTTCAGTTTTAAACATAACTCGTAGATAGCAGTAAACCCTTTTGCTTTGCAATTACTTTTGCTTTATTTTTAGCTAAATTTTTAATCTAAGCTTTTTTGTTTCTTTCCTCTAAAAACAACTTGGAAGAGCTATTTATCTGAGTCTATTGAGACACTTCAGCAAACTTTCTTTATTTGGGCATTTTTCGTGTTTTTTTTTATAATAATCAAGCAATCATCGTAAAACTTTAATCAGTAGAAACAGTAAAATCAGAGTTGACAAAAATCTATTTCTCCAAACAAAAGTTTACAAACTGACGCGCTTATGCATCATAAGCCACAACGCCTCTTAATTCGTGTCGGAAATAACAAAATAAAAATTTTTATTTATTTTACGTTTATGATTTATTTAAAACAAAAAAGCCAAAATGAAATAACTGCAAAAAACTGTAATACAGTTTAGGTTTAATTTCTAACCCCCTTTAAAAATAATACGACTTTATTTGTAATACCCATATTTAAGTTCAAACAGAAGATCATTTTATGTTCATTTTGATACTTGTCAATTCACTCCGATTTGTATTTGTTGTTGTTTTTGACACACCTCCGCTTAAACTTGTGTACATCACGTACAGGTATGACTCTAGGTACTTACAGCTTAAATTCTATAATAAAACTCACAGTTGCAAATAAAAAAATACATTTGCCAAAGTAATTTCAGTTTACATATAGGAATAAAAAAAATACATTTGCCAGAGTAATTTCAGTTTACATATAGGAATCCCCCCTTAAATTTTCAATGATCTTTCTAACAAAAAATTAACAAACAAAAATATTTAACATATTTATATTTTAATTCCGGCTTATATTGTGGCAAAAAAAAAAACAGTGAATTTACAATCACAAGGAAAACAGAAAAAAAAACAAGAAATAAAGCTAACTTCGGCAGAAGTTTTTATACCTTTGCAGATTGCAATTAGATCACTATTAATACAATATAAATTATATTAAATTATATTAAAACAAGGAAGTAATTTCTACATTCTCTACTTTCATTAATACATACTACATTTACAGTATTACATTCACAGTTTTGCATTTTCCTCTATATTTAACGATGATTTCAATGGAAGAAAGATGATATAGTCCCCCGATTTAAACAAAATATAATTTTAAATTGTATTTATTTCTCGATCGTTCCTAAAGCAGATATATGTATCTCAAATTTGATAGAAATCTGTCGAAAACTAGAAACGTTATTATATTATATATAGCCGTTCATAGTAATTTGACTAAGATTAATATATTTTCTAGTTTAGTTAATTTTTTGAATTCTTTAGATGCCTTAAATAATATTTGAAATAATTATTTTCAGGGTTTCACGCAAATACGAAAAAAATAAAATGTCCGTATTTAATCTGGGAGTTGTTTTTGGACCAACATTGTTACGACCGAAAGAAGAAACAGTTGCAGCCATATTGGATATTAAGTTTAATAATATTGTAATCAACATACTTATTGATAACTATGAGAGGATTTTTAAGAACCTTCCAAGCGGCGGTGTCACATCCGTAGACGCCAGCAAGGCACCGTGCATAATGTACCCTCCCAGTGCAAACAGTCCGCCGGCGCGCATGCCCCGCGCCTCTCAAATAGGAAAGGCCGCGTCCACAGGTGCTGTGGGGGGACTGGTGCAGAACGGAATGCGATGTTCTCATCGCAGCATAAAGCCTATCGCACAGTTACGCAATCCAAATCAAGCTATACGGAGCCTGCAATGTCGTCTAGCCTACAAAATATTCCAAACGGAGCAAACACGAATTATGCCCCCTCCCAAGGCCAGACAAGTGGCAGTAATGCTACAGCGACTTCCAGTGGATCGGCAGCCGTCAGTACCTTGCGTGGCGGTGAATGCACATCACTCTCGCCCTCCCTCCACATTTCAAATGGCCCAGTGTCATCTACCACAATTGGAAGTATTAAGAACTTAAACGCGATAGCACAGAACGAGCTAAGCTCACGACGTTATGCTACCAGCGCGTGTGTTGATCCTGTGGCCGGTACCGTTTATGGGCTCTTGAATCCCAACATGGGCAGCAGTGGTGCGAGTAGTACGAGCAATTTGCGGCACCCTGAGTACCTGTTGGCCACGGCCACTCCAGTGTCTCAATCTGCCTCCAGTACCCACATATATACAAACACGGCTGGTGGTGGTAGTGGCGGTGTTGGTGCTTCCCAAAGCAACCGAATGAGTCTAACCAATGTTTCCCCGCCCATTACTACCACACGAAAAGATCGCTTAGTTAGTAATGCATTGGGGAGTGCAGCCACATCGAGTGGTCCACAGCAGCATCCTCCAGTCCAACGCGGTCTCTATTCGTACGGACAGACAAAGCATTATTCCCCCATGGTGCCAGCATCGACATCGAGCTCCAACGATAGTGTATGCGACTCACTTTCATCAAATAATGGCTTCACCTCTGTGGTAGTAAATGCTAACAGCGGCAGTGGCAGTGCACCTGAGCCCTTTAGCACGCGGAATTTGAAAAACTACGCGGCGTCAGCCACGTCACAGACTGCATCGTTGTCAACACTTCTGGGGCCAACTTGCGGCGATGATATCGTAATGGCAACAGTGGCACCCACCACAATAGGTAATAACACTGTTATTGGTGGGAGTCTTAGCGGTAGTGGCTCCATTAACGAAACCTCTGACTATCCACCTGCTAAAATGCATCGCAATCGTGACATAAACCAAATTGAACGTGATTTGTCAACTGGCACAGCGTAAGTAATCAATTGATTTTATTATTTTCCATGTATTTTACATGTAACCCATAATTTGCTACTCATACAATGCTACTTGCATGATTATTTTTTTAATATTTCTCAATGAATATCAAATAAATTGTGCAATAAACTAACAACCTTATCCAATAACAAATACCGATGAATCTAATTCGTTATTTAAATAAAACTACTATTAATTTCTTTCTAGGCGCGTTCGTACCCTATACGCTTGCATGGGAGAAAGTGAGGGTGAGCTTTCGTTTGAGCCAAATCAAATAATAACAAATGGTAAGTTAAACCATTAAGCTGAGATTTTTCAATATCAGATTAACTTTTGTGATCAAGGTAAATTGTTTCAGAGAAACAAATCTAAGTTTCGTATTTATCTGACTGACTAATTCTTAACTTGAGCAATGCCTTTAGTAAGAGTTGTCATTTAGATAAACATTATCTATATTATATCAGGCCTTTATCTATATCACTCTGAACAAAACAAATTCACAAAATTTAACAAAATATTAAAAAATCGGCCCTAAGAAAAACAAATTTGATAACTTCTGCCTTGTCTTATCTATAGTTCGATATTCCCACGAGCCTGGGTGGTTGCAAGGCACATTAAATGGTAAAACAGGACTCATTCCGGAGAACTACGTGGAACACTTGAAAACACATCAATAGATCGTATTCTTATAAAGTTATATACTTAATTTTCACATTTAAACAGGCGTGCTCCGGTTTTTATATAATTCTTTTTGCGTTTTCGGCAAAAAAATACGATTTTGTTATCAGGTACTCTGGTTTTTGCAAACTTGTTTTCATCGTTTTGTTATATTTATTTATATTATATATATGTATATAATATTTAATTATTTGTTTCTACTCAAACAGCTGACTTCGTTGTTTTCAAATGAAAAAAAAGAGTGTTAAAATGGCTTTTATTTTTCGATTGTTGGTTTTGAAGTAAAATAAAGGCAAATAATTTTAAGAAATTTTTTTTCTTCTTGTCTTTGCAAGAAGTATCCGAATTTATGAACAAATATGCTTTAACTTTTAATTTCGCAAAGATTAACCTGCCCGTTTTTGAAAACGCAAATGGAGCGCAAGAAACTTGCGAAAATGAAAACCGGAGCACGACTAATAGTAATGGAGAAAATGCTAACTAATGAGAAGTTTTAACATAACCGTTATCTAAACAAAGTTTGGATGTCTGTTCTAAAATGCCAACCCAGGAAACCACCAGTTTACCCTAGAAGTAAATATATATATATATATTTCCATGACTTTAGAATGTACAAACTTATATTTAGATCATATGAAGTATAAACTCAGTCTAACGGCAAAGATTTTTTTATTGATTGTTATGCGCTTAATTTGTTGCTTAATTATAAATAATTCTTTTACTTTGTGTAAAATTTAATGGATTATAAAGTATCTAATCTTAATTGCAATTCTAAGAAAATAAATAGCTAGTGCCTTATAAATATATTGGAATTTTGTCTTGCCACAGAATCCTACCATAACTCATCTTTGGCTTCTTCAATTCTCTGTAGTTAATGTTATATAATTACATTCTTTTTTTTCTGTTTGTCATTACTGCAACTATGGGATGCTCTAATTTTTTTTTCAGTTTAGAATTGCTTACTTCTGTTTATCTTTTTTTTGTAGCCCTTAAAATAATAAAACATGTGTATTGTATTAAATAAACATTAAAAAACGAAAAAGAAATGCTAATGAACTTAAATTATTTGCTACTGCAAATGTGGTGAAAGTTGTGTAACACCGGGTATACGCCTGGGTGAAGTTTTAGAAATCTCAGGTGCTTTTAACTACGTATCTACGGAGGGGACTATGTGGACAATTAAATATGTATAGTTCCCGCACCATTGATATATGTACATATATGTACATATGTAGCTTCGACAGGTGATATGAATTTTCATTCCTTTTGGGATATTTTTAGCTGTGTTTGTTTGTGGCAGTTCGATAATAAACCATTGTAAGTTTTAAAGTGGAATCGTAAAAAATGTATTGGCATTTGTTATCCCTTCCGTTTATTAGACTTGTTCATTTTTGTTTTACTGATAATGGTGAGAGGGGCTTCGGTTGCCTTTACACTTACATCTATATGATGCCTCTTTGGGGAATGCTATTGTTTAATGCTAGCGCCATATATATTACATGTACCTACATTTCTCCAATATTAGAAGGTCCTATTTGTTGGAACCAGCTATCCACTTTTCAGTCGGTTTTCGATATACTTTTCATTAAGTAGTTCCAATAGCACTTTAATTCCGCTAATAGCACAGGATTTTATTGCTATATTGGTCGATGTTTCGCTTTTTCAAGTCATCCATGCAGATAAATTCTGCTTTGCTTTGTCTCTAATCCAGGAAGAAAAAGCGGAAGGTTCATAGAATTCAACGATTGATTGGATATTCGGACGGCTTAGAGAATAAATCTTATCTAAAGTCTATTAAGATTATTGTGTACAAGTCGTTTTAATTTGACTCTAAAGGGCTCTTGCAATTCATTGACTGTATAGGATCTATATTTTATACTTGGTATGTGAAAATCGGGCTATACTAACTAGATAGTCGTCTCCACGGATAATAAATGTAGGTAAAACCTAGCATAGCTCTGCGGTTTGCAAAAGAGGGTAAGTTAATTAGTATAAGTTCACTAGAATTCGACGGCAAACTTTGGTTCGCATCCCAGTTTTAACTGCATAGAGTATAAAGTAATCTTTTTTATACCCTTTCAGGGTATTATAATTTTAGTCAGTAATTTGTTGAAAACTTGTAAACTTATAATTCTTAATTGTATTAATTTCTCGCTCATTTCAATGGTAATCAGCTATTAAATCAGCTTGGGGCTTAATTTTATTGAATTATTTGGAAATTTTAATGCATCTCTTCCAGTAAGGATGTGTGAAGTTCTAAAGCAGAAAGGTGTATCACCACACTATTAAATTTAGTTATTCCTAATGAAAAATACTCGGTGTGGTCTTATTAAAAGTGATGGTTAAAATACACGAAAATCAATAATATTGTGTTTATATTTCGTTCCGGAAATAAGAAGGCCATAGTTTATTATCACTAATTTATTTCTTGTGCATATTAAATCAATAAAATTCACTTTATTATAGAAAATGATGATCGAAAATGATTAAGGGAAGTGGCCAATAGCATGTTTCTTTGAGATCCTTAATATTAAAGTTTCCCACGAGTACAAATCCCGTGAAGCTCTTGAAAAACCACTGCTATCGAAAGTTAACATTAACAATAAAGCAAGCTAACTTCGGCACGCCGAAGTTTATATACCCTTGCAGATAGAACTTCTATGACTAGGAATCAATACAATTTAAATTATATATATTTATGTTAAAAAACAATGAAGTAATACCTGCTTTCATTTCATTCACCTATACATATTATATTTGCAGTTTTACATTCACAGATTTGCATTATTCTCCACATCTAACGATCGTTTGCATGGCACCTATATGATATAGGCGTCCGATTTTCATGAAATTTGACACAAAATTTAAGACTAATATAAAATGGCTATACCTCAAATTTGATGGAAATCAGCTGAAAACTGAAAAAGTTATAAATTTAATTGTATTAATTTCTCGATCGTTCCTATGGGAGCTATATGATATAGTAGTCCGATTTTCATAAATTTTTTTTATAAAATTGTAGAGTATAGTAAAATGACTATATCTTAAATTTAATCAAATTCTGTTGAAAACTGAAAATGTTCTAATTTTTGTTGTACAAATTTTCTGATCATTCCTATGGCAGCTATATGATATAGTCGTTCGATCTGGCCCGTTCCGACATATATACGACTGAGAGTATATAGAAGGCTATATCGCAGTGAAACTATAAAGTTTCACTGAGATATGTAGCTTCAAAACTGAGAGACTAGTTTGCGTAGAAACGGACAGACGGACATGGCTAGATCGACTTGGCTGTTGATCCTGATCAAGAATATATATACTTTATATGGTCGGAGGTGCCTCGTTCACTGCGTTGCAAGCTTCTGACTGAAATTATAATACCCTGCAAGGATATAAAAATAGCCAAAATAACAGGCTCCTGCTAGATTGAGTGATTTCCAGTTTTAGGTCATGCAAAATAGCCAAATCTGGGTAGAAAATAGCTAATTTGGCAACACTGCTTATTATTCCACCACTCATTGTCTTAAGATCATTATTTATGGGTACTAGATTAGTAATAAATATAAAGAAAATAGAATTATGGAAGATGGAGGCGGGAAATCGACAGAGGGAACACGCCAGCCCTGATATACGAGAACACTATAGCCATGCGGCATCCGCAGCGGGTGACAACAGCTGATATCAATCGAATAGCTGTCAGCAGTCTGGCAACACCCTATGTAAGGCGGCACACAGCTCATATTTGAAACTTTGCTTCGAGCAGCGCAACCAGACCTGGGAAAGTGCCAAGTAGCTGGAATTAACCAAGCCAGAAGAGATCAAGCATGGGATGGCCAAGGTTAAGTTCATGGCAGCTGATCTTGACGAGAACGTTCTAACCAAGCTAGGCTCATGTAACGGAGCGCGATTAGGGTAGTCTGGACAGACAGAGCACGGGTCGACCGTACGGTAGCTCGGTGCGAGCTTAGGCTAAGGCTAGCAGGTCCCCTGATATCACCACCCGAACTCGCACCGAAGGACTCGACCCGCGGCGAGGTCCGCAGTCAGTCACACATCCGTAGACGGAGCGTCCACGGGGATATCAAGGCGATCACACACACACACGTCGAGACAAATAAAACTTACGTATAAACCGAACCATTTCGTGTTGTCACTGGACATTTTTTAAACGAGAGGGGCTCAGAACTATATACATTTCTGAAATGAACCCTGACCCCAGCGAGCTTTGCCACGCAACCCCAAACAAACGTCACAAGTCTTTTGTTTGTCCAGAATTAGAAGATGCCAGTGAACTTTTAGCATAATGTGATATTCGGTGACGAAACTAAAATGATGCTTTACTACAATGATATTCCCTCCCGAGTCTGGTGAACGCCGTTAACAGCCTTACAGAGCAAACATATTATTACGAGCGTGAATTTTGGACAACCGTCCATCATGGTGTAGGGCTGGATTTCGAGCAAAGGGGTCGAAGAATTGGCATTCATCGAAAACACAATGGATGCCAAGCAGTATTTAGACAATTAAAGTGCACTATGTCAAAAATGGTTTTAAGAAAATGAAAAAAAAAAACATGCATAAAAAGGGTAGGTTAAAAATTTCCTTCCCCTATGCGGGCAACTATAGTCACATCGAAATGATTTTAATGTAACTAGAAGAACCCAAAATAAAAAAAAATTTTGTTTGTATATAGTAAACATATTACTTTACAAACAAATTAAAAAAGGGACACAGTTTTTCCCCTTTTTTTACATGTTGTGATTTCAAACTTAGGGTACTTCGACGTACCTCCTCCGATTAAATTTAACAAAACTTTAAAAATAACTTTGAATATTTCGCTTTTACGTATAAGTTGTCCCAAATGCGCACTCTGCAGTTTTTTAAACCAAAATCAAATTTTCAAACCTATATTATTAAAAAAAAAGTCTTTATAATTCTGCCTAAAGGCAGACAAGAAATAATATATTACAAGCATTGACAAGCAAACAATTAAAAAATAGTGGCATACTTTTAGGGCCACGTCATAAAAGCAGCTATAAAAATGCATTTTTTTGCTGAAAACTCAATATATTTTTTTAAAAACTTATCTTAATTTTATTTGAAATAGAGACCATATTGGACGTAAAAATAAAAAATTGGTGCACATTGCTTCAAAGCCGTTCATGTAATTGAGACTAGAAATCTGAACTTTAAGGGCTTAAAACTAAAAAACTGATGCATTTCATTTCATTTCATGCAACAAATATATTTTCTTTCTAATAAATATTATCTAAATAATCATTTCTATAAAGTGAGATTCAAATCGAATTTATAGTTTTCTTATAAATTTGATTAAAACAAGATTGAATATTTTTTATTTTTATTAAATATAATAATGTAATAACAAAATAATATAATAAATAATAATAATATAATAACATAATAATATAATAATATAATAAATAATAATATAATAATATAATATATAATAATATAATAATATAATAATATAATAATATAATAATATAATAATATAATAATATAATAATATAATAATATAATAATATAATAATATAATAATATAATAATATAATAATATAATAATATAAAAAAAAAAATAATATAATAATATAATAATATAATAATATAATAATATAATAATATAATAATATAATAATATAATAATATAATAATATAATAATATAATAATATAATAATATAATAATATAATATAATAATATAATAATATAATAATATAATAATATAATAATATAATAATATAATAATATAATAATATAATAATATAATAATATAATAATATAATAATATAATAATATAATATAATAATATAATAATATAATAATATAATAATATAATAATATAATAATATAATAATATAATAATATAATAATATAATAATATAATAATAATAAATAATATAATAATATAATAATATAATAATATAATAATATAA